AGATTTGGGAAACTACATTTTATAATCTCTCTTTTTCTTCATAGCTATCCCATTCTACATGGTAGGGGCAGATTTCCTTTTTCTTCGCCACTTTACCTTTAACATCTCCAATTTCTGAACATCTATCTAAAACAACGACCCCTTGACCCTCTCTATCTCTTAATTAGCTGTATTAAATAAGTTGAAATAACATAATCAAGAATATCAAACATCGAGTCCAACATTTGCCGATTTTGAAACGATGTATTTATCAGGATTAATGAATAATTGGATTAAGTATCATTTAACATGAACATAGCGCTGATGAAGAGTATAATGGAAGTCTCGTCTAGAATCTGCTTCGAAATGTATACTTCTCTAAATGCCTTTATCAAATTCGCTATCCGATTCAGTTCTCGAATGGGAACATGGATTGAGTTAATAGAAAAACATAAATGAAGTAAAATTTCAACAGCTGCAGTTGTCCTCTCTTCGCCACCAGCAACTCTCTTCCTCTCACAGAGCGATATATCGTCTACCCCCTTCACGCAATGATGAGGTTTTTTCGTGACCGTAAATTCCTAGTACACCCCGTCTATATAAAAGTTTCACTTCATGACGCTTCAATTTCTATATAGGTATCCGTATGTAAAGTGATACTTATTATCCAGCCTTCAAGACTTCAAGTGGACGGTACTGAACTTTTGTAGTTATTTATAAATTTGTTTACTTATTCCCATCCTCTTCTATCATTGACTTTACGTTCGATTTCATTCATAATATTATTACACATCCGCATAGTGATAAATCAGTTTATGCTATCTCTTTCGTTAAGTCAAAGCTACCGATACTAGTGTCACATGAAACAATAACCTCTGTAATGAACTAATGAGTCTGGGTCCTGCTTAAAGCTACGCTCAATCAGGGTACGCCGATTGTACGAGGACATTCTCATCCTCGTACAATTCCGTACGAAAATGTATTAGTAAAATGTTCACTGCATATACAATTTTGTGTTGTTTTTAATTTTTCTACACCTAGTTCAGTCAGTGTCTCAGTATACACGAGGTAACATGTAACAACTCTAACTGTATTATTATCTATTCCCCTCTGCAACATCATCCCGACTCTTATGCTAGATGAGGTAGACAGAAGCAACATCAACTGTCGACATCGGTGAACGCATCATTGACATGCCCACATTTGCATGCGCTTTTTAATCCAATATGACAAGTGCCGAATTTCTCGGCTTTATATTAGGGTTGTTATCGAAGGTTCCATCACCGGAGAGCCAGTCAGAAATATAAATACACACACAATGATTCCAGAGTCGAACTTACGACCCTTCACCGGTTATTTAAAGATCCTTTAAAATATATTTAAATGATATTTTGACAGTTATCTAATATAAGGCATGTCTCCATTTTAAACAAATTAATAATCAAAATTACTTATACATACAAACATATAGGGTAACTCACCCATTACCACAGACAATTATTTAATTTATTTATAGTAAACATTACTTTTAAGTTCAGTTATCCTATAAGATCCTTCTAAAATATTAATTAATAATTATCACAATTATGAATATCCCTTGAAGTTCAGAGATACTTTTATTATCTTAATTAAAAAAAACAACCATAAATTAATTAGAAAACTTTTCAAATTAAATGATTATGGTCAGTATCTGGTAATCATATCATGTGGTCTCTCAGTCATAGTCTGTGGTAGTACTTGAAGAGCCTAACTGGTGCTACTATAGTAATAAATCAAATAATAAGCTCGCTAAATTGTACAATTTTTAAGAGCAATAAATAATAAAAATATGTACATTTTATATTGGTTCATATAGAGATGTCCTGATTAATTACGAAATGGTCTACCACCACATCACCTAAGTGGCTGTGGTTGCAAATTCAAAACTTTTAGTAAATCATATGTCACATGCATATTGTAGAAATCTTGATGGAGATAAGGTAAAGGGCCATATTATGGAACATTGTACTAGTTTATGAAACAAGTGATAAAAATCTGAATTACAAATAATTTCTAACGTATTCAGTATTTATAATATTATCTTTATGATCTTTAATATATTAATTGATTAAATTAATTTATTTTTGTAAACACCTTAAAATGTATAGAAAAAAAAATAGATGAAATGCCCGTGTCAGGTTGCATGAAAAAAGACTGTCTTTTAGAGTTAGAGAATGACACGTGTCATCACAATTGTTTTAACAATTTGAAATATTTGTCAATGATACAAAAATACTTGAAACATGTCAATCAAAAGTTTGACTTATTATCTATTGATTGATAATGAATTTAAAGTACTTTAATAAGGTATTTATTTTTTATTTAGGTGTTTCATAATTGCCGCAAAAATTTCTAAACAGACCGTATTTATGGAACAGTATATTCAGTGTTCCACATCCCCCTCACATTCGATTTTCTTAGTTGTCCGTAATTATGAAACAGCAAAAAGTGGACAATATTTAGTTAATTTCGTGTTAATCATTGTTAATTAATTACAACAAAGCAATTTACGTTAGAACAGTTTATATTTCTAAAAATTTGCATTTAGATATGTACATAGATTGTAAAATTCTATGAAAATGAAAATAACCTCAAAAATGAATAAGCTGGATGATAAATATTGTTTTATATAAATTAAAACATATACTTAAGTGGAAAACCTGCCTGAAAAAATTAATAACACTTTATTTAATTCAAAATTTTTACGAAGCACCTACATATCACATTTTTATAGATGTTTTTAAATTAATAATTTTTGTAGGTAGATACATTATTTTCATAGAATTTGATATCTTTATTCTATAGATTTATTTTATATTGTTATTTTTATTTTTGATTGTTTGGTATAATTTTTATAATTTGATATTGGTTGGTTTTCCTGAAATAAATAAACTAACTGTCAAAGAAGTGACGTTGGTAAATTTGAATTTTTAGAGAAAGAACAGAACAGTAAGAAAATAATTTTATTAATAATCAAATCGAATGATAAAACTAATGATTACATGACACTTAACAATGATTGTCATTCTTCTAATAAATATTCTCCTCTGATAAATACCAGTACCCAGTCTCAACAAAGCAGCCATTCCTGAGGTAATTACTGTATGAAATTATAGTATAAAATGAACCTTAGATATGGTTACTGAAGCTCATTCTGGTATTTATGAAAGTAGTAATTTAAATTGACTAAATTTAACTAATATTTTGAAACGTAATGTTGGTGATGAATTAATATTTGAGTTGAATTTGAAGTCAAGAAAAAATAGATTAAAGTTGAGTCATCAGGTAAACTCAAACTACCTTCTGCTGGCACATCTGATCAATGGATGCAATATGACTAAAAAAAAGAAACTGATCGTAAAACTAAAGAAGAAAAGCTACATAAAAGAAAACAATTACTAAATGAGAAAAAAGTGATAGCTGATGAACGGAAAAAGCTACTAGAGAACGCTTACTACAAAGGATCAAAGAATTGAAAAAAAAATGAAATAGTTGAATTTTTGGTTTAATTTAATGTATATTTGGTTTTTATATCTTGTTTATTAATGCTAAGATTTGAAACTGTTTTTGTCATACTTACTTTGTAAGTGAATATTTATTTATTGCTTGTTTATTCGTATAATTTTTAAATCTAACTGTATTAATAATTAGTAATAAAACTTTTGATACTATGAATAAATAAATTAGTAACTGAAAAATGTTTTTAATGCGAGTACTTCAGTTCATTTTGAGTTCCATAATTTGGGACATTCCCGATGGAACACCCGTACGTGTTGCTTTAGACTGTTTCATAAATACGGCCGTATGTACTTGTCTGTTATTTTATTCAATTTATTAGCATTTTCAACTAAAATTCACTTGATAATAATTATTATCACTTCAGTAGATATCAGGCAAACTATTAACTTAGAAAAATTCAATGTTTCATCTCTATTTTTTTTAAACAATGCAAAATATTCAACTCCTACTCAAAAGGTGTTTCATAATATGGCCCTTTACCTTATTTATACAGGTTCTAGCATAATAATTACATAGGAACATATGTAAACATGTTGACTTCTAAATTTATTTATAAACCTATTCTATCAAATTTTCATGCACCATAGATATTTATTTAATTAAATAGTACTTGCTTTGATTTTAAGTCTTTGGCAGATGATGTATATAGCCGAGATTGTATTTCCACTGTTATGCCACCAGTAAACAATCAAGATAAGTAAAACCATAGTCAAATATTAGACACATAAATATAAATCCTGCAGTTACTAAAATTTTACTATTATCTAATATTGTCGCCATATTGAAATAAATAATTTATTAAGAGTTTATATCCACATGACACATTTTTCAAACATATAAGTAATTATTACTTTTTGATTTAACTATTAATTATTTTTTTAAATTATGTAGCCCCCTCTGTTGAAAGACTCCTCTATTTCCTGCCAACCCTCTCTACCCAAATACAATATATTATATTTTTTATAGAAATATTCATATTTTATAATAAAGATGTTTATGAAGTTACAATTTTTTACTTAATTGTGATTGAATACAGGAGATTTTACATTAATTGTGTACATAAGTTCCTTATTATTACATAGACATACATGGCAGTGGCAAGATGTTTTTGCATTGTTTTGTAATCGGAGAGAATATTCTTACTACAGAATACAACACACACTCAACACAGTTCAGTACTATCCTTGGGTTTTATTTACCTATAGGGTCCAGATCTAGTACAGTTCAGGTCATTAGTACAGCACTAAATAATAACATTATTTATTTTCTACATGTGTAAAAAATATCTAATTATAACTAAGTATGTCAGGATCAAGACAAAAAATTAAAATATTAAACAATTATAGAACTTAATGACAAAATTGTATTAAAAATTTTTAATTGATAAATTATATGTTAGATTTATTAAAATGTAATCTTAAACTTAATGTATATACTTATATACAACTTAGAAATATTCTTACCTTTAGCTGATATTAGTAGTTGGGAGTCCACAACTTTGTTTGGCCAGTATTCTTCAAATTCTGTACCCGGTGGGAAGTAGCTTTTGATGTCCGATAAACTAATCACTGAACAAGTCTCACTCGCAAACAACTCATTCCTTATACCCTGCACTTTGCAACAGAACTTAAGATATGACAAGTCCCACCCTTTCAACTGGTCCGCCTTCAACTTCAAGTTGTCCGTTTCCCCTTCAAAGTAAAACAGAGGCACAAACTTTTGACTGTCTCTCACTGTGTACGGCACCACAGACTCTTTATTTATACGAATAAATCCACACTTGTCCTTACTATTTGTTGTCCCACGCAACAACTTATTATAACAAACATCCAAAAAGTTATAAAACTCATAAGCGTCCAACAATCTCACCACCAAGTCCTTCTGTGTGAAGGGTTCCCGACCAAACTGTCCATCACAGTGCCTATTGTTGATTTCATTTAGTAGCCTAGCCTCAATCTCTGTGATATAGTAGCTCCTGATACATGTACAGGAATATATATCTGCATGCAAATAGTTCAGGTACTTATTTAGTAGTTTGATTTCTACCATCCTGACGGCGACATACTTCTCGCCAGAACGGTAGATGTACGGAATGTGGCATTTTCCCAGCATGTCCCACCCAAAGTGGCCTTTCCAGCTAGCCTCATCAGGCGCCGGGGTTTTCTTCTCGACATCGGGCGCCGGCCGCTGCTCGCCAACCGCGGGAGCGTTCGGCTTCCGCGCCAAAAAGTTCACGATGGCCATTTGACCACCAGGTCCAGGAGGACCAGCACCCACCAGCGAGCCGGGTGGTGGACGCGCAGCGGCTACAGACGCCGCCAGCGCCTTGGCTTTGTTGGCTTCCACCATTTTGGCTGCCAACTCCCGTATCTCAGCCTCGTCAGGCCGCTCGGTCTTCACCTTGACCATCGTGTCCGTCATGTTTGTGACACTGGATACCCTTTCTCACAACTGCACTATAGTTTCTGCATTTAGTCAAGTATACTCCCACAAACCATCACGGTTCAGGCTCGTAGCCTGCATTGATGCACGGACGAGTTTCAAACATAATAAAGTAAACGTAAACAAACTCACTAGTCGGAGTTTACATCCGACTTACCGCTGCACTATTTTGACAGGTTGCAGTACATTTGATATGCACTGTCCAGCTAATTTATTTCACGCACAATCAGCACTATACTGCATCCTACTTCAGTCCATGTGACGAAGGCCGGCAGAACTTACAAATTGTTTTTAACCCGTTATTTTTTATAATACTTTTCATTGAATAATTGTCCGGTAATGTAAATTAATAATATTATTGCAAATAATTACAAATACGAAGAAATTTTTAATAAATAGATCCACGCTGTGGTAGGTAAGGAACATGAAACCCAAATTTTGTGTTCTGTCTGTTCAGGGAAATGCCCAATACCGTTGTATAGTCTCGTCGGGAGTGCGCATTAATTCAGTACATTTTTCACCTTTTGGTGACTCAGCATCGACAAAATGGCCGCCGACAAGGCTTTGTTGGCCAATCGAGCTACTGCTTGCAGTCATACATACCTACAAAAAGTCTCGTCGATGACGTAGCCGCACTCCCGACGAGACTACTTCTCAAGAACTTTTTATTTTTGTTCTATTTTTGTACAACATATTTTTGGAAACGCACCTGAAAGCTAAGTAAAATTAAAAAAAAATACATACCTACGCAAATATCCTCTCAATAGTAATGAAAATTAATTAAAACTATCGCTTGAATAGGTAAATATAAATTATAGATGTACTCTTACAAAGTAATCACTAGGTAGTCTCGTCTCAGAGTTTTCAATGGCTTAAAGTCGCTGATGAATATGAGTTATGCAAAAATCAATCTTATTCGTACGACATACAGGTTCGAACTTACCACGTGATCTTAATTTCGACCTAAATGTACAAAGAGACGAGACTAGCCGACGCGCGCATTCCACGAACAATAATCCCCTGTGTGAGTAAGCGAGACAGCGGGAAACTAAAAAGTAGATGTCAAATGTTTAGGTATTTTACTATGAACGTAAAGAGAACGTAGGTAGGTATATAATGCAATTACAAGCTTACGTAAGCACTTGTAACCTACTTTGTTCTGAGATAGATAGTTGGGCACTTCAACATATTAGCGGTTTTTACATTAATTTTCGTTATCTAATTAAGTACATAAGTAGGTACTACAACACAATATTTTTCTGCTAACAACATTAGTTGTTAAGTATTTTTATCCAGTTACGAAAATAAATAAATTAATCTACATATATATGAAATACCTATAGCAGGTTAATTTATTTTGCTGAGTTTAATCATTTATTTGCCTAATATAATTTTAAATACTGCATAGACAAAAGTTGCAAAAATATTCGGCGTTCATATTTTAGTGGCTAGATATCCATGCACTTTTAACTAATGCACAATATCAATGAGGGGGAAGGGATTGTAAGATATGTCATAATGTGGACTAAAAATTGGTAAGAATGTCTCCATCTCAGATTGACCTCCACGCGGGTCCACCTGGAAATCATCGCGATAATTTCCTACTGAATTTGCCATAATGGGTTCTGACCTGACCTCGTGCTCGACTTATCATCCTCCACTGATGCCCCGCCAGTGTAAACCATTACCGCAGGCAGGCTGGCAATGGAGCTACTAGATTCCACTACCAGCAATCCCTTCTCCCCGAAATATTCGTATAGAGTATCATCGTAATAGACACCCGAGGGGGTCTTTAAGTATGTATTTTAATTCCATTCGCTTTATTATAATTTTATCCTAGCAATATAATATACGTAAATACGGTGAAAAGAACAATTGCTCATTAATTTTATCAAGGAGTAAGTACACGAAAAACCATCCACAAAAGGGACTGATATCCATTTTGTGGAGGCTTTTATATTAGGACTACAAATATAAATATGTCATTCCACAAATTAACAGCATAGCGATGGTAACACATTAACATGATAACATGATGCTGAGACGGGGCTGATGATGATGTAAAAAGTCTTGTGTGTGTACCCAGTAGCGGTGATGGCGAACAGTGCCTCGCTCTTACAGAGGCCTCGCGTAACAACCAAAGCAAATTTTAAACAATTAGTTAGTGTTCATTACACGGCACTCTGATCAACCAGCAGCGCGACCAGCGGGGTCCGTCCGGAGGACACCGACAATACCCGAACGGAGCCGACCGCCACTTGTGCATAGTACGGCGGCAAAGTTACACCTTATTTTATAATCTTGTAAAGAATCAGCAATTAAACTATTTATCATATCAACATTTGTATTATTGGAGCTGCTGAAGCTCCAACAAGGTCCTTCGAGCCGGTTTATCAAGAAACTACAAGATATAAATCGACTACGCCGATACAGCAAGTCATTCAACCACGTCATACAATTGCACTATAGACCGGTCGGTGCGGCCGGGTCATCAGTAAAGGAAATAAGAAGTTGTGAAGATTCCAAACCAGTGTTCAATTCTTCAAATTAATGCAACGTGAACATTCGGAGTACCTCATCGATACGGGTTTTGTGAGTCCGTTCCATAATTCCATTTTATTCCTACATACCTACATATATACATTCAGAATTTTCTATCAGTCTTGTCTGGATCAGGCATATTGATCTCTTATACATATAGCCAGATAGTAAATTCTTATTTTTAAAACGTACTTATCGGTTACTTACAAAGTATTTGTTTTTAATCATATAAATATTTTATTCAAATACTCAATTGCATAACCAGAAAAGTTAATTATTTATTTCATAATAGATATAATAAGTGATTTTTCAGTAAATGCTACGTATATTATAACTAAATAGCAAATAATATAATAGCAATAGTACTTTCGTATATTAATCGACCGAGCGATCGAGAACTTTCTTGCATAGTTGCGTAGGTACCCACTTATTGTTTTTGTTTGCTTATCGGTCGTCACCTGCAGTTCCTATTGTTCTTATATGCAGCATCGAGACCGGTCAGTAATAGACATTTAGCTACCTGCGTTTTATCGGGTTTATAACATAACAACTTAAATAATATTTAGTGCATTATAAATTATATTTTTTTTTTTCTCACAATGAATAAAGATAGTGATAGTGATGTGTTTTCTGCTAGTAAACTCAAAGAAATCAATATCAAACGCGGAACTATGAAAGGTAGACTTACTAAATTCAGTACATATGTAGATTCTTTAGAGAAACAGTTAAATTTAAATCCCGTCCAAGAAGCCGAGCTCGAATGTCGTTTGAGCAAAATAGAATCCCTATATAGTGATTTTGACGATTTACAGGCAGAGGCGGAGTCGTTGTGTGGAGCAGCAGATCAACAGGAGCGTGAAAGAGATCAATTTGAGGACCAGTATTTTGGACTGGTTGCCGTAGCTCGTACTTTACTCGCTAACTCGCGGGGTCCGCGCGGCTCCATGTGCGTTGAAGAGATAAGTGGACTTCACTCAGCCAGACATGATTTTGTGAGGCTTCCCAAAATCGACCTACCTCAGTACTCAGGCGATTTCCAAAATTGGATGGAATTTAGAGATATGTACATTTCTTTAATACACGAAAGTAGCAATCTTAGTAACATTAATAAATTTCATTATTTACGAGCAGCTTTAAAGGGCATGCCTAAGCCTCACTAGTTATTAACAATTTAGACTTCCGTTCAGAAAATTATTTAATAGCTTGGCAATTATTATCAGAAAGATTATTATCATATCTTTCTCGCGTACTTATAAGCAATCATTTAAATGCATTATTTAATTTAGAAGCGATTCCAAAAGAATCTAGTCAGTCTTTACGTAATATGATAGACGTAATTAACAAAAACTTACGGTCATTAAGTGCCCTTGGCCAACCTACAGACCATTGGGACACTCTTATTATTTATATTATGTCTAGAAAATTGGATTATACATCTAATTTAAAATGGGAAGAACTGAGAAATGATCGTAATGACGGCGAAACTTTAGAACAATTTTTTAAATTTTTAAACAACAGAGCTGACTTACTACATACTGTACAATATAACAAAAATGCAAATAAAACATATACGCCATATACTAGCACAGTTAACAATAAAAAAAATAAAACATTTACAGTGACAACCAACAATAATCGCAGTAATAATTACACTATATCTTGTGCGTTATGCAAACAGACTCATCACCTTTTTACTTGTCAGTTATTTAGAGATTTGGATGTGGATACTCGCATACAAAAAGTTAATGGTTACTCCATATGTCAAAACTGCTTGCGTCCAGGACATAAAGAAAATAAGTGTAAATTATCACATTGTAAATATTGTAAGGAGAAACATAACACACTGTTGCACAAAGATATACATACTGAAACTATACATTCAGAAAATGTTGTCTTATCAACAAATATTGTTCAAACGTCTTCTCAGTCACACATTTTATTATCCACAGCATTAGTGCAAGTGTCAGACGCTCAAGGACGACTCCATACTGCGCGTTTGCTGTTGGATAATGGAAGTACTTCTCACTTCATCACACGGCAGCTCTGCGAGAAGCTGGGTCTCGTAATACGTAACACCAACTCCACCATATCTGGTATTAATAACCAGCTTACCGTAAGTGCAGAGTCTTGCAATCTCACTATTAAATCTCGGTCTAGTGATTATGGGGTGCGTCTTAACTGTTATATCTAGCCTAATATAACTCAGTCATTGCCCTCAACATACATAAATACCGACATACAACTTCCCCCTGGAATTCAGTTAGCTGATCCGTCTTTCAATTTTCCAAATGCGGTTCAAATCCTAGTCGGAGCTGAAATATTTTGGGATGTCTTAGGTTCTAATACTATAAATCTCGGCAAGCGACAACCTAAGCTTCAGGAGACTAAGTTAGTTGGATTGTGACAGGCGTGATTCACCAGCCTGCCTCAACAGGCCACACAGGGTCATGGCCATACGGGCCATAAGGCTACCGCACCATATCCGGGGAAGCGGCGGGTTTGCTGGCGGGGTCTCCTCCGTGGGACTTGGTAGCGGAGCTCCACGCGTCAGTGTATCACTGGCGCGCGGAGCGACGTTCCATGGGGAGGCACCCGCTGGCCACGAGATTGGAGCGCGGAGGTCTGACTTTCGGCGGATCCTCAGGATCAGGTGGAGAGAAAGGCTGGCCAGTCCATCGGCCGGCCTGAGGACCGTCGAGGCTGTCCGTCCCATCCTCAAAAGGTGGATGAGTAGGCGATGGCCACTGACGTACCGCATGACGCAGATACTGTCCGGGCACGGATGCTTCGGGCGGTATCTGTGTCATGTGGCGAGGAAGGAGCCGACGACCGGCTGCCACGAGTGCGGAGGTGTGGAGGACACGGCGCAACACACGCTGGAAATATGTCCAGCGTTCGAGAGTGAGCGCCGTGTCCTCACACGAATAGTGGGGGACGATCTCTCGCTGCCGAATTTAGTTCGGAGGATGATCAGTAGCGAGAGATCGTGGCTGGCGGTGAGCTCCTTCTGCGAGGAAGTTATGGGTGAGGGTATAGGTTTTTGGTGAGTACAAATCTCACACACCGCCCCGCCCTGCCTCCGGCGGGGTGACGGTCTTTTGAAGATTTTCCACACGTTAAAAAAAAAAAAAAAAAGGCGTGATTGACCAGGACCCAGTGACACATAATCGTAATACCAAAATAATACGCCAAAACCCATCATGCTTTCTCACACAATGCGAAAATACACAATTGACTCGCTTTTGGGAGCTTGAGTCCGTATCTCCCAGGTATTCTCAGTCAGCAGAAGAAAGGTTTTGCGAAGAAAGTTTCAATAATAATACACGGCGTGATAGTCAAGGTAGGTTTGTTGTAACTATACCACTCAAGGAGTCCCCTGAGGTGTTGGGCGACTCATACATGAGAGCACGGAGTCAATTCCTTTCTCTTGAACGTCGACTGCAACGCGATGAGACCCTGAAACAAAGGTACGCAGATTTCATGCATGAGTACATTCTACTAGGACACATGGAAGAAAATAAACAAAAAACCGAAAGTAAATCATATTACTTACCTCACCATGGAATCACACGGGAATCTAGCTCCACTACGAAGCTACGTGTTGTCTTCAACGCTTCAGCGTCGACCTCTACCGGTAAATCATATAATGAAATACAATGTATAGGCCCAGTTGTACAAGAGGACCTCTATTCTATTCTTCTTAGATTTAGGCAACATAAATACGTAGTCACTGGTGACATCGAAAAAATGTATAGAGCTATCTTAGTTACACCCGAACAACGTTCATTACAACAAATATTATTTCGATTTAATACGTCAGACCCTTTAAAGTGTTATAAATTAAATACGGTGACTTATGGCACCGCGTCGGCACCGTATTTAGCAACCAAATGTCTGGCATCACTAAGTAACGCTTGCTCTGATCGTAACGCTTGCTCTGATCGTAACGCTTGCTCTGATCGTAACGCTTCACTTTCAATACAGAGGGATTTTTATGTGGATGATTATTTGAGTGGAGGAGATACCATTGAATCCATTAAAAAACAATGTCAAATCGTAAAGGAAGTATTAGAATCTGCTCATTTGAATTTACGTAAATGGCAATCAAATAATATAGATTTGTTACGGTCAATTACCACCGATAAAAAGTTAATTGATACAGAAAAATCATTAAATTTAAATCAATATCAGCCATGTAAAACTCTCGGTCTGAATTGGGATACTATTTCTGATATGTTTTTGTTTACTATTCAAATAAAGAACAATGACGACAAAATAACGAAACGTAATGTCCTATCTCTTACAAGTCAGGTCTTTGATCCACTTGGGTTGTTGGGTCCATGCACAGTCCGAGCTAAACTGATCATACAACAGTTATGGAAAATTCAATGTGGCTGGGATGATGAAATTCCAGAAGCGATAAAAAAAGAATTCATAGATTTTATCGATTCCTTACCTTTGTTAAATTCATTGCGCATTCCGCGGTGGGTTTCCTCTACATTAAAATCATCGATCGAAATACATACATTTACAGATGCTTCAGAACTCGCTTATGGTGCCTGTGTGTATGTTAGGGTAATGACTGATGAAAAGGTATATGTACACTTATTAACTTCCAAAAACAAAGTAGCCCCTGTAAAACCGACTACAATCCCACGACTGGAACTTTGTGCAGCTCTGCGGGTCAAGACTATTTACAAAGGTTATACATTCACTTACCTTACAGTTTACGCGCTGTTTCTTTTGGAGTGATTCCATGATAGTACTGGGGTGGCTGAAAGCTTCAACTAGTCAATTAAAACATTTTGTTCGTAATCGCGTTAACGAAATTCAGGAAACCACGAGTGGACATAAGTGGTGTTACGTACCGTCACAAGACAATCCGGCAGACCTGGTTTCTCGTGGCGTGAGGTCTGAATCCATCAGTATGTCAGAATTGTGGTGGTCGGGCCCTACTTTCTTACATACAAAGACCATCACGATACCCAAACAACCTAACACATCAGTTCCACATTTACCAGATATCTCACTACACACAAAAACATACACGCTAATAAGTACAGACATACATACAAAAACACACACAAACGGAGACACACATTTACAAAATAATTCCATATATTTATTTATACTTAAATCATCAAATTATACAAAATTAATTAGAATTGTTGCATACATAAAACGATTTATTAATAATTGTAAAAAATCAAACCTTAAAATAAATAATTGTTTATGTACTACAGAGTTAAAAGCATCAGAATATATAATTTTAAATATTTGTCAACAGGCAATGTTTCCTCATGAATATAACATTTTAAGGGGTAATAGAATTCTTGAAAGGAGGAACAGATTGAATAGTTTATCTCCATTTATTGATGCTAATAATTTAATTCGAGTTGGTGGTCGCCTTGCTAACTCATATTACTCATACGACATTAAGCATCCTATTTTATTATGTAGCAAGCATCATATTACGAGTGCTTGTTAAAATGTATCATATAAATTTACTACATGCTGGACCCCAACTTTTAAGTCTTAAGTTTGCTAAAACTTAAGACTGAATTATTGGATTTTAAACGGTAGAAATTTAGTAAAAATAATTGTTAAAAGATGCATAAAGTGTTTTAGATTTAATCCTCGATATTTTCAGCCTAAAATGATTCCCAACTTGATTATCCATTTCAAAATACAGGTATAGATTATGCAGGACCAATATTAATAACAGATAGGAATGGTCGAGGTGGGAGGCTCACTAAATCTTACATATGTGTCTTTGTCTGTTTTGCGGTGAAGGCACTACACTTGGAGCTGGTGACGGACCTCACAAAGCAAGGGTTTTTATTAGCTTTAAATCGATTTATGGCTCGCCGTGGCAAGCCTTCTACTGATTTATACATCTACTGATTTATACATTCTGACAACGGCACCTCCTTTGTCGGTGCTTCTAATGAAATCAAACGAATGCTTGATAATTGCTCAGGTGACATCACACAGCAAGGCATAGAATTTAAATTTATCCCTCCTTACACGCCCCATTACGGAGGTCTTTGGGAAGCATCCGTAAAAAGCGTGAAATATCATTTACGTAGAATTCTTTCTCTGTCTCATTTAACGTACGAAGAAATGTCGACTTGTCTGATTCAGATAGAGGCTGTTTTAAATTCGCGTCCACTTACCCATTTATCAACCAACCCTTCGGATCTTTCCTACCTTTCACCTGCCCATTTCCTTATTGGACGGTCTCTCACATCACTTCCGTGTCCTCAGGTCACCGATGCCAACATCAATCATCTACAACGCCATGACAGGATCGAGAAGATGAGACAACATTTTTGGAAAAGATACACTAACGAGTATATATCTACTCTCCAACAGAGAACAAAATGGCAGTCATCGGAGGGAGAGGAAATGAAGGTTGGAGCCATGGTCATAGTCAAGGACAAAGTGCAGCCACCGCTCCTTTGGTTATTAGGGCGGATCACAAAGTTATCTGGCTCTGACACTACACGGGTGGCTGAGATTCGTACGAAGACAGGCATCATCACGAGGGCATACAACAACATATGTGTACTTCCCATCTATTGAATGGCATAGCATTCAACGTCCGGGAGTATGTTCATTACACGGCACTCTGATCAACCAGCAGCGCGACCAGCGGGGTCCGTCCGGAGGACACCGACAATACCCGAACGGAGCCGACCGCCACTTGTGCATAGTACGGCGGCAAAGTTACACCTTATTTTATAATCTTGTAAAGAATCAGCAATTAAACTATTTATCATATCAACATTTGTATTATTGGAGCTGCTGAAGCTCCAACAATCATTTTGCAAAATTAGTGTCAAGTTGCAAAAATTTCCCGATTTAAGTATGCGACAAAATTACCAACACTAAAATATACAAATTTTTTTATAACACGGGGGATAAACGAGCATGCGGCTCACCTGATAGTAAGTGATTACCGCCACCCATAAGCACCCGCAACACCAGGGGAATAGCAAGTACGTTGTCGGCCTTTAAAAAAGGAATAAGCTCTTTTCTTGAAGGTTTCAATATCGTATCGGTTCGGAAATACCATTGTTGGAAGGTGATTCCACAATGTGGTTGTGCGTGGCAAAGTTTCTAGAAAACCGCATTGTGGAGGACCGCCATTCATCCAGATGATCAGGATGGTATTTTAGTTTCTGGCGGGTGGTATGGTGGTGAAACTCAGCAGCTGGTATTAATACGAACAATTCCTTAGAACATTCCCCGTGATATATGCGGTAGAAAATGCACAGAGATGCAATATCTCGCCGCAAAGCCCATGGGTCGAGTCTGTCGCATAGACGTTGATTACCAATGATTCTGGCTGCTCGGTTCTGAATGCGGTCAAATGGAAGTAGCTGGTATTGTGGTGCTCCCGCCCAGAGATGAGAACAGTATTCCATATGCGGCCGGATCTGCGCCTTGTATAATTGCAAGCGATGGGCCGCCGTGAAATTCCGTCTCACTCTACTGAGAACAGAGAAACTCTACAATTAAAAAAACATCTAAAACAAGGCAAAGTATTTATGAATCAGAAAATTTCCGCATAATCATTCGCATCACATATTTTTCACGTAACACTAAGGGCCTCGTAAAGCCCGGAGCCACGCAATGGCTAAAGCCGCCGCTGAATGTACCTCAGTCTAATATATTTCAGACCCCAAGTAGTTTATTTTGTAAGTTGCGTTTCGATTGTAGTTTACAGATTAAGATATACATATAACTGTATATCAGAGGCATGACATATTAGTCCTCTGAAATAACAAAATATGCGGTTGTCACATGATAACGTGATGCCCATAATTTCCATGTAGATATGTAGGTGACGTTTACCGCTTACTATCAGGTGGTGGATGTCAATTACATAAAAATGTGGTATTTTTATGTAATTGAAACACATAGCAGGTAAATTCTATCGATTTTTTTTATACTACTATGGTGGCAAACATGCATACGGCCCATCTGATGGTAAATGGTTACCGTAGCCTATGGACGCCTGAAACACCAGGGGTGTCACGTGCGCGTTGCCAACCCTTAAAAACCTTAATATACCCTTCTTGAAGAACCCCATGCTGTAGTCTCGTGAGAAAACCTCGCATAGCATAAGCATAATCCTATCATAATCTTGTCGGGTATAAAGAAGTTGTGGTATTTTTTAATATTTACATAAGATAGCTAACCTAACCAACCTAGACAAAATATAGTTACTTCGAAAGTATCTCTCCTCAGTGGGTTATACTGAATATAAACATCCAAATAGCAAAATGAAGAGAAAAGCGCCATCTGAGGATAAGCTGGACTTAGAAAACAATAAGAAATGTAAAAAAATAGACATATATTATAATTTTTATAATTATGTCTCACGCCTTGGCTTAACGTATTTGGGACACGGTATCAGTTATAGAGAGAGTATTGTTAGTTTCAATATTGTTTTGAAGGTTTAAAAAATTCTTCTAAGAACGGGAAAAATAAACACTTTCTCTGGCCTTTTGCATCATCCTATTGGAGGCAATCACGAGCGCGCATGGCAATAGTTGTTAATGCACGGAATTTTCATTTATTGTTAGACATAGACACCTGTATAAAAAATGAAAATAAACTGGCTATTTAAAATAAAAAATAAATTCAGTTGAGTTTCTTGCCTGTTTTTCTCAATTGAATCTGTATACTGAACTGGAAAGTAGGGAAAAAATATATGTATTACAAAAAATTTGACGTTCATAAGCGGATATAATGTCCTACATGAATAAATTATTTTTGGTTTGAGGATGTAGGTTGGGGTTTTGGGGCGTGTACCTTTGCACGTTCTCAGGGGCAACTACCCAGGGTCGCTGGCTTTAAGAGGTTTAAAACCTTATTTACTATGAGCTATATTTCTTTTTGTTTAAATAAATATTAACAGTGCAAATACACAGATTGGTATGCGTATTTGCATATATATTTACATATTTACGTGATATATGTCAGTAATAACCATTCAGTATTCTCAAATTTAAGTAACTGACACGAGTCATCCACACCTACTGGGGAGATGAAGGTTGGGACTTCGGGGTGAACCGCTTTACCCCGACATCGACTCCGGGGACAACAACCTCTGAATGGCAGGATTGAAGGTTCTTAAGGCGATTTTGAAAATAACAACTTAGCCTAACTTGCAAAAGTAAACAACTAGGAAACTTTTTTTTAATTTCTTCGATTTTCATCATAAGGTGTCTTCAACTTAAGTTAGAATAAACTGTTTTTTTTAATACGGTCCCCCTCCTCATTTCAAATAAAGACAAAAAAACTCAGCCTATACAGCCATCAGAAACAACTGCTTGTCAATGTCCTTAAAATGTCAACCTGTCAAGGCAACTGTCAACAATTAAATACGGCATCTATTCAGCGTCTTGTGTAAAATTAGACATTTTCAATATTTATTTTCATTTTAAATACATTTTGATAACTTAATTTTTATTATTATTTTTGACATAGGTTTATTTAGTTTTATATTATAAGTTTGTTATTATACATTTATATATTACTTATACTCGTAGATATCAATACACCGCTTGGGTGAGAAGTTCTAATATTTTATAACTCTACAAGTCCCGCGAATCTATGAATTCAATTTGAATTCTATTTATATTAAATTACTTTTGTGCGAGTTTATCGAATATTAAACGATGGAAGACGTAAAAGTGTGCAGATTATGCTTAATTACAGACGTTAAAATGTACGACGTGGAGTCATATCCGTTTGTAAATTATTTTGAGTCAATAATTGGAAATAATGTAAGTTCTGCACTTTTGTATTTTTATAACATAGTCCTACCTGTTATATGTTAAATATATTTATTTAGATTATTATGGTGATATCTCTATCAAACCTATGAGGTATTTGTAAAGATAAACTTGTTTATTTATAATTTCAACCAAACAAAATGAAAATAACATAATATGAGATATATTATTATATTTTTTTGTGTTTTTTTCTAGAATAATAATTTACAATTTTGATCCAGAAATGTCTGTCCTACAACCTCATAAACTCACAAACTTTACCTCCTTATAATAGTATAGATTTAACTTACTTTGTAGACTGCTGATGCCAATTTGAAGGTTGGTATTAACCAGTAAAGTTACAGGATAAGAAAGCATAACACAACATGAACCTCAGGAACATTAACATATAAGAGCTACTATGATGTATTTTGATATCATGCAAAATTGTTTGTGGTTAATATATATTTGTAAAGTTTACAATTTTATATTGTATGTTATTGGTGTTGTGGTGTTGGTATGCTGTTAGCATTACAATAATAATAATAATAAAGAATGTTACAATTTTTTTCTTGTTTCCCTTAATTTTAAATTCCAGCTTGTCTTTCAACATAGGTGTCCTCAAGATCTTTCCATATTTGTCTCAAACATAGTTTCCATTATTTCCTTTAGGTTTCTAGTATATGTAATATTTTATCACTAACCCTACCATCTTCCTGTAGTTATTCTGTACCATAGCTTTCCATCTCTTCCTCTTATCTTATCTTCCCATTAAAACATATAAAAAGAAAATAGCTGATAAAAGTAACTATAATAAATTGGGGGGAAAGGGGATAACAATCACATACTAACAAGTAATGTGGCCTGATGACTCCATTGCTAACAATGTACCATGTCAGATTGACCTTCATGCGGTACCCTCTGGAAACCATCATGAAAATTTCCTGGTGAATTTGTCATGATGTGCTAACTGACCTCTTGTTCATGTTCATCTTATCACACTCCACTGGTGCCCTGCCAGCATAAACAGTTAGTGCAGGCAGGTGCACCATTCCATTACCATCAATAAAAAAAACTATAATAAGATAACTGATATTGTTGACAGGCATTTAATGCATTGGGGATGCCGCTGTACAGTTGTTATGAGTGCACAGCTCTTGCCAAGAAATATCACGACTTCAAGGAGCGATGTATAAGGGGACAAGCAGTGCTTTACGACTTATTATGTAAATCTGGAAAGGTAATAATGGCTATTTATATTTAAAAAAAATAAATGAAATACTATTTTTCCTTTCATTAACAAAAATTATACAGTATAATAAATATAAAGACCTTATTTAATTTGCTCTGTAGGAATAGCACCTTATTAATTAATAATAATAGAGTAAATTAAATAAGGTCTTTATATTTATTATACTGTTTCTATAGTATAATAATTGTGAAAAACTCTTACTAGAAATAAGAATAACCTCTGTATCTTCTGTGTTACTTTGGCTAACTCTAATCTTTAATATACTGCAATATTTATACTATAGACTGGCTAACTTATTTATTCTTATATTACCCATTATTAAATACAAAATTATTGCTCTATTATATGGTTAATTCCCAGCCTACATTGTAATTGTCTGTTCAGTACAATGATAATTTGTATGAAGCCCACTCAGGAACTATTGTACCAATTGATTATATCATCATCTCCATCATCATCATCAACCCAACCCATCTGGGCATAGGCCTCACATAACACATTCCATTGGTTCTATGATTGATACTAATTAAAACAATTTCAGATTACAAAAACTGGTATCACCTGTGTAAATAGACATGATCTACATCTGCAGTCTAATTTAAGCACTACAAAATCTTTCGTCGTAGATGTGTTAATAGACTATCAGTGTCCGGAAATATCACCAGAAAAAAGCCAGCAAGAAATTAAACAAGAGCCATCTATTGAAGATATTGAACAACCAAGTGCAGTTGAAACAGAAGATGTTAAGTTGGAGGACTCGTTTGATGTGTTTCTGTCACCAACAGTATCATCTAGTGAGGATGATGAACCATTGTCGCGGCACAGGAGTAAAGATAAAGATAAAAAGAAGGGAAAGAAGAAGAAAAAGATTGTGGGCGACAATTGCAGTACCAATAATGTGAGATATTAAATAGATATGAATAAACATTATATATTATGGCCTTTATTCAGATCAACTTATACATTATTAAAAAAAACATAATACTTTAAAAACTAAAAACGAAAAAAAGTATTCTAGTATTTTGATGTTTTTAAATTTCTGCAGATCTATTTGCCAATCGGCAGAGGCCTCCTCCAGTCGTGAGCCACTCTGTTCCACATGACTCCTGCCACTTCCCTAAAATCATCATCACATCTTGTGTGGGGTGAATAATGAATAAATTATGAATGAACATACTGAACAATATTAACTTTTACATTTATGTAATACTAGACTTTCATCCCTAATTTCACGCCTTCTAGATTATTTTTTGAGATAAATTATAGCCCATGTCGATCCTCATGATGAAGTCTACTGTAATTTTTTTTAATTTATAATCCTTTATTGCATATTAAATTTCATTAAGATTCATTCCAACATAAATGAATCTTAATCATGACTAAAGTTGTGAGAAGACAAGAATGAAGAACAAATGTGCAGTAAAACGATTATTAGATAAAATGTCTTTGTGAGTGCGTAGCGGTTTCTATGTTGATTATTGCATGACTCTTACTTGTTATTCTGTAATTATTTATATAAAAAAAACTTCTATTCAAAAGAGCAACACACAAGTTCCTTGCTCATTCTTCTTGTGAAGAATCTGCATTCCGAATGAGTGGTAGAATCAAAATATGACTATTCAAAAGTGCTTGTAATGAGATTAATTGAATAAAGATTATTTCTATTTGTGTCAATAAAAAAGTAAAAGGTAATTTTCATTTAAATTACCACTACTATTGCGGTTACACAATAAGTTCTTTCACGCGTGATTAGCGGCGCGTCCGATTTAACGGAGGAATGCGTGTGCGCAATGCTGAGTGATTGTTCGTGTTTTAAATTTTTTTTTATGTTATTTTCCATAAACACCTTTAAAGTTTATTAATTATTAACAAATCTGTGTTTAGGTATTTGATCCATGGTAAGATGTCCGCCATTGTGCAGTGATAATTATTTATTACAAAAATGCACGAATGTAGAACACTAGAATGCGAGAAGGAACGGAGTGAGAACGGCGCGTCCGCTTTCTTTCTCGCTCTCCCTTTCTACTTTACATGCGCACTCTTTTCCGCGCAAAAGGCGGAATTATAATAATAAAAAACTAAAATTAAACTTAAACTTCTTTAAACTTGTATTTTTTTTATTTTAGTCAACAAGGTCACTAAAATTTTGTAAACATTTTCGACACTCAATGTCTATTGTAAAAATACGTTTATTTGTATATTTATATGTTTATATAACGACTGTTTGTTGCCAAAATAAAGAGAAAAGAATAATAATTTTAAGTAATACTTAATAGCATGCTGTTAAGTACTAAAGGTAGCGTAGTAAGGTAACTTTTATTACATATTCAGGATACCAACGAGGCTTCCGAACCAGAAGTGCTTCCAGTGGTACCCAGAAAGCGAGGGCGTCCAAAGAAGACGGAGACAGTGCCAAAGCCTCGGAAGGGTCGCCGCGCTCCGACCGTTGAGGGTATACCGTGTGATGAGGACGACCTGGAACAGTATGTCACTGTTATAAAATTGACGGTAATTATATTTTTACTAGCTTTTATATCCAGCTGTGAAACTAACTCTATTGTACGGCGGAGAGGAAAATTTTAATATAATTAACGACAGTCAACCCTCCTATAACGCGGTACTCTCATTGTACACTAAAAACATATTTAAAAAATAATATACGTAAACTATACATATAAATAAAATTGAACGAACAGTTTTTTTTTAAATGAAATGAAAATTTTTTACTACATGCATATGAATATAAATACGGTACATACACCAAAATAACATTTTTACAATGTTTGTCTGTCTGTCTGTTTATTCCGGCTTATCGCTGAAATAGCTGGACCGATTTTGACGGGACATATTTTTGGCAGATAGCTGATGTAATAAGGAGAAACTTAGGCTACTTTTATTTTAGAAAAATAAAGTTAAATTCCACGCGAACAAAGTCGCGGGAACAGCTAGTTTTTAATATAATTGACTACTCTGGTCTAAACACTATGTCTTATACTCGTATTGTTACTTAACTAATTGCATGTAATTTTTATAAAAGTTAAAATCTATATAGATAGGGTATACTAGGATTTTTCGTTCACGAAAGTTAACGACCACCTTATAGTAAGTGGTAACTTTGACCTATATACATGAAAATCACGTGATTATGTGATATCTGTGATACCACTCAGACGTCACTCCAGAGGACTCTGATATATCCTTGTATCCTATAATGTCACTGACTTACCTCGGTCCTTCAACCGCAAGACATCTTTCAAAGCAAGCTTATAGGAATAAATATCATAAGAATCTATAATACATGAGTAAAGTTATTTTAATTGATTGATTATATTAAAGTTATTCTACAATGCCTTTAAAATAAAACAATAATACAAATATAATATAATAATATTGTAGCAGATTATAATATTTAATGTTCATTATGGTGATCAGGAACAAGAGCAGATTGAAGAAATTATGAAACGGCAGGAGTCGTCTAACTATTTGAACGCGCCGTACCGCTGCGACCTCTGCTACAAGGGTTTCATAGAGCCGCGAGCATGGAAGCACCATCGCAGCAAGCATGACCCAGTAAGAAATTTCAGTTTATATAATACTAGCTGTGTCCGCTGTTTCATCCGCGTTAAATTACAATAAAAAATATAGCATATGTGTTATTCTGATGCATAATCTATATTATGTAAAATTTCATCAAAATCCGTTCAGTAGTTTTTGCATGATTTATTAAGTCTAGCTACCCGCCCCAGCTTCACACTGGTGAAGACACCAAGACGATTCTGCTCTTGGGAGACTACTCCACATATTATAAGTAAATAAATAATACTTAAAAGTAAATAAATAAATGTTATTAATATAAGAAATAAGAAAAAAGCGTAGAACGGAAGAATATGGACAATATTCTTCCATTTTCACACTTTTAAAGGTTCAATTATTCTGTAGCCACGTTGAAGTTTTTCAAATTACTACTCTTGTTTGCAGAGTGCCGGCGATATAGAATGCGTGGTATGTAAGTTCAGGTTTAAAACAAAACGCACGCTGCAGAAACACGCCGCCAATCATGAGAAGAAATACGCTTGTAAATCGTGCCCCTACATCTCAAAAACTACGTAAGTATTTAAAATTAAAATAATAAATAAGTAAATAACCCTGGACAAGTAATACAGCACCCTCTAGTCCCACGATAAGCAGAGCTTGTGTTATGGGTACTAGACAACTCATATAAATATTTAGACATTATTTTTTGTAATTATCTATATAATATACTTAGAAAATACCATGTAGGTGTATTACAGACCGATACAAACAATATATTTAATAAGTTTACTATAGGTACAGAGACATACAGGATACACCAAGCGAAAATGAAAGAATGAAAAATATTGAAATGAATAAATAAATAAAAATAAATAAATAAAATAAAAGCCATTGATAATATTAAAAAATCTAAACATTTCTATATTTTTTTCTGCAAAAGTGAATAAATTGTATTAAAAACATTTTTTTATTTATTACAATTTTAGAACCCAGGCGAAACAACATCAAAGGTGGCATAAGGGTGTCACTTACAAATGTCAGTACTGTGACGAGGTTTCCACGTGAGTACAATATAAAAAAATAATAACACAAGAAAAAAGTTTGTTTTATGTAATTTCTTGCCAATAGGGTAAGTCCCAGGCCAGTCCCCGAAGTTGATGCCGGGGTAAAGGGGCCCCGAGGACATGCATCCTCTCTCCCTTGGGGGAAGGGGAGGGGGAGGGCTGCGGATGACCCGGTTCAGTACATTTCTTAGTCTTTAAATTAATAGACTATTATACAAAATGGGGTTCACGACACCGCAAGGGGTTCGAATCTCTGCTCAGGCCGTCATAATTTCGATTCTTGTGGATCAAGGGAGATCGGAGGGGCGACTGGGTGCTCCGGTGTGGAGCGCCCGAGCGCTCCCAAGCGTCTTGTCGTTTGCACTGTACGGTGTGGTTGAGGTCGTCGTCTTCGCCTGCGAAGACGATGTGCGTATGTGTGATTGCGTAGTGGGACGGTACGGGTGGACCCGTAGGGTGATTAGTTAACGTTAGGAGGCCGGGTTCTATAAGAACGTGCCTCGGGCGGATGGTCGCGTAAGGATATGTCTCCTCGGTGCACAGTGGACTAAATGTAATGACTGTGGTGCTGTTCATGTATATAGCCGACGGTTACCACATACCATCAGGCGGGCCGTCAGAGCTCACTTGCCATACCAGTCTCATAGAAAATCCTAGTGTATGTATGACAGTAAATGGACATCATACCTGAGCCACGTGCGGATCAAACACCCTTCGGAGTTCATCTGCGGCGTGTGTGGATATTCGTTCGTGAGCAAGCTGGGCCTCGCCATGCACAAGACCATGATGCACAAGGAACAAGCGGTCAGTATACTTGTAACTGTACATATTATATAAAAGACATATTTACCATCATCTGCTTCTTCCTTATCACATTCCCTTCTTTTGTTTATTTCCACAAACAGTGGTCCGTGCCTTTGTTAATTTTATCTATTTCTATTAATTTAATTGATGGCGAGCGGTGCGATGCTTAAATTTAATATGTCATAGTATTGTCTGTAATAGCAAAAGGAACAAGAGGAAGGTGAGAACGAGGAAGATATGCAGTATTGCAAAGATTGCGATGTGAAGTTCATATCGTTGGAAGCGTTCAAGAGACACATGGTCACGTCTGCGAAGCACGCGCAAAGCACGAACTTCAAGTGAGTGCATATATTATATGTAGTACTAGCTGTACACGCGACTTCGTTCGCGTGGAATTTAACATTATTTTTCTAAAATAAAAGTAGCCTAAGTTACTCCTTATAACATCAGCTACCTGCCAAAAAAAGTCCCGTCAAAATCGGTCCAGCTACTTCAGAGATTAGCCGGAACAGACAGACAGACAAAAATTGTGAAAAATGTTATTTTGGTGTATGTTCCGTATTTATATTATGTAGTAAAAAACGGTTATTTCAATATTACAAACAGACACTCCAATTTTTTTTATATGTATAGACGTTACTAAAATTTATTGGCGTGCTCTAAGAAAAATGTTGTCTTTGTCTCAAATGATTGTCTATCAAGGGTATAAGATTTCATTTAAACAGATTTATTTCTCTATTATTATGTTTGCTTTAATGACGTTTGCTTTTTACCTCTACTACCTTCTACCCACTTTTTGGTATTTCCCATGAATAGAAGGTTGGTATAAGGATGGAGGTCAGTTAGCCCATTAAGGCAAGTTTCCACGATGGTTTTTAAGAGGGACTGCATGGGAGTCGACCTGACGTGGTACAATGCTAATACACTTCATGTCACTATTACTAATGAACACTCATGCGCCATGCATTAGTGTTCATTAGGAATAGTGCTGCTGTAGTTTGAGTGTATTTCCGATGATGTTATGATGATAGCAGCATTAGCAAGCCATCTATGCACCAGTGTTCATTAGTAACAAACTGGTAGGTTTTGTGTAAATTGTTGCCCATTGGACTTAAATCCTATCTCCGGGGTTTTTAAATGGATGGTAATGGTATACGCTGTTAGGGCACTAATCAGGTCAGTTGGGTGGCCAACTGACCATAGTTAGCACAGTTGTCATATCGTGACAAAGTCATCAGGAATTTATCATGATGGTTCCAAGTGTGAACCACTCGGAGATCAGCCTGACATGGTACATTATTAGCAATGGGGTCAGCAGTCCACATTACTAACAATCCCCTTCTCACTGTCCCCGGGGGTTGTTGCTCCCGGAGTCGAAACAAAAGCCCCGAAGACCCGACCTAAATCTTCGAAGTTGGGGATGCGGATGATTCGGTTCAGTTTTTGTGTATTGTTGTGGCGGTGTGTGTATGTGGTAATGGTGAGGGTGTGATGAGAGTGACGGTGAGGGTATGACGGGAGTGTGACAAGGGTGTGACGGTGAGGGTGTACCGAGAGTATGACGGTAAGGGTGTGACGAGAGTGTGACGGTGAGGGTGAGCGAGGGTGTGACGAGAGTATGACGGTGAGGGTTTGAGGAGAGTGTGACGGTGAGGTGTGGTCCCCAGCACGGGTTGCCGCGCGTGCGGGGAGACGTTCGAGTGCGTGTCGTGGCGGGGAGGGTGTGAGGAGAGTGTGACGGTGAGGTGTGGTCCCCAGCACGGGTTGCCGCGCGTGCGGGGAGACGTTCGAGTGCGTGTCGTGGCGGGGAGGGTGTGAGGAGAGTGTGACGGTGAGGTGTGGTCCCCAGCACGGGTTGCCGCGCGTGCGGGGAGACGTTCGAGTGCGTGTCGTGGCGGGGAGGGTGTGAGGAGAGTGTGACGGTGAGGTGTGGTCCCCAGCACGGGTTGCCGCGCGTGCGGGGAGACGTTCGAGTGCGTGTCGTGGCGGGGAGGGTGTGAGGAGAGTGTGACGGTGAGGTGTGGTCCCCAGCACGGGTTGCCGCGCGTGCGGGGAGACGTTCGAGTGCGTGTCGTGGCGGGGAGGGTGTGAGGAGAGTGTGACGGTGAGGTGTGGTCCCCAGCACGGGTTGCCGCGCGTGCGGGGAGACGTTCGAGTGCGTGTCGTGGCGGGGAGGGTGTGAGGAGAGTGTGACGGTGAGGTGTGGTCCCCAGCACGGGTTGCCGCGCGTGCGGGGAGACGTTCGAGTGCGTGTCGTGGCGGGGAGGGTGTGAGGAGAGTGTGACGGTGAGGTGTGGTCCCCAGCACGGGTTGCCGCGCGTGCGGGGAGACGTTCGAGTGCGTGTCGTGGCGGGGAGGGTGTGAGGAGAGTGTGACGGTGAGGTGTGGTCCCCAGCACGGGTTGCCGCGCGTGCGGGGAGACGTTCGAGTGCGTGTCGTGGCGGGGAGGGTGTGAGGAGAGTGTGACGGTGAGGTGTGGTCCCCAGCACGGGTTGCCGCGCGTGCGGGGAGACGTTCGAGTGCGTGTCGTGGCGGGGAGGGTGTGAGGAGAGTGTGACGGTGAGGTGTGGTCCCCAGCACGGGTTGCCGCGCGTGCGGGGAGACGTTCGAGTGCGCGGAGTCGCTGCGGCTGCACCACCGGCGGCAGCACGCGCGCCAGCGACCCAAGAACTACGGCAAGAAGCCCGCCGCGCTCCGCTGGCCCACGCGCTGCGAACACGTACCTACACCACACTACACTTTCATATATCTCTACCATTGCCGCGGTTTCACCTACCTGACATTTATAGCCTATATGTTATTCTGATGTCTGATGATGTAATGTTTCATCAAAATCCGTTCAGTAGTTTTTGCGTGAAAGAGTAACGAACATCAAGACCCACAAACTTTCGCATTTATAGTATTAATAAGATAATCTCTTTTTTAATGTCAGGTACTAAATTGATAGATGTAAATGTCAAATATTCAAATAATGTTACCAGCTGTACCTTGAAGAATCTCATGTGAAAAAGCTATCATCATAGGAAATGTCAAATTTGTCTCCGAGATAAAAAATAAGCTATAGAACCCTAGCTGCCTCGCGCAACTTGGTTTACGTAAAATTTTACAGGGATTTGCATCTTTTTCATTGCAGCTCCGATACTCTCGAATAATGTGGCTTTCTAATGTATTGATAAAATCGGTTCAGTTGATCCAGAGATTACATTCACCTTACAAACGTTTATTATCTATTGAACTTTAAATTTTATTGGATATTTTTATATTAATTATTATTTATTAACAATTTTTTCTCACACAGTGCTCGGAAGAGATTCCAAACGCGCGCGAGTACTGGACGCACTTTCGGCGCGCCCACCCAGACAAGAAGTACCCCATACAGAAGAATTACATCTGTGATATATGCGGCAAGGGCTTCCGGGTATGTATTCACGCCACTTTACTTGACTCTACTTGACCTCAGCCTGAGGTATATGCAGATTTTTTACTAAGTTTACTTATGTAAAAATCATTGCGTTTCATTGAGCTAATTATTGAACCGATAGAATATTAAAACCTTAAAGAAAAGAGCTTCCTTCTTAAAAGACGCCAACGCACTTGCAAATACACTGGTGTTGCGGGTGATCATGGGCGGCGGTAATCACTTAGTAAGTAAGTTGCAAGCTCGTTTCTCCTTATGCTATAAAAAAACAATTATCGACTTTGTGATAACACTTCCAGTAGAAATTCATTAAGTATGAATATGGACTTCCGTAAAATAAAACCTGTCGATTGTGTTGAGACTGTTTTTAGTTTACTTAATATTATATTGAAATTTAAATAAAATGTCTATCTATGCTTATATTGTGAGGACTAATTAAATGTAATTAAATGATAGCCTGTCGGCAGATACATACACAACTATACCTACGTTCCCGTATAGACCAACCAAAATTTAAATATAAAAAAAAATGTTCCATTACAGGGCAACGCGTTTTTGGTGTACCACAAGCGGACCCACTTCGAGGAGCGTGCGTACAAATGCGCGCAATGTCCGAAGGCTTTCCACAACCGCACCAACCTGCAGATGCACGAGAAGACGCACTCCGACCACCGGCCGTACCCCTGCACTGTTTGTATGAAGGCGTTCAAGTCCAAGGGCGCACTCGACAGACACTTTAGAGTAAGTATAAATGTTGTTCTTGGATTTAAGTACTAGGCAAAAATTATCTGTTGGATAACATCCTATAATTGGCTTTCGAGCCAATTATAGGATGTTATCCAACAGATAATTTTTTCATCAAAGATTTTATTCGCCTACCGTTAACTTCATATAGTCGGCTCGAAGGATCAATTATTTTGTTCGTTAACTAATAACTTCATCTAATTGGCTCGAAGGGCCATTAATGTTTTTTACTGATCCCGTCGTACATGCAGCTGGTCGTACTTCTCCTTTCTAATGTGACATCATATATTTTACTAGAAATTATAGGCATTTCCATTTCAAATATTTATTTTAAAATATACAATTGGAACTGTATCGTCACAATGTTAACTTCTCTCGCTTATGTGACGTAACATATGGTGAAGTCCTAACCGGAGCTGAACGGGAAGCTAACAGTGAATCGGAACAATGCTGAGTAGAGGTCGGTTTGTTCGCAGAGTCACACCGGCGTGAAGCCGTACCCGTGCGAGGTGTGCGGCAAGGCGTTCGGTCAGTCCAACAGCCGCAAGTTACACGTGCGCACCGTCCACCTGCGGCAGCCCGCGCCCTACCTCAGCCGCACCCGCCTCGAGCGACTCGAGAGACGCGCGCGGCCTCCGCGACCCGACGCCTGCTACTGAACGGTCACCAGTCACTCCCACACCACAAATCGAAATAACGTTTTTTATAATTATCTCTGTCTGCCTATTGCCGTCGGTACGTTACATAGATATTCATCATGTGAGCGAAACATTCCTGTTTAATTTATTAGAGTTTGTAATACGAAATGTCCTATTAAATGAAATATATTAGAATGAATTTAGGTAGTATAATATTTTTTTTATGAAATCTATTTTATATTCGCAATGACTCGTATCGAGCCGGTATAAATATATTTAGATAAATCTTACTGTATTTTGTTATATTTAGTTGCTTAGGTGTTACAGGCGCTCATGGGCGGAAGTAATTCATTACCTTACTTATTACCTTATTTACGGCCCTTTTGCTATAATTTATCGGCACACACCGACACTATTATTAATGAGTTGTAATATGTATTATTATGTATAAGAAATTGAGATTGTGAGTGATATTGTGGCTTATTTTATTTACTATAAAATGTATAATCATTACTATACACGATATAAAAATTATACTATAAATAATAAACTATGATTATATATATCTAATGTGTTTATTTTATTCCGCAGACTAATATTTTTTGTTTCTATTCCATTTCTATTTATTAATAAAATAAGACCAGTGTCACCTAACTATCGTGGTTAATTCCTGGTATATTTCTTAAGATGATCTTATGGATCGACTCATGTCATCATACTTCGCCAGTGCCTCGCCAGTACAGCAATATTCCAGTGTACATAAAATATCATAAACCACCAGTCATCCACAAGGAAAAAAGGAGAAGACTTGAACTGCGGGTCATCCGCATCCTACTAGGGGGGTGAGGGTTGAGGTCTCGAGGCGAACTTTGCCTCGGTAACAACTTCCAGGTACCTAGTTTTAAGCCCTATAGGACGGGTTACTTAAAAAAGTAACATAAATACAATTAATGTAGACTTAACCTAAATAGTGCCAATTTTTTTTGTTTTGTACCGTCCGTACCTCATAGACAGAGAAAGTGATAACCCATCTACGCTGTTAGTATGGTTCAGTCGGTCAGTCAACTTGTCAATCATGTCATTAACGATTGTCATTGATATCGTCTGTTGCCCTTTATTTACATTTTTTAATGTGAACTTTTCATAGATACTGTCTGAAATATTCCAGTTTGTTTTAATTTAAATGTTTGATTATAATAAACTTGTATGACATTGAATTGTACTTCAGAACATTGAGTATTGTTATTGTGTATTTAGTTAATGATTTTACGAGTCCTATTAAAAATTTATTTATCTATCATTTACTTTATCATAATAGTTTCGTGTTGTTGATAATAGAATATAAAATCTGAACGAAATGATTAAAAGAGGTAAATGATACACAAATTAGACAATATCGTTAGAATTTATCGATGACGATTTAATAGTTGGCCGACCATTCCTGTATATGTGTAGTACTCGTTCATACAATGAACACCACTATACCGGACGCGGTCCATCCACGATTTCTAAAGAAACCAGTGTTTTTATACAGCGGTATTGTATTCAACGGAGACATTAATTATTTTGCTTACTTATTTTGCTTAAATTTTTTTTTTCTGTAATGCAATAACCTTTTTTTTTCACCCCTTTCAACTATTTCTATTATGAAATAGAAAAACATGCTATGCTATGCACGAATAATACGGGTTAAGGGAAGGAAGACGATATTCATGATGCATACTTTTGCTCCTTTAGTAGTTTTAGGTTTTATTCTTTCATAAAACAATTGCTAAACTCAGAAGAAATATGTAAGTTACTTTTAAATGTAAAAGAGTAACAGAGTAACTCAACATCCCCTGTAAATTACAAGATGATGTATTATGAAATTTCGTGTCAATGATGTTTTTAGTTTTTTTATACAATATTTTTTTTAATAAATGCTAACATTCAGTTGCAGTATGCTTTGTAAGTAGTATAGGGTAGAATGAAGTGTCAAAAGACCTAGAATTGAAGGAATTTTGGTGGGAATTATATATTTTGAATTCACTTTTAAGACTTAAAATTAAATTGCTGTCATAATATAACTAAAACTAGGGAATGTGTATAATTTTGTTACCACCTTGAATATTATAATAATCATATGTATTAATTTTTTTCTCCATATTGACATATATTCAATGTAACAGAGCCATTTGGGCATGTAAAATTTTATATTTAAACTAAATGTAAGTAGTTGTATTTGATTTACTAATTTTAGGACTGAAAATAGCACTGGTTCAGATGTCTGTTGGTCCCGATAAGGCCAAGAATGTGGAGGCTGCAGTCAAGGAAATACACAAAGCCAAGGAGTTGGGCGCTCAACTAGTTGCTCTGCCCGAGTGCTTCAATTCACCTTATGGAACTCGTATGTATAGTATATGCAGAGATATACAAATCAATCAAAAGAAGCCTTAGTCCTGAAGAGTTTTTAATGGATGGTGTGGAATGGTGTACCAGCCTAAATTAATGGTTTACTCTGGAGAATAGGATGATCATGAGATCAGGTCAGCTGGCCTGTTTAGAAATATAAATATTTTTTAATCCATATAAACTTCATATGAGCACTTTTATATAGTAATATTAATTCTATTATTCAGAATACAGACTCACTACAAGAAGCCGTACATTACTGTTACCCATGCATTGTCTACCTTATTTTGTTAGAAATTATATTCTACACATTTCTAAAGTTCATTCAGATTTGTTGTCATTGCAAATATAATTTGTATTTATAAAATTAGTGTGGAGGATCATTTCTACTCAATAACCTATTCAGGGCAGCAGCACATTACTCTACCCCACTTGCATTCTACAATACATTTACGTGGTGGGCTATTGTAATGCATTTAAATTGACGTCGAAGCCAGTGTCAGTGTTCAGCCTATTAGTTTAAGTCGAGGTCCAAATCACTACTCATGTCAGATGCTGATTTTGTTACTGAGACAGTTAGAGTGTAGTCGTTGTTTGAGTACGAGTTTGCGTGGTGACAGAGTACTTCTCGGAGTACGCGGAGGAGGTGCCCGGCGGCAGCACGTGCGCGGCGCTGGCGGAGGCTGCGGCCGCGGCCCGCGTGTGTGTGGTGGGCGGCACGCTGCCCGAGCGCTGCGGGCCGCGCCTCTACAACACCTGCACAGTCTGGGGGCCCGCCGGGGAGCTGCTCGCCAAGCACAGGAAGGTCAACATCAATAACTAACATTTTATTTTATTGACAGTTTTGGGCTATTGGCCTATATATTACGACCTATAACACAAAACCGGCATAGATCTATTGTGCTCGCCCTATTTCGAAGTTCGCTACCTAGACCCGTCAGGGATAATAATTAAAGCATATTATTAGAAGCGATGGTTTTTATCTACTCAGTTTAGAGTGTATACTTCCTAAAGGAGATATTTTGTTTATGCATGAGTGGGCTACAACCAAATAGGATATGTAGTAGCGTTTCCTCTTCATCTTGGCAAAAGCTGCAGATTGAAAAATTGTTTTACAAAAAATGAATAAAACTCAGAAGTCTGAGCAAAAAAGTAATTTATTTGTTGCAGGTCCATTTATTTGACATAGACATTCCGGATAAGATAACGTTCAAGGAGTCAGACGTATTATCCCCGGGTGACCAGATCACATCCTTTGAGTACCACGGCATTAAAATTGGACTCGGTATCTGCTATGATCTACGGTTCGCGGAGATGGCTCAGATTATGACCGATCAAGGTTAGTTAGTCATTATTAATTAATATTATACAGGGTTGGTCAGAAAGGGTATACTAAGTCGCAACGATAAGGAAATACCCATGGTAACGAACAACTTTTGTTCTACAATATTCTCTGAAATCATATAATTTTTTGGAGAAAAATGGGTTTTAAGTTGTAACGTAAGAACAACAAAAGACAGTCCTACCATCAGTCATAAAATGGTCTGCACGCGTATCGAGCAGGTTATTGTTATTATGTGTCAGGATGCTCACTGCTGGTGTACCCGGGCGCGTTCAACATGACGACGGGCCCGCAGCACTGGGAGGTGCTGGGGCGCGGGCGCGCGGCCGACCTGCAGGTGTGGGTGGCGCTGGTGAGCCCGGCGCGCGGCCGCGACGGCTACCTCGCCTGGGGACACTCGCTGCTGGCCGACCCCTGGGGGCGCCTCGTCGCGCAGCTCGACCACCAGCCCGGCACGCTGCTCGCCGACATAGGTCGCTCCCCTCGCTTGCCGCATATAGTACTTTTATGTATTTTCACTGGTTGAAGGTAGACTTTGTAAAAAGTCATCTTTGTGGATATTTCCTATTCGCCTTCTTCTGCCATCAAGTAACTTCGGTTAGTGGTGTTTCAATTTGGAGGTTAAGATGTGGCAGTAAACTTACAGGATACGAGGCAATGTAGTTCACAAGAATGGTACCTCGGGAAGTACCGCAGCCGTGATAATGTAGTCTACGATCTCGATACTATTAATGCTATAATTAGGCGTTGTTTATCACTTCTCAATGGGTAACTGTTAGCTTATATCCTATTCTAACCACGAAAATAAAAAAGATAACATTTTGCTACTGTAAAACATCCTGTAAAAATATATTAGACGCTTCATCATATTCAATCCACTTTTTTCTTTCATTAATAATGATTATATTTCCAGATCTGAATACATTAGAAGAAGTACGAACACAAATACCCGTAAGGAGGCAGAAAAGGAATGATATCTATGAAGTTCTGAACAAGACAAGCAAAAGTGAAACCTCTTAAGTGTATAGAAATATACCCAGCACATTGCAGGCATGACAAGAGCTGTGTGGCGTGGTATATACATTGAGTATCATTATATTAATACATGAAGCAAAACTTTGTATTCGTTTTACGAAAATGTGTCCATAAGACTAATCTGGCAGAACTAAAGTTTATATAATAATAATGTCCCTGGACCATTCACACATTTAATCATAAGTTAAGATCTAGTGTTATGGGTAGTGTGTGTATGTGAAAACACCCCTCCGATCGATCGATCGTATTCGAACCCGCATTAAAAAGAAATATTAAAAAAAAAATGTAATATTTGACCATTTATTAATTGTAAGTAGAGATACATGTTACAAATATATATTTTTTTAATATTGTTACATGCCTGTTGTTTTCTTTATTAAAGTTTTGATTTTGTTATATTTTTATTTAAATATTCTTCAAGTAAGTTAACAACATCTGATGCACATCCCCAGAATAAAGTGAGGCCGCTACCTCCTGAAACAGTATAAGAATGTAATATTGTCTTATCTGTGGTATAATTAATAGTATGTGAAAATGTTACACTAAACCATCTAGTTTCAACTTCAGCAGAGCACTATTGTGATCCTGAGCTCCTAAATAAATAAAGAAAAAAAGCAAAGCATGTTCCATGTTTCAATACATTTATATTGAATAGTATCCAAATGAATCGAAATAAACTCATGAATACAAAATGTTATATTACACGGGCATCAAATACCATACAAAAATGTGACGAATCGATTGATTATTTATAATAAGAGTATTATAGTCTGTATAAATTCTACAACAATCTACAAATTCCTATAGCCTAATAATATCTATTTAATTATTCTATAAAGGTGGTACTCTATAGGTAAATGACAAGTATACACAAATGTTGAGTGTATACTGTTTGCTGTTTTAATCAATACCTTTATACTACTTACTTAGTACATAAAAAAATTATAACATTGTAAGTATCCTTACAATGTTATAATTTCTATAACATTATATACAATACTAAATATATTTTATCAATAGTATATAGATAGAATAACACATCACTTGCATAGTCGCACTGGCGTGTGTTTGCTAACGGTTTGGGCTAGCGGGACACTAGTGGCGTATGAAAAAATTTGTATGAGTTCAGGTCAGTTAGGCCATTGTGAAAAATTCACCAGGAAATTTTCACGATGATTTCTAGGGGGTACCGCGTGGAAGTCAACCTGAACCCATTCCTAGCAATGGTGGCAAATTCACTAGAAACTTGTCACGATGCAGGTCAACCTAACGTACTATGTTATATTGCTAGCAATGGGTTCATTAGTCCACACTACTAACCATCCATTTCCCACTGCAGATTAGGTAAAAATTTCGAATTAGTTTGCTTAATTTTGACGAGTATAGAACCACGCTATCTTTACTAGTCAAAGTATACTCACCGTGTCCATAATTGTGAATGTACAATTTACCATCCTTCACTTCTTTCTCCAGTCTCACTTCAGTTCTACCAGGTCTGAGTCCCACCCAGTGGTTCACCAACTGTGCATGCTTTAACCAAAAAAATACTCATATCTATAGGTCGATGGTTCAGATCCGGCTCGAAGGACCACAGTTTTCGGGTTGTACCGAAACTGTAACAAATTCTGATAGGTAGTGATAAATGATAATGATAGATGTTAGAATTATTAGAACAATTGTTAGAACTGTATATGACAACTTATAACTGATTATGACATATAACAAAACCGTGAGCCCGCGGTTTCACCCGCATGTTTATTCCCTATAGGTTGTCCTGATGTTTCATCAAATACCGTTTAGTAGTGTTTGCGTGAAAAAGTAACAAACATCCATAAATCCATCTATACTTACAAACTTTCGCGTACATAACATTAGTAAGAAGAGGCTATTTTTGCTGTCTATACTCATATAGAAATAAGCGTATAAATATACCTGCAATGAGGGTATAATTTCCTGACAACCGCTCATAATTGTTTGTCTGTCTTGTTCATTAATTTGCCTGTTGTAATTGTTTTCCTGATGAGTGCCTCCAAGTACGCAGATATTTACACTGAAACCCAAGAATAAATTTATTCATTTAAGTGATTCCCAAATAAATTTAACCTTTAACAAGTTTAGTCGTACCGGGTACACCAATCTGACATAAATACATCTTCTGTCTGTTCTTTAGTATGCATAAAAAACATGTTCTGCTTAGCTTGGGAATAGATGGCGCTGTGTGGTTTGTACTGGCTGTTAGGTATGATAATAAGGACTATATATATATTCAGGTTTGTTGTGTATTATATTTTATTATTGTGATATAAATAATTAATAATGAACCGCACGACATTAATCGGTATGTATGCTGAAGAAACCATTTATTTTGTAGTTTTATTTTCCCGCGCAAACGTAATGCACCACAGATGCATAATATTGCACGGCACACAGCCGCAGTAGGAGGACGAGCGCGTTATGGCTTTATGCGCGATGTTACCACTAGTATGAATATTAACGTAGGGTATTATTATTATGTTTATAACTATGTTGATGTAAAAGTCTTACTTGGGTATGATGTAATTTTCACGATCATTGTCTATTATTGTGTGATTGATCCATGGTGCCGAAACCTGTATACAAAAGAAGGAAAGCGTTAGTAAAAGTACCTAGCTGTAATAAACAATATTTTTCAAGATTGTTATTATTGGGGACTTCCTGAGAATGTACCATGTTGTACCTTGACCTCAAACCATTTATGAATTTGTAGTGTTGTTATCATCACCACTGTAGCGTTATATATCAAATCAAATCAAATCAAATCAAATTTATTTGCACTAAACATAGTTTACATTGCCCATTATGTTTTGCCTCATTAGGCAGCAAAATATATAAATTTTAAATATTATTTAATTATTCAATGGTCATCAGAGAATTATAAATACATATTATTATTATTACACAAAAACATTTGTCGAGTAACCAACTATTTAATTTATATGTCAATCGTCCTCGTGGAAGTGTCTTTATATCATCTGGTATTTTATTATAAATTTTTATCGCCATATGGAAGACATTATTTTTGACCATACTTAATTTCGTTCCATGTATGTACAGCTTCGTTCCTACTCTCGATCTTTGACTTCTTTGGCTCATTTCTTTATTTTTAGGAAATATATCTGGATTTTGAATTACAAATAACACTATTTGTTTAATGTACATTCAGTTAAGGTCATTAATCTATAATAATCCCTATAGTGGAGTCCGCACATAGCCCTAACATTTTTTCAATTTTAAAGACTTTATCTGTGTTTGTTCCATTATTATTACTGTAGTGTTGATGTGACATACAATACGCATTTAACGATGTGATGCAAAAGACGTCGTAAGGCGAAAACTAAACGATTTAATTTATTACATACTTTATTAATATGTATCTCCCAATTAAAATTTTGATCCAACCATACGCCAAGGAATTTAATAGATAACACTTTTCTATCTGTTTATCATTGAATTTAATATCTAATTTTAGAGGGATTTTAGTGGTGCATATATTTTGTTTTCTGACAGTCATATTGTTTTCATTTAGCCATGCTACAATTGTCTTTATTGTATTATTAATTTCTAATTCGAAAGTTTCTTTATTATGTCCCTTAATTATAATTGTCGTGTCGTCAGCAAAAAGTATTGATTCATGCAGTGTACTATCTGGTAAGTCATTTATGTATATTGAAAATAATAATGGAGCTAAGATGCTGCCTTGAGGTTTTTCATTTTCATTTTTCCTGTAAGCTGATTTGAATTTTATTTTATTTGTATTATTAATAATTTTTGTTATTTCTGTACATTGATATCTGTCCTTTAAGTAAGTTTTGAACCATTCATTTGTCGTACCTCTGATTCCGTATTTGCATAATTTGTTCAACAATTTATCATGACTTACAAAATCGAAAGCCTTTCTCAAATCAAAAAATAGCACAACCACTGGAACACTCGTGTCTAAACCTCTTGTTACTGATTTGATCAGCTTAAATATTGCCAGTAGTCGATTTATTTTTCTAGTTTAGAAATTGGTCAATTCGTTTGTACATTGCTCGCTCAAAAATTTTAGAAAAAATAGGTAAAAGTGCTACCGGTCTGTAGTTATCTATTAATAATTTATCTCCCTTTTTGTGAAGTGGTTTAATAATTGAATATTTCAACCTCTCTGGAAATATACCTTGCGAAAAAGAAAGGTTATATATGATATGTATTTCGCGCTTTTCTTAACTATATCTGTTGTAACGTTATCGTAACCTGGTGATTTAGAATTTTTCAGTGCCATAATTATCTGAAAAATTTCATCCGGTATTGTTGGTCTTAAAAAGATGCTTGGTAGTATGCTATCGAACTTTATAACATTGGAGAAATTTTGTGTTTTGCCAGCTGTTTTTTCTATAAATTGGTTGTTGAATACTGCTGCAATTTTATTTGGTTCTGTTATTGTAAACCCATCACTGAGAATACTTCCAATACAATTTTCTTCTGTTTGTTGAGCCTGATGTGATTGAATTAATTTCCATGTAGCTTTACACTTGTTCCTGGATTTATATATGTATCTTCCGTTACCAATTATTTGTGATTGTAAAATTATATGATGTGATGGTGGTGTCACTTGTTTCCTGTAGCATCTAGATAGTGAATATACTGGTGTAATAAATAAACTACATTAGTAAGTTTATTTGGTAGTGTACTACATGGCTTATCAATAACGTATTGATCTAATGAACGTTATATATATATAAGCTATGTTATGTGGAGACGTAAATAAATGGATGGGTGCCGAGTGGTAACAGAAATCTTACAAGTGTAAGCAAAATTTATTATTTAATTTATTATAAAGTTATACTTTTCTCTGGGTATGCATTGGATAAGTAGGTATACTTTAAATTACATGTATGCAAAATATCAGCACAATCATGGAGGATATCTGCTATAAGTTTCAGTCTCGATGTTTAAGCCTAAGAAATACAATTCACTTGCAATGTGCAATTGTGTTTTTTTCTACCTAATAATTAGTCAATTAGACTTAGCTTTTATCAGATTTGATCGCTTTTGCAAGTAAAACTTTTGTAAGTATGCTATTAATGTACCTTATGTAGGTATATAAATACGAAGACATTACCTGTTTATCTTACTAATTGAGATTAATCGTCTACAAACCTTGGCAATTTGTCCTCTTATCGGGAACACCGCGTTATCAGGCACAATATATCTTGATCCCAAACCTGTGCAGTTGATTATGACGTCGTAGTCTCGTAGTATGTCGTCGTTCAGTGACGTCACTTTAGCTTTAACTACCTTTCCGTTCATGTTCTTGAAACGACTTTGCATGTAGTTTATCATTGAAGACGGCAGTACTACAAATGTTGAGAACGTTTCTCCGGCACTGAAAATTAATATCAGCATTTTTGTAGATACTAGATACTGCGCTACTACTGAGGTAGAATGTGAAAAGCCGTCTGCGAGAGTGCCTTAGTCTCAGGATGATGGTCCAGATCTTATTCACAGTCGCTATAAACATGAGACCACACCATGGGATTTTTCAAGAAGGGTTAAGGTTTCTTAAGGGTCGGTAACGCGCACGTAACACCCCTGGTGTTTCAGGCGTCCATAGGCTACGGTAACCATTTACCATCAGATGGCCGTATGCATGTCTGCCACCATAGTAGTATAAAAAAAAATTCTATTGTTATTGTTGTCAACTTAAATTATGTGCATAATTAAAAAAAAAGTTTATCATTGTTTTTGTCAGTTGCATAATAGAATGCACTCTGTGCCAGACCACAATAAAAAATGTACCTATAGCACAATTATATTTTCCGAAACTAGATAATACACCAACGTGTCAAGTCATAAAAAGAGAAAAAAAATGAAAAAACGGTCATGAGTGAATTGACGGGTCCATTTCCCAATAAAGTCTTAATAATTTGATTTTTTGTTTTATTTCAAAGAATATCCAGTTCCCGCACACGTGAACTCGAGGTTGGTAGGTTCACTCACTAAAAATAAACCCCATACGAACCTATAAGCAGAGGAATATAATTCGCTAAGGTAGATCAACTGCTTCTCCCGTAGTTCCTGGTAACCGAATACCTTACTAGCCCACTGTGGTCGGCTGAATCTCTCCTTGTGTTTATATAACGAGTACATGGGCATTAGATTTACATCATAGCCACCTTCCCGCCACAACCCATGTATAAATCTATATGTTTCAATCCCCCATTTCCTGAAAATAGCCAAAACGTTCAGAATAGGTTTCTTCCATAATAAATTTACATATAATATACTAGCTGTGCCCGCGGCCCGCGGTAAGTGCTCAACTAGCTGATCCGCGCAACTTCTTCTGCAACACATTTACTTGACCAATTTACAAAATATCTTTTTAAATTATAGCCTATGTGTTATTCTGATGTATAAGCTATATTATTGTAAAATTTCATCAAATTCAGTAGTCTTTGACTGAAAGTATCATAAACATCCATCCATATTCACAAACTTTCGCGTTTATAATATTAGTAAATTTGACTCAAATTGATCAGTCTCTGATCAACTTGAGTTGTTATTATATATTGCTATCTTTAGAGTGGCAGGCGTTAATAAACTCACATGAGCAAATGTTCAGGAGTATTCCCGCAGAGATAGGGATACCATAATCCACCAGACCCGTCACCTGTCGTGTTTGGGGAGAATTCCTCGGAAATTAGCACCACCTAGATGAATAAACGAGAGCGTTACTGTTTATGTTGTAATGACGGACTAGGGCTAAAGCGGGCCCTAGCTGACATTGTTATTCCGGGCCGGACAATATCAATTAACTATTCGGCGTAATTTGGAGACATTTCAGCAATAATTATTAATATCACGTTTTTCTGCTATTTTTTTATTGGGTTGTTTGGGCTAATGTCAGGTGCCAGTAGCACCTGTAGCACTGCGACCTACATAGATTTAATGTGCTCGCCCTTTTTAGAGTTCGCTACCTACACGTCAGGGACAAGAATTGAAGGATATTCTTAAGAGCGATGGTTATTATCTCCTCGCGAAAGAGTATAAACTTTTCAAAGGAGATATTTCGTTTATGTATGAGTGGGCTACAACGACATAGGATGTGTAGTGGCGTTTCCTCTTCAGGTTTCTAATAATTGAACCCATATTTTTGGACCCCAATAATCACGGGCACGTATGCACATATGTACATTGTACACACATACTCTTTAGTACATTGATATTACTTTTTATACTTTCCAAGCCTGCTACTGACTGGAATAATACAAACTTAAAATTTTAAGTAAAGGTTACCATTACCGTAGTACATTAGTGAAAACTGCATCCAAATTGGTCACACCGTTACTGAGATTAGCGCGCACAAACAAACTGACAAAAATTCTAATTATCACTAGTTTGGATTCTGTTACGTTGATGAAGTCTCCCAATAATAGATTTTCTCATATATCTTTCACTAGCTGTGCACGTTGTTTCGACGGCATAGAATTTACAGTCTGTGTTATTCTGATGTATCTGAACGGATTTTTATGAAACTTTACAGTAATATATATGTCAAGTTACATGTGCGAAATAATAACAAACATTTATCCATACTCACAAACTTCGCCTTTATCTATAATATTAAATAGACTAGTAAGATGTTCGTTCCGACTGCCATCAGTTACATTTTTTAGCACATTCATTGATTATACCGTACCCGGTACCCTGTTCAATTTTACAGCAGACTCCTAATGATCATAGTAATAGAATAGGCTATCAACATAAAGTACGTAATGTTTTCCTACTACTTAGTAGATAATATAATTACAGAGATTAACGCCGTCAAAGAAATTGACTCTTCAGATACCAGCATGTTTTCAAATTTCTATCCTTACTATATTTCCTATTATGTTATGGACATGGTTTTGTATATTAACTAGCTACTCACACCGGCTTCGCATGGGTGCACATGTATAATATATAAACCTTCCTCTTGAGTCACTCTACCTATTAAAAAAACCGCTTCAAAATCAGTTGCGTAGTTTTAAGCATACATAAGGATAGATAGCAACAGCGACTTTATTTTATACTATGTACTGATACATTAAAAGCAGTGTACCTAGCGAGACATTAATATCACAATCATTTTGTCTTTATAATTACTTACATCAGCATCCTTAAAGCGTTCTTTAATTCTCACCGCACTGCTGAAACCATTTATACCACCACCAATTACTCCTATTTTAACCATTTTTTACATCAGTAATAAGTACCGATTTAATTTTCCTTATTGTAAGTTTCAATAAAAATTGAGAACACAATCGAGTATCTAAATGCAGTTTGTAATAGTCTATAAGAGTATTATTTACTTGTTTGTATTTTTTTTATCAAGAGTCAAAGGTGAGTCCATAACCTATCGATAGCTCTCATTGATAAATAGTATGAGAATAGTTGGAGAGAAAAATTTTATATATTTCATATACATTTGTTACGGACAAACTTCTCAGTTAAAAATTTGGGTCAACATTGCTTATGTACCTACTCATGTGGCTATGTAATTGATCACCATCAGGCAGGCCATATACATCTTATATACCTTGCGTATTATTTTCATACCTACCACAGTACATTGACTAAGTTCAATATTTCAAGTATGAGCAACTCAAACCTTTTCATCCATACTAATATTATAAATGCAAAAGTCTCTGTGTGTCGTTTTCAGGCGCTTTCGCAATATTTGGTCAAAGTCACTATTCCACGCCGACGAAGTCGCGGGCACAGCTAGTTCCATATAAAAGCAACTGTAGAGAGCCGTTTGTATCTACAAAATGAGAATGTCAGGTAGTTATCTATTCTCTGGATATATTTTGTTTTGGTGAAAAGACTTGCATCTAAATCAATAAAAAAGTACATTCCCAAACTATGAAATCGGGGTGAATGCCATACCAGAAGAAAACAAATAATCAATGTCATAATCTCTTGAGTAGTATATTCTTTGGTCATAATGTTGTCAGTACTTACAATTCGTACTTGTTGGATGAGTAAACTGACGGAATGATTGACATCTCGTTAGTACAGTAGGTGAGCGAGTAAGTGAATGATTGTTTGTTTCAAGTATTATGATCCTTGGTTTGTTTTGATTTTTTAAATGCCGATTTCATAAAAGTAGAAAAGGTGTTGCAATTTATATTCCATAAACATGAAGTAAGTTGGAATGTGGTTTTTTTATATACTTATTATTATAAAATGTTTTGTGTTTCCATAACAGGTTATTTAATAAATATTTTGATTTTAGGTTAACAGTGGACGGTTTGTTGGTTTATTTTCCTTACGATTATATTTATCCTGAGCAGTATGCATATATGTTGGAATTAAAGCGAGCATTGGATGCAAAGGTAACACAACAATAATTCTTACCTATAGTGGATTTTTCCCCACTAAATATTGAGAAATGTACACTGTAAGCAATCACATGCAGGGAAGAAAGAATCTTGAGATAGTACATATAAAATTTCAATTTCATGTTCAATGCACAATTTGCTGCACTCGCCTGCGCTAAGTGTATATGCTGGCGAGGCATCACTGTAGCATGAGCATATAATCAGTTCAGTCAAGTTGCTAAGATTGACTTTAGCAATTTAACTAGCAACTAAGTTCTTCTTCTATTCTTTTCTAGTTCTATTATTAACAATTCTTTCTCAGTTATATATATCAAAACAGTTTATGTTATAAATTGATACTTGACTAATATTTTTTTTATTTTCAGGGCCATGGACTGCTGGAGATGCCATCAGGCACAGGAAAAACTATATCACTACTCTCCCTAATTGTCGCTTACATGTTACAGAACCCTCATCATGTCAGGTAATAATGTAATGAAGTCATTTCAAAGATACAGTCCACAATCTGCAATTCATATAATTTTTAACAACCTTATATTATATACTGTATTATTAAATAAATAAAATGTTATAATAATTCAGTACATTTTCTTTATTTGAATCTGACCACCTACACATTCTAAATTTATATGGTTCTCTACAAAATCTGAATTAATTTTCTATGCATAATAAGATAAATATGTAAATTTAAACTTACAAGGATTATTTAAAAGAGCAACACACAAGTTTCTTGCTCATTCTTCTTGTGCTAAGACAGGTTTCCGAACAAGTGGTAGATAAAAAAAAATTTTATTAATTCAAAAGTGCTTAAATTAAGTTTATCTGAATAAATGATTTTCTATTCTATTCTATTCTAATACTAAACCCTCTGTGCTAATGGTTTTATTTGGATGAGCATATATGCATATATAAAACACCAAGTTGTGCATCTCAAGACCTTGGAGGAACTTGGGTATGCCAGAAGTGGAGAATAATATAATTATCTATTTCAGAAAGCTTATATACTGTTCCCGTACTCTGCCAGAAATAGAAAAGGTATTGGAGGAATTAAAAAACTTGATGAAATATTATGAAAAGAGCCAGGGTGAGATTCCTAGTCTTACGGGGGTAGTGCTCAGCTCTAGAAAGAACTTGTGCATCCATCCTGAGGTGAGAATACATTCTCTGATACCAAACTATTTAATGATACATCATAATTGCTATCTGTTTAAAATTCATTCATAATTTAAAAGACTCACTCTTGTTGTATACTTATGAAATTTTACACTGGCATTATTTACATGAAAATTCAGAAAATTATAGAAAACCAGGTTTTATTTATTTTAATTGAGTTCCTGATACTTTGGCATTTTATATAACCGCTATGATCACAGGTAAACTGAAGGGTAGGAGGTAGATGGTAATGTTAATTAGAAATAAATAAAGTAAGATACCATGATTTTTTTAATTTTACACACTCCCAACATTTTTTAACCAACTCTCGAGAGGATGATTTAATTGTGTTGTATTTTTCACAATCTATGAGAGATTGGTCCTATATAAACTATTTTATTACTTTTGTGGCAGAAAGTGTATTTGTATATGACTTCATGTTCTTATTATACAAATAATAATTTTTAATTTTAATTTTAGGATCACACCTACAATCCTAAAATAAAAACTTCATATAGATCATAATATGATTCTTTTTTCTACTGTCTTCATAGGTGTCGCGAGAAAGAGAGGGCAAGCTTGTAGATGGTAAATGTCATTCATTAACAGCGAGCTACATACGGGACAGGAATGCGCACGACTCTACTGTGCCTATTTGTAAGTTTTTACACTATTCCCACTAATATTATAAAAAATATAATATGAATGAAATTAAATGAAAAACTGTTTATTTTTCTTGCATTAAAAAAACAATTATGTAAACTAATATGTATACAAATATAAAAACCATTTACAATAAGGTACAGAGGTAATACTGGAGGTCCTTATCCCTAAATAGATTTATTTCAGTTTAAGGTAAACATAATAGAAACATACAGCTAAATTGTTTTTCCTGCATAAATATAAGCCTATATAGTACTCATAACTTTAGTAAATCTAAATATAATCCATAAAATATGAATATTTAATGATACCATTACAATAATTATAAAAGATTTTTATATTGATAATAATAGGATATTACCAATGGAAGGTGATAGGATGAAAAGGTCAAATCAGCTAGCCCACTATGAAGAGGAAACGCCGCTACACATCCTATGTAGTTTTAGCCCATTCAAGCATAAACAAAATATCTCCTTTCAATAATAAACACTCTATCCTGAGGAGACACAGACAATAGCTCCTAAGAATATCCTTCAATTCTTATTGAATGACGGATGACGGATCTAGGTAGCGAACATTGAATAAGGGCAAGCACAATAGATCTATGCAGATCGCAGCTGACGATAACCCAAAACCCTCAATAAAAGAAAATTGCCTACTGTGGCAAATTCCATAAGAATAGATCATGATGATTTCCAAGGTTTTTTTATAACTATAAAACGTGTAATTCATTTCCTGGCACCTATAAACTTTAATTTACAAAATTTATTCTCTTATTTATTTCCTCAATTTCGAATTTTGATTTTATACTTCGTGTCTTATAATTTAGTAATTAAATAGGTCAATTTTACGAGGGTTTCAACCGCGAGGGCAAGGAGTCAATGCTACCGTTCGGCGTGTACACACTAGATGATCTCAAGCAATATGGAGCTGATAGAAATTGGTGCCCTTACTTCCTCTCACGATTTGCTGTATGTATAACTCATTATAATATATATTACGAAAAACGGCTATATGTTATTTTATATGCGATCCAATTGGCAGCGAAAGGTATACCAGCGAAATTTCTAAAATCCGCCTGCGCTAACGGTTTACTCTGGCAGGGCACCAGTGGGGGATAATAAGATGAGCATGTGGTCTGGTTTGTTAACCCATCGTGGTAAATTCATTATGAATTTATCATGATGATTTCCAGGGGGAACCACGTGGAGGTCAATCTGACATGGTACATTGTCAGCAATGGGGTTATTAGTCCACATTACTAAGAAACCCCTTCCACGCAGGTTGAAACGATGCATGTTAAATGATGAGAGTGAACTGACAAAATGAAAAAATACATTATAATATTGGTCCTATATATTAAATAACAACTGTAAAATATAAGGAGGGGTGACACTGTTTGTGCAGTCCTATGTATACAATATTTAGTTTTTCTTACTGGACTTAACAGATTGCTAGTATTCCTGATACGATTACATTGGAGCATCTTGGTAACTATGTCCCATAGAGTCATTAAAAATGTATATGTTTACAGATAATCCATGCAGATATAATAGTATACTCATATCACTACCTACTGGACCCGAAGATAGCTGAAGTGGTGTCCAAGGAGTTGAATCGCGAGGCGGTGGTGGTGTTCGACGAAGCGCACAACATAGACAACGTGTGTATCGACTCGCTCAGCGTTAAAATCACCAGACGGACCATAGACAAGAGTACAACCGCTCTGCAGCATTTGGAGAAGACTGTCGCAAAGTAAGTAAAGATTTATCAGAGCTTTCCTTTGTTTTTAAATAGGGTTTAATTGCTTTAATTGTGTGCAGGTGTCGAGATGAGTCTATTATTTTTAAAATTATATTTTCGTGTAAGTTCCACAGAGGTCATGAATAATACTTAATAATAAATACCAATAATATTAAATAAATACCTATTTTAAATAAACTCATGAATTAACTCACTTCTTTAAGTCAACTCATGTCAGTGAAATCTACCAGGATTCGAGAGGAGGACGCAGCACGATTGACGTTGGAGTATGAGCAGCTGGTGGAAGGTCTTCGGGAGGCAGCTATGGCTAGGGATGCAGATGCCATCCTCGGAAACCCTATATTGCCTGATGAAGTTCTAAATGGTATCCAATAAATCATTTTTTTGAAGTATGATAATGGATAGGTGCTGATATGGCTGATAAGTGCTGGATAAGATGAGTAGAAGGTCGGGTCCGTTAGACCATCGTAGCAAATTCACCAGGAATTTATCACTATAGTTTACTTTCGTGGAGAACTGACACCGTTGACTACACCGTTACCAATAGGATCATTATTCACATCACTCCCCTTCATCCCGCAATATAGATATTATTTTACTGAGTGTTGTTTTTAATAAAAGCTCGTGAACTATGGAGTTCTTTATTACCATAACAAACTCAATGGTTCACGAGGCTGTATACGATTACCACCATATGGCCACGTCATAGATTTTTTACCACAATGGTGGCGAATAGTACGAACATACGGCCCATCTGATGGTAAACGGTTTCCGTACGGTATATAAAAAAAAAATAACATATAATTTTTATTGTAAAAATTATAATCAAATTTGTCGTCGTAAGACTAAGTAATTTGTTGTTCAATCATTACACAAGGTAATTAATAAATTTAAAATATTTTGGGCTGATAATAATAAGACTGCCTTAGTGGTCTAGCGATTAAGCCTTGGTTCCGATAATCGCGGGTTCGATTCCTCGTATGGTGCAAACATTTGTATTTATGAGTATGATTGTTTATTATATATTTACAAAATAATATGTAATTAAGTATTTATATTACTTCTCTATTACCCATAACACAAGCTCTGCTTAGCTTGGATCTAGATGGCGCTGTATCATGCATATATAATCAACAGACAATATACACCGTACTAATATTATAAACGTGAAAGATTGTGAATATGAATGGATAGATGGATGTTTGTTACTCTTTCACGCAAAGACTACTGAACGAATTTTGATGAATCTTTCCAGTAATATAGCTTATATATCAAAATAACACTTGGGCTATAAATACCATGCAGGAAAAACCGCGGGCACAGATAGTAATGTTTATAATTACATCGATTACTTTCAGAGGTGGTGCCTGGTAATATAAGGAACGCAGAACACTTCTTATGTTTCCTGAGGCGGTTCATTGAATACTTGAAAACTAGGCTCAGGATACAACACGTGGTGCAAGAATCGCCTGCAGGTATGTATGTTTATCCTTTTCTATGATATTGTACAGTATTTAAATATGTATTACAATGAAGAGCGAATTCACACTACACATTTTTTTTTTGTTTTATTTATCCTTAATGGAAAGGCAAAGAGATAGCAGTATTTTTGATAGCTCTCTTCCAGTATTGGTTGTATATCTACTACTTAAACCTTATGACCTACTTCGTCAAGAACCTGGGAGTTTCAAATAATACAGTCGAGAGACAGATTAGAAGTGTGTATTTAATTGAGATGTTAGTCTTTTATACAAATTGACGTGTCATGCGTACGCAGCAGGTAACGACAGCTTGAAGGTTGCGACAGCTGCATTGCTAATGGGTTTCATGTGCTGTGCGATAGAGTGGTACAATGCAAAAACTACTGAATGGATTTTAATGAAACTTCAATAATATAGCTTGTACAGGCTATAAATTTGACATGATCACCGATAGTAAATCAATGTAAGTTATGACTGTATTTTATTAACAGGTTTTCTAAAGGATGTAGCGTCTCGGGTATGCATCGAGCGTAAGCCGTTGAGGTTCTGCGCGTCCCGGCTGACTTCTCTGATGAGGACCCTCGAGATACCGGACCCTTCCAACTTCTCCTCGCTGACCCTCGTGGCACACCTGGCCACGCTCGTATCCACATACACCAAGGGCTTCACCATCATCATAGAGCCATTTGATGATAAAACACCGACCGTCTCCAATCCTATATTACATTTTTCGTAAGTCCTGTTTTAATATCTCACATTTATTGACGGCCTCGGTGATCTAATGAATAGGCGGGGAAAAGTGTTGGGGCAATTGATACGACACGACGAACTAATTAATAACATTATCGAAGGAAAAATAGATGCAAAGAGAGGAAGAGAAAGACCAAGACACAGCTATATCAAGCAAGTTAAAGAAAAAGTTGGAGTCGTGTCGTATCACCAGCTAAAAAGACTGATAGAAGATCGTTGAAGGTGGCGGGAGCTCCACCGACAAGAGCACAGCTCTTAAATTATGAAGGAACGGTGGTCTAACGGTTTAGCACACCGCTTTACTTCCGATGGCCGCGGGTTCGATTTCTCGCACGATACAAACATTTGTATTCATGAGTATGATTGTTTGTATCGGTCTGGATGTTTTCTATGTATATTATGTATGTATTTAGAAAAAATATCTAAGTATTTATATCAGTTGTCTAGTACCCATAACACAAACTCTACTTACCGTAATACTAGATGAAGCTGTGTTAATTGTCCAGGGTTATTATTATTATTACATTCTTTCATATTTTTATACCTGATTCCAAGCAACAAAAAGTCAAGAAAAAGAGTTAAAAAAGTGAATTACTGTTTACTATTTCTTTTTGCACTATTTCATTCATCTGCTTTGGTAAAAAGGAGTGGAAATTGGTAAGTCTGACTGACCTGACGTCGTGCTCATGTTAACATCCTCCACTGATGCCCCAACAGCGTATATAGTCAGCATTACGTCACCATTAAAAAAATGTTTGTGTACCAAAGCTTAGTGCTATTATAATCGCGTTCCAGATGTATGGACTCATCAATAGCGATGCGGCCAGTGTTATCCAGATTCCAAACCGTCATCATAACATCAGGTAATTACTTATACTTATACTTATTAGCTTCTAAATATTATTAACACTTTACTTGCTAATCGAAGATTTTTTCCCCTAAACAACTTATATTTTTTCTAAAACTGTAATTCACAATCCACCATATTTTTATTAATTTTTAACAATCAGCGCCATCTTTTGAAGGCAATGAGATAGTACAAACTAATCAATATTTAAGGGATCCTAAATAAGTACTCCGTTATGAATATATAAAGTTTTAATGCATTGATTTACAGGAACTTTATCACCGCTGGACATGTACCCCAAGATCCTAGACTTCAACCCGGTGATCATGAGCTCGTTCACCATGACGCTCGCTAGGCCCTGCATATTACCCATGGTATTTTTATTTTTTTATTGAGGCGTTTGGGATGTAACTAGGTTTTTTTTATAATGTATGATAAAGTAATCGTGCACCCACCTGTGTTGAGAGCAGACCCTAGCGAGTCACCAGTGGTGCATGACAAGATGAGCATGAAACCAGGTCAGTCATCTCATCATGGTGAACCCCCACAGGAATTGATCTAGACAGCTATCTCTTGGAGGCAATAATATTTGAGGTATATAATATGAGCTAATTTCCCAATACTAACAATCCTTCCTGCCTTAAAATAAAACATGTTTTTAATCCATATGATTTTGCAGATAGTGGCAAAAGGAAGTGACCAAGTCGCGATATCGTCCAAATATGAAACCAGGGAGGACGTGGCGGTCATAAGGAACTACGGGCAGCTTCTCGTTGAAGTAAGTTCATAATAACATCTACTACTATGTTTTCATACATTCTACTCAAGACTCGAATTTTCATTAATGGATGGATTGTGTGAAAAATGATACGTATAAAAGGAGAGTAAGCTCAGATATGACGGTCGATAGATATCACTGGAATAATCAATGGATAAAAGCAAATCAATGGTAATGAATAATAATATCTCAGGACAATTCACACAGCGTCATCTAGTTCCAAGCTAAGCAGAGTTGTATTATGGACTACTAGACAGCTGATATACAAAAAAAATCCATGGATTTTTTTTATTTGATCAATCATATTCATTAATAAAAATATTTGTTCCGTGAGATGATTCTATCCCGCGACCATTGGTAGTAAGGCGATTTACTGAAACGCTAGACTACTGAGGATATACATATATATAAACGGCTTATATATATAAATTCCATAAAAATCTATATAAATATAATAAAAATCACTTAAGCCGTTTCGGATGAGGATGGTAGCTAACATTGTGACACGAGAATTTTGTATATAACATAATTAAATTTGTGACAGATATCGTCGTGCGTGCCGGATGGCGTCGTATGTTTCTTCACATCATATCTGTATCTGGAAAGCGTCGTAGGCGCGTGGTACGACCAGGGTAAGGAATTATTTATTTAAAGTTTATTGAAATTTTGTACAGTAGGTGAGGTTAATGCAATGCGTTTTCTACCAGCCAATATTTAGCCAACTAACAGGGACAATTTTATTTCTGGCAATCTTGTTTTATTTTATACTATAAACGATATATTAACTGTCTTAATATTATTTATGAATTCTGGATATCAGCTGGAGCTGAGAAAAAAGATTAAATAAATTATCAATAACTCTATCATTGTCTTTGCTCCGTAGTCAGATGCCCGCCATTTTGCAATTATAATTCATTATTACAGAAAGGCGCGAGAGCACGCACGATTGAAGGACGCCGGAATTCGCTAACTGGCGGCGCTCCCGGTCTTTCTCGTTCTCTTTGTGTACCTTTACATACTCTTTCTCGCGTCAAATCTTTACACGTACGATATTTCGAATCGCTTGAAAGAGCGTAGATGTTAAAGCAGCTAATGGCATAAATATGCAATAAAAACTCATGCAGACTACTTTGGTATAGTCTACCTTGGTAAAATCGGTTATCACTTTATGCCGCGACGGATATGGATATGCCGCTGATGCAAAGTGATAACCTAGCGGTTAATGTTCCTGTTATAAGAAAAATATAATTGCAGGTGTAGTGGCAAGTTTGCAGAGACACAAGCTGCTGTTCATTGAGACTCAAGATTCGGCTGAGACCAGCTTCGCTCTCATTAACTATATAAAGGTAACCTCTCTCTCAGATCTTCTGTTAGCCCCATTCATATACTGATTTTATTACTTTTCTTTATTATTCGTAATACTGTATAAGTAAATAATATAAATATCCCTCCGAGGGTGGGGGTGGGACGAGTGGTGTGGTAGCAGTACAGTGCGGGGGTTGCAGGCGTGCGAGTCGGGGCGGGGGGCGGTGCTGCTGTCGGTGGGGGTGGGGGTGGGGGGTAGTGTAGCAGCAGTACAGTGCGGGGGTTGCAGGCGTGCGAGTCGGGGCGGGGGGCGGTGCTGCTGTCGGTGGGGGTGGGGGTGGGGGGTAGTGTAGCAGCAGTACAGTGCGGGGGTTGCAGGCGTGCGAGTCGGGGCGGGGGGCGGTGCTGCTGTCGGTGGCGCGGGGGAAGGTGTCTGAGGGCGTGGACTTCGACCACCACCTGGGCCGCGCCGTGCTCATGTTCGGGATCCCGTACGTGTTCACGCAGAGCCGCATCCTCAAAGCCCGCCTCGAGTACCTTCGCGATCAGTTCCAGGTAACCACTGTCTATGCAAAACATATAGCGATAAAGTTTGTCCGCTCACAGAAAGTTTGTATGTTCGGGCTAATATTAGACACTACTGATCCGATTTTGAAAACTCTTTTACTGTTGGGTAAGCGACAATGAAAAACATTGCAAGACGGGCAAAATGATATATATATAAGTTGCGATGGTCGGCTAGTTAACAATAAATTTCAATACTCTAAGTCATTCTATACTTTTTTAATCTATTATCCAAAAAAAGGGTATATAATAAAGTACTTGCGAAATACACTGACTTTAGCAGAGCTTTTGATGTTATGAACCAAAATATACTTATTAATGAATTAGAATACGCTGGTATATGTGGCTCTTTGTTAAGATCAGGACCTGAGAAGACCAGACCAGCCCTAACCTAAGAACGAGCTCATTATGGTACGCGGATTTAACTTCAAAACAAGAGCAGTGCCATCAGACGTTCCTCAAGGCTCCCATCTTGGTCCTTTGTTCTTTTTGTTGTTTATTAATGATCTTCGTGAGACACCATATAAACTTTACGCCACGATTTTATAATCTAGAGTCATTAAATTGATGAACAATATTAAATACCTACAAAACGATATTAATATCTCTATTAATATAGCTATTTGACAGCCTCTATCTCTCTATCAGCCGCCAGTGATCTAGTGGTTTAGCACATCGCTTTACTATCCGATGGTCGTGGGTTCGATTCCTCGCACGGTACAAACATTTGTATTCTTGAGTATGATTGTTTGTATCGGTCTGGGTATATGTATAGATTTACAGAAAAAAATGTATCCATGTATTTATATCAGTTGTCTAGTACCTATAACACACTCTGCTTAGCTTGGGACTAGATGGCGCTGTGTGAATTGTCCTGAGATATTATTATTATAATTACAATATCTCTATATCTGATTTGTGTAATTTCTGATACATATCTCATACAACATTACAGATCCGCGAGAATGACTTCCTAACGTTTGACGCGATGCGTCACGCGGCGCAGTGTGTCGGCCGAGCGTTGCGGTAAGCCAGTGAACTGTTCTACCACTATTTCGTTACCCGACTGTTTTTTTATATGTACAATAACCGAGGCAAACTTACCTAAAAAAATGTTTGTTGGGGTACCTCAGTCACCTAGGCTATATGTCGCGGATTCGATTCCTCGCACGGTAATAACATTTGTTGTTGTTGATGTTATTTTATGTGTTCGATGATTTACAAAAAAATGTGTCTACATCAGTTGACAAGTACCCATAACTCAAGCCTGCTTAGCTTGGTACTAGATGGCGCTGTGTGAATTGCTCTGAAAGATATTTTATATATATATAAACATGTATTTATTATTGTTGGCAGAGGGAAGACGGACTACGGTATAATGATATTCGCTGACAAGAGGTTCAGCCGGTCGGACAAGCGCACAAAGCTGCCGCGCTGGATACAGGAGCACCTGAAAGACTCGCTGTGTAACCTCAGTACAGAGGAGGCCGTACAGGTAACACGCCGCTCATTTACAAAGAAAGCATTGGTGATGGCCAAATAGCTGTTACCCATCACTGTATTTTTTTTTAATAAATACAGTTACTACTTTAACCTGTGCAATTTCGTTCATCACACTTACTTGGGCACAGAAAACGAACTAATTATAATTTATCATTATAATTCGTTCGTTTTGCGTGCATAATTAGTTTGTATTATTATAACTCCGGGGGCAACAACCCCCTAGGAACGGGAACTAATCCCTTATGGGCAAATATTATATAATTCTAAAAAAAACTAATTATAACAGTACTTACAATGTTAACGTAATGTCCGACTTCGGGGACCCAATACATATATACTTGCTGAATATGGCTCAATAATAAAATAAACACAAAACTGACCACTAAAAACAGTTGTTGCTTTTTTTAATATAAAGGAAGGAAAAGGAAAGCTCCTTGCATCCTTTATATTAGTCAGTAACATCCCATATTTTTTTTAGATTTGCAAAAGATGGTTGCGTCAAATGGCGCAACCGTTCACTCGGGAAGACCAGCTCGGTGTGTCGCTACTAACGCTGCAACAACTGCAGTCCCAGGAACAACAGGACAAGATCGAGAAGCAGGTCGTACAGAAGTGACGACTTCTACACCTACGATAGAGACATACCAAAAGCAAAAGTAGGCTAATTGGCCATCATAAATAAGATTCTGTCGGACGACATACCCAGAACAGGCTGATTGACCATCATAAATAAGATTCTCTCGGATGACATACGTAGAATAGGCTGATTGGCTATCATAGATAAAATGTGACATTTTATGGACTGGCCGACTCATTTGTAATTATAACGTCATGAACGGACAAGTTTGACGGTAGGTCCTATAAAGTAAACATTATTTAACGGGTGGTTAAAGAGTGACAAACTTCGTATAAAAGTCCGCTGTGCATGTGATCAAAACAAATTGTAACATTTTTTTCATAAATAATAATAATAACTGTCACATAGCGCCATCTATCCCCAATCTAAACAAAGCTTGTGTTATGGGTACTAGATTGATTAAATTTTATCTAAATGCATGCATAATACAGATAGAAAATACGCAGACCGATAGAAAACCATCGTATTCATGAATACAGATGTTTGTTAACCACTAGACCATCGAGGTCGTCGGTCGATGACCAGCTATGATATAGGAATTGGGAGGAAATAACTAAAATTAGAGGACATAATGGATGACCACTTGCCAACAAGTAATCACAAATTCAAGCGAGTGAAAAGAGACTGACTTGGTTCGTGTAAATTTGCAATCGCTTGTAGCCGTCCATTAAGTCTGTTTTATGTAAAAAATTAAAAGTAAATTTGCAAGAGCTTGAGGCGCACTCACATAGGAATTGCGTTTAATTTAAAAAGTACAAAACCATGAGTCAAACCCGTAATCACATTTACGCGAACGATCCTGCCTACAACTACTACGCTAGTGTGTTAATGAATGCTGTGCATTCATTTGTTATTGTAAAACTGTTCAGTTTGTTGAACCCTTGTATCATTGGGTCTATGAATTTGTTAATAATACAATTTTTAATAAATAGAACACTTGATTTTCGTACGCGCGCTAGCTTTAAGTTCTTACTGTTGCTAATAATATAAGTACTAACAAGATTATATTGATCACTGTTGTACTATTAAAAGTTTCTATGAAAAGCTCTATTATTTTTTTTATTGACATTTTTGATGTACCCTGAACCTATTTTTTTTAACTGTAATGGAAAGCTGTCTAATGACCTGCTCGATAAAAACAATGTATTCGCCGCTGTAACTTGTACAGTACCACATAAAATACACTTTCTTTTGCATTTCATGCAACAATGTAGTACAGAGGAGAGGATTTGGCCAAGATAAGATAATTCATTTGCTTGTAGGTTTACAGTATAGATCTTACAAGTGGTTAGGGACAAATGTTCGCCTCATATTCAAGAGGCATGCAAATAACAAAAGTCTTAAAATTAATAAAACATTATTTTGTACCATAGTTTATTAAAAATGACAACGGCATTCCATACAAACAGTTTGAAAACTTTTACATATACAACTCGTTGGTGCATTCATATCTTCGAGCTATAACGACGTATAAAGTACTTTATTTTATCTGCTATTAAGTTGAAAATAAAATTAACAATTATCAATCGTTCACGTCATCTTTTACTAATAAAAGCTAAAAATAAACTTACATATATTAGAACACAACTCGATACGTCTTTCTAGATCGCCAATGCCATGAGTAATACTGGCTATAATTTTGTATGAGTATATAATTTTAACCTCTGAAAATATTTGTGTGTAATGTTTACTATCACAATCTAACGCGGCTAATAACATGTCAAACGTCACCTATACATACAAACAGTACGCTCGACTTCTTTAATTGCCAAACCTAAGGACTATGTTACCTCTGTGCTGCTAATTCCACTATCATGACTTACGTATTCATTCAAAATATGCAATATATTTATACGTATAATTAGTAAAAATCACGGGATCTTACCACGTATTATATTTATTTGGTTTACCCGTGATCATGGTGGTCATACTAATTATACGTATAAATAATGACCGCGTCAAGTTTAAAACATGCAATATATTTTATTGAATTAGTTGTGATTTTACGATCCATTTCAATACTTAACACATTTGTATTATTTTGTATAATTCCGCTACCATTAGCATGTGTGCGACCAGAAATATTCAGTGCGGAAACCTGAATGCTATAGGAAGCTTTCTTTATTGGTGATCAAACTCCGACAGTTATCGGATCTACATCCATATTGCCATATGTTTCGCTTCTAAAAGAGACTACATCAGGCAACGTCCATCCAAGCTCTATTAGTATGGATATGGTGTGGAAATCTAGTGTGTTCGGCGACCAGGCTACGCTAGTGATCAGCAATATAAAAGGTCATTCTAGTAACGGTGGTCAGGTTTCCCTACTGAATATTTGTGTTCTTACCCGTGCTAATAATAGCAGAATTATTAAACAAAATAATCAAGTTGCTTGGCGACACAAGTAAGTGAGTCTGAGGTACCCATGCTATATGTTGGACATAAAACTCCTTTGTTATATTGACATATATTGTTGTAAATATGTACGAAGTACATTGTAGTTTAAAAGCAATTATAACTATTGCAAATTAAATGTATGCTTTTAAATATTTTTATTTTTAAAAATAACACGTTTTAGTCTTAAGCAGCCGATACCACTGACAGTAATAACAACATTAATAAAAGTAAATATAATGTTGAATTCATTGACACGGAAAAATCATTTCCTAAGTTATATTAACAAGGGTACAATTCATTATCCGTATTTACACAACTAGTTTCATAAAAACAACTTAGGGGGCCATCCATGCCCACCCCGTATTTTGTCACATTCCCCCATTCCTAGTGACGTCACGTATTTTGCACCGAAAAACTAAAACAGCAACTTCGAAATTATTTTTTTAATAATGTCAACATCAAATCAAACATTTGAATATGTACTCAGAAACCACTGGAGAAGTCGCCCTTAGTCACATAATGTCACACTTTATCCCTTCCGCCCCGCTTACCGTGTGACGTCATTTAGATTTTTAACTTCTACCTTTGTCACACAAGGTCACATTTATCCCCTCCCCCCATACTGTGTGACGTCATTTAGATTTTTAACTTTTATCTTTGTCACATAATGTCACAGTTTATACCCTCCCCGCTTACTGTTGACGTCATTTAGATTTTTAACTCCTATCTTTGTCACATGTCACACTTCATCCCCTCCTTCTTACCGTGTGACGAGATTTATGGATGACCCCTTATTAATAAAATAGCTATATTCACGCATCATATTTAATAAAATATATTCATAAAACTGTGGTACAAGGACGCTATAATATTTATGTAAGCTTTATTTTGTTATATCTCTTCATGTATTTATTATAACAAAGTGTATACATAGAACTTTTGAATCGATACATCAGACTAAGCCGGGCCTGTCCTGCAGGAACCAGGAATAAAATACTATTAAAATTAACAACCACTCTACAGTCTAAGTCTAATTGTGAAAATTGCAGTCCCTTCTATGTACGCTCATTATTTCCTTACAGATGTAATTTTAAAGCCCACAAAATAGCAACAATTTCCAATTAGGAAAGCCATATATACTATATCACTCGAAATACAAAAACACTAAACATTACAGGGAAATGGGAATCAAAATCAATATTGAATCATTTGTATGCAAATACTAAACATTATTATAACGCTTTTATACAAACAATTCCATATTTAGTTGCATTATTCTTTATTAAATTTAATTCATTATTAATGAATTAAATTTAATACTTCACTTTTTCTTGTAAACTTCTAAATTTACGTATCGTACAAATTGTACATAAGAAAATGCGTTTATTGCACTATAAAATCTTATTATATAGTTAACGTTTTATTTACAGAGAAAATGAACAACCTCTGTATACGAACTATTCCGAAAACTTACACAGCAATTCGGGTTTGAGATGTAATAATGTTGTTATTAACACTACTATAATTGTTCTCAAATTGCGGACATTTTACGAAAATCATTTTGCGAAAATAGTGTTTTTATATAATCTATTTATTACCCTACATGTGCTAATATTATACAACATTACAGAGTACAATATTTACCAGGGATGTTAGGCAGCTCCGTAATCTTAACCGAAACTATCGGATATCCGATATAAAAAATTATCCGTAATTACGAATCCGAATTAAAACGTTTCGGATAAATATCGGATAGGGGCGGAGCCTAATTGAGACTGATTGTAATTCCTACCAAATGTTGACATATAAATAAAACCAGTTTATTAGTTATTTGTATTTTACTTATGGAATTCCTGAAAAAATTAATATTTGTAACCAAAATTATCAAAACAATTAATAATTAAGATTAAAAGAGAAATAATTTGATATCCGCATCCGTATCCGTATCCGGTATAATAATCATTCGTATATCCGAAACCCATCCGTATCCGAAATTACATATCCATAACATCCCTGATATTTACACATGTATTATACTTTTTTAAGTATACAAGAGATATACTACTGTATATTGTCTTCCAAATATTTTAATATTATAATAAGCTACATTATGAAATAGTTTAATAGTAAATTACGATATAAGTGCGTTATGATGCTTATAACACACGAGGCGGAATTTCAGCCCGAGTCGAAAGCGAGGGCGTAATAGAGCCGAGTGTGTTAAATACGCACGTATATCGAACGACGGTTTTCAACACACTTGATTTTAAATAAACTCAATCATAAAACTGTGATGCATACTGTTGCTTTCTCACCGTTTTATCAGCGCACAGCTTACTGGCTTGTGCCGCGCGGCGGTCAGTTTGAAATTGGATAAAACAAAGCAAAAAGTGTGATTATGTATAAATATGCACACGTATTTTATCAGTTGCTTTATATATCAAAAACCGGTGAATTTAAATCCACTTTACGATCAAGCGTGTTGAAAAAGTTTTAACTAAATTATTAAACAGAAAACTAGTTTCCTAAATCACGTTCACATATAACTAGTCTGCAAAATAACGTTGGCAACAAACAAAAAAACAAACTGTTGAATTATTTTAAACTTCTAACGGAACGTTAGTATCGTTAGATTTGGTCAGGCCTTATGCTACTTAGAATACTTCTTTTATAATTTACTCGTCGCCTTTCGGTGATCGTCCGAATGATTGGTGGTGGGTGGCGTGCGGCGGCGGCTACAGGTCGGGCGGGTGGGTGTGCTTGTGTATGGCGCGCGGATGGTGTCGGTGCGGTCAGTGCGGCCACCAGCGCGGCGGCGGCTACAGGTCGGGCGGGTGGGTGTGCTTGTGTATGGCGCGCGGATGGTGTCGGTGCGGTCAGTGCGGCCACCAGCGCGGCGGCGGCTCCAGGGCGGGCGGGTGTGCGTGTGTATGGCGCGCGGAAGTGTGGTTCTGACAGTGCGTCCACCAGAGCGGCGGCGGCTACAGGTCGGGCGGGTGGGTGTGCTTGTGTATGGCGCGCGGATGGTGTCGGTGCGGTCAGTGCGGCCACCAGCGCGGCGGCGGCTACAGGTCGGGCGGGTGGGTGTGCTTGTGTATGGCGCGCGGATGGTGTCGGTGCGGTCAGTGCGGCCACCAGCGCGGCGGCGGCTACAGGTCGGGCGGGTGGGTGTGCTTGTGTATGGCGCGCGGATGGTGTCGGTGCGGTCAGTGCGGCCACCAGCGCGGCGGCGGCTACAGGTCGGGCGGGTGGGTGTGCTTGTGTATGGCGCGCGGATGGTGTCGGTGCGGTCAGTGCGGCCACCAGCGCGGCGGCGGCTACAGGTCGGGCGGGTGGGTGTGCTTGTGTATGGCGCGCGGATGGTGTCGGTGCGGTCAGTGCGGCCACCAGCGCGGCGGCGGCTACAGGTCGGGCGGGTGGGTGTGCTTGTGTATGGCGCGCGGATGGTGTCGGTGCGGTCAGTGCGGCCACCAGCGCGGCGGCGGCTACAGGTCGGGCGGGTGGGTGTGCTTGTGTATGGCGCGCGGATGGTGTCGGTGCGGTCAGTGCGGCCACCAGCGCGGCGGCGGCTACAGGTCGGGCGGGTGGGTGTGCTTGTGTATGGCGCGCGGATGGTGTCGGTGCGGTCAGTGCGGCCACCAGCGCGGCGGCGGCTACAGGTCGGGCGGGTGGGTGTGCTTGTGTATGGCGCGCGGATGGTGTCGGTGCGGTCAGTGCGGCCACCAGCGCGGCGGCGGCTACAGGTCGGGCGGGTGGGTGTGCTTGTGTATGGCGCGCGGATGGTGTCGGTGCGGTCAGTGCGGCCACCAGCGCGGCGGCGGCTACAGGTCGGGCGGGTGGGTGTGCTTGTGTATGGCGCGCGGATGGTGTCGGTGCGGTCAGTGCGGCCACCAGCGCGGCGGCGGCTACAGGTCGGGCGGGTGGGTGTGCTTGTGTATGGCGCGCGGATGGTGTCGGTGCGGTCGGCCACCAGCGCGGCGGCGGCTACAGGTCGGGCGGGTGGGTGTGCTTGTGTATGGCGCGCGGATGGTGTCGGTGCGGTCAGTGCGGCCACCAGCGCGGCGGCGGCTACAGGTCGGGCGGGTGGGTGTGCTTGTGTATGGCGCGCGGATGGTGTCGGTGCGGTCGCCGCGCGGCCGTGAGTGCGGCCACCAGCGCCGCGCCGGCGGCGGCGGCCAGCTCGGCTGCTTCACCGCCGCCTCCTCCTCCTCCTCCTCCTCCTCCACCGCCGCCGGCGCCGCTCCCACCCGCGCCGCCCGGCCTGCCGTGTGGCAGCGAGTTCACTATGTGCCTGCAAGTTTTAAGTAGTAGCAGAATACAATGTAGAATTATTATTCAAATAAACTTCCATCGAAGCGCTTTCGAGTAATCATCACTTTTATTTATGTACCGCTAATTCATATTCGGAATGATAAATATGCTTTGTGACTTAAAATAGTGCACGATTATTAACTGTAACAGATCTCTTTCGACCGATCTAACGCTGTGACTATAATAAAAAGTTGAAGTGTCAATTTTGGATGTCCAGTACGACTTATCGGACTTTGAATTTTGATTACGATTTGATAGACTATTTATCGATAAAAGTGCTATGTTATATAACATTAATGAAAAATATTGAAACAAAAACGAGGAAAATGTAGACAAAGTTCCACGGCCAGCTAGTATATAAAAATATTTTGAATAAAGATTTTGAATTGAATTTTAAATTTGAATTTGATACATTCTTAGTGAATTTGTTATGATGGCCTAACCGACCTGACCTCATGCTCAATTTATTTTCCTCCATTGTTGCCCCATCAGCGTATATCTTTAGCGTAGGCGCCATTTGCACCATTCCATTATCATCCATCAAATGAAAAATAAATGTGTTAGGATTTTTCGGTCACGAAAAAGCGTTACCGACGCTTAGATCACATATGTCATCTATAAAGAAGTTTTACTTTAAAAAAAATTGTAAGTGTCATGAGTTACCTGACAGAGTGGAAGGGCAGGTGGTTTGTTTGCACCCAGTCGAGGCCTTGGTCGGTGAGGGCGGCACACCCCACGAACTTAGCGACGCTCGCGCACGAAAACACCACCACCACGTGGTGGCCCTCCTACGAGACACCATTATATTAATATCGCAAAATTCGTTCGAAATATAAACTGACAAAGATTTTAAGGAATACTGTTAAATAAACGTAGTACACATCAAATTTAAAAATAAGTCTTTGAATTACAAAATAGTAAAAAATTTAAAATTCTATAGAAAATTTTAATTAAAACAAGGGACCCATAATAGATCCTTGAGATACTCCTTCTAATTTATTATATTGTAAAAATCCAATATGGAATCATTTTTTCTATTAATTATTGTTACTGAGTGTAAATTAAGAGAACAATAGATTTTTTGAGACATTGAAACTGTATTCGCACCTTGTCAATAGAAAGTCTTACCTGTTTAAGTTTTTGTAACTTTTTCACTGTGCTCTGCGTGAATGGGAAATTGCCGGACCTCTGCGCCTGCTCCACGGTTTGCACATCATCAGTCTTCACAATAAAGTACCGCGCCGAGTTTTCGCTGTTGTCCGCATACTTCTCGATGTTCGCCAGCAGCGTCTTGCCGTTCGGCGACATCGGACTCTTGGGCCCACTGTACGACTGCGGCGAGAAACTCTGCCCGGCCTCGCCTCGCCAGCCCGGCCGCGCCTGTCCGTTTCTGTACCCGTATGCGTTCTGATACAAACTATTCCCCGGGTATTCATTCTGACCGTACTGCGGGTAATACTTATTGTCGTGGCGGTACTGCTCGTCGTTGTCGAGTCTCATTCGCCAGTTCGGGGAGTCCACCGTCGGCGGCTTGGGCCTCTGGCCGATGCCGCTCGGCTGGTTAAGGCCCACGTTCTTCTCCTCGGCCCCGAGCACGTGGACGACCGTGTTCAGTATCTGCTCGTCGAGGGGTGTCATCGGCTTGGCCGGGTTCGACATCCGGCGGATGATGAGCGCGCACAGCTTCTGGCGCAGGTAGTAGACGCTGATGGCGTCGGAGGCGTCGGCCGTGAAGGCCATCCAGTCGTCGAGCGTGAGCACGGCGGTGTCGGGCGAGGCGTTGCCCTCGTCGGCCTCGCTGTCGGAGTCGCTGGAGAGGCCGGGCGGGTTGGCGCGCTGGGTGAGCGCGCCGGCCGCCAGCCGCAGCGGGCCGCCGAACAGCGCCACCGTCAGCGGCGTCACCAGCGTGTTGCAGCGGATGAAGCAGAACCGGCCCGCGCGGGAGATCTCCTCGAACACCACCCAGTCGGTGGGCAGGTCCCGCAGCGAGTCGCGCGCGCCGGCCTGGCCGCCGCCGCGGTGCAGCGTGGAGCTCGGGTGGAACGCCACCTTCACCTCGCGCGACGTGCGCAGCGCGCCCGCCTCGCGGTCCACGCGCGCGATCGACGGGTACAGGCCGCCGACCAGCACGGCCTTCACCACGTGCCACTTCTCCGAGTTGACGTTCACGTCCTTGATGTCGCCCGAGCCGCGCGCCTTCACCAGGCCGAGCGCGCGCAGCTGCGCCAGCAGGCGGGCGCGGTGCGCGACGATCATCTCCATGGTGGCGCCGCAGACGAGCGTGCGCGCGCAGAAGGCGCGGTCGGCGCCGGCGGCGCGCGCCGCCTGCCACGCCTGGAACGCGCGCAGCAGCGCCATGTGGTCCGACCGCGCCGCCGCCGCCAGCTGGCGCCGCGCCGCGCCGCCGCGCCGCCGCCCCTCCGCCGTCGGCGCCATCTGGAACGGCTCCTTGTCGGCCAGCGCGCACACGATCGTCAGCACCGGGTCGAGGCACTTGAGCACGCACGCGTACAGCAGCATCTTGCCGAGCTTCGGCTCGACGGTGAGGTCGAGCAGGTGGCGGCCGAGCTCGGTGAGGTCCTCGACGGGCGTGAGCGCGCCGACGGTCTTGAGGAGCGCGACGGCGTTGCGCACGGCGAGGAAGGCGGGCGGGTCGGGCGCGCGCGCCAGGAAGTCGGCCACGGGCGCCGGGCCGGCCGCCAGCAGCTTGGCGTGCAGGCAGAGCTCGTGGAGCGGCGCGCGCGCCATCTCCGGGGGCGCGTGCGGCGGGAGGGCGGCGTGGCGGCGGCGCGAGGCGAGGCGGTAGGCGCGGCCGGGCCGCGTGCGCCCCGCGCGCCCCGCCCGCTGCCGCGCGCCCGCCCGCGACGACCACACGCACTGCAGCGAGCACACGCCGCCGCTCGACTCGTAGTACTTCTCCTTCACCTTGCACGAGTCCACGACGTACACGACGTCGTCGATCGTGATCGACGTCTCCGCGATGTTCGTGGACAGTATTATCTTGCGCGTGTTCGACAGCTGCCCGAACACCTACGTCGTACGGTATGAGTATTATTAGGCTAAATTTAAAATGTTTTTAATATAATGTTTCTAGTCTAATCTGAGTATCGATATCGATCCGATATCCGATCTTTTGAAACGTAGTCAGCATTGGTTTTCCGAAAATAAATAAATAAATAATCTCACACAACTCACATTAAAGTACACGCTGAATATACACATGAAACTATAAAATGACAAAATTACCTTCTTCTGGTCCAGCGTCTGCATGTTACTATGAAGAGTGAAGACCTGATACTTGGACGCGTTCATCTAGCACGCACATAAATCTCTCAGGAAATTAAAACACAAAACATGAATGTACTTGATGAGGGCGAGTATCAGGTCGTGATCTACGAGGTCCTCAGATATGGTGTGCCGGTACACGTATCCTTTAGCCAAAATGAAATAATTATTATCCCGTTAATATTTTTAACATGAAAAATAAACGTACTATAAAATATGTGATGACAGGATTTTAATATAAACACACACAGTAGGAATTTAACGTATTTAAATGTTATCTTTTTAGGTTATTTATTCGGGGCATGCGTCTGTAATAAAAGAGTAGACCTCGATTCTATAAAACCGCTATAACATCGCTTAAAGAATATCGGTACAATTATGAAAATAATAAAATGTGTGACAATTAATAATTATGATGTTAATATACACAAAACTCTAAGACCCATATCCGGTCAAAACCGGGATGGGTCATAATAATACATATGAGGCTACCTTTTTATATTAACCCATTACAGCCTAAATGATAAGAATTTGGCATTCAAGTTTCAACTGTTCCCATACAGTGAGTGCATTCATTCATAATTTAAGTGCGACGCTTTTGTCGATAGAGCTCTTGACAATGAGTGCGATCACACAGAAACCTGCCTGTCAACTACTTCCCAGGATCTCTCCAGCAGCTCACTGGGAGATAGCAAGCAGAGTAATAAACAGAGAAAGACTCACATGGGCAATCAACACATTTCTACCTTTCAAAGGAGGACTAGACGGTATTTTTCCGGCTCTCCTGAAATGGGAACACTTGGTTCAACTTTTCCGATGCCTAGCTCACCGATACATTGATGAGGAAGTGAAAGTAATTTTCATTCCGAAACCTGGCAGAGGTGACTACACACAGGCCAAGTCCTTTCGACCAATTAGTCTCACATCGTTTTTACTAAAAACAATGGAGAGGCTTTGCGACAAAGAGATCAGAGACCTGATATGTATAAACAAACCACTGCACACCAACCAACACGCCTACAGTCAAGGCAAATCAACGGAATCAGCACTCCACAGCGTCGTAAGTCGCATTGGTAACTCGTCCTCCTTCATAGACATCGAAGGGGCCTTTGATAAAACGAACTTTACAAGTATCAGTCGCGCTCTTGCCATACAAGGAGTACCAACAACTCTCATAGAATGGATAAACAACATGCTGAAAAACCGCACCATTCACCGTAAACACTACCACACGTGGGATCGTAAGTTGTCCACAAGGAGGGGTCGCAACTAAATGAACTCATTGAGGAGCTCAACGACAACGACCTGTTTTAGACGACATTGTGTACTTATATCAGGAAATTTGACATTGAGGAGAAGCCTTCAGAACAATAGAGAGATGGTGCGAAAACCTGTAGAATGAAACAAAAGAGCTCCAGGTACTTTCAATTTTCTTTATACAGAGCTTAAACTTAAGGAGGAGGTCAAGTACTTGGGAGTCATACTAGACAGCAAACTAATAAACACCTTGTCACAAAATTAACAAAAGTGATGAATGCAGGAAAATGCTTGGTAATAAATGGGGTGTCTCCTCGAAAATAACTCTCTGGCTATACACATCAGTACTAAGACCAATGCTGGTATATGGGGCCTTGGTTTGGTGGACAAGGTGAACCACAGTCAACAAACTAAGATCTTTCCAAAGACTTGCATGCTCCTCAGTTACTGGATGTTGAAAACAACCCCAACAATGGCAATGGAAATAGGTTACACCCCTTACCTATACATACAGCAAGAAGCAGCTATAGCTGCCACAAGATTATACCATCTTGGTCTAATACAACACAACCATCCTGAACCAAGCAATCGAATATGAACCTTTGATTGCTATCAAGCATACCACTCGTTTAACAAAATACCAAATACAATTGAAGGAGGAGGAAAGGGACCAATCTGCAGTAAATGAACTTAAAACACAGAGAACATCGGACCTCAACATGAACATATCTATGAAACACAGTTCGATCTTTCAGTGCGAATGTTTTAAAGCAAAAGCTTATACAGGTTAGGGGTCACAATTTCAACATTAAATTCATATCGGATGATGTTAATACAGAACAGAAAATCCAACAACAAACTAATAATCGAGTGCCACATCGCCCTGGAAAAAATTGCAACGCCAACGGAGTAATTATCCAGTGGATAAAGGGGCCATATGGTCACGAAGAGTAGGATCCGGTATGGTGGTTGCAGGCCCCCTCCCGCTCATGCAAATACCATTCTCGCAATTTCGCACCTGGATTCGCCAGAGATCCACCGAAATACAAAACCAAAGATGGAACCTAACCACTGATTGCATCGGTTAACAACACGTCTACTTAATCTAGATAGACATAACCTCAAAATAATGATAGGGACAATAACGGGCCATTGTTTCTTAAACAAACACTTATACAAAATTGATAGAGACAGCCCCTCTGTCGGGGCAGCTGAAGTCACGTAATCATTCATCCTCAGAACGGTGAGGTTAAGTGCGAAGACACCAGACGCGCTTTTGGGAGGAGCTCGGCTACGTTAGTAGTCTGGCTCTACACGCACAACGGCCCGAATGAGTGCAAACATCAGAAATACAATACAATGAGTGCGATCAGAAAAAATCTGGAACCATTGTCCTTTATGTGTTTGAGGGTGCTCTTTCGAACGGAGAAGGTTAGAATTGTGTTGGTTAGAAATCATGTTTAGCTATGAACACTGTGAATTTAAATTACTAAATATGTCGTTAGCGTAACATTAGAAAAAAGTTCAATCAATACCAATGTGCAGCACGTGCGCCGCAGTCTCGGCGAGTCCGTGCGCGGCGGCGGCCATGAGTCCGGTCTGGTGCGAGCGCGAGTGCGCGCAGTCCACCGGCACGCCCTCCGACACGTACATGTACAGGATCTGGCAGAACGAGTCCTGCCGACCACACACATCTATTTACCTAACACGTCTCTCTAGGTACCTCTGTCTGGTAATTATGCCGTCAGTTCCGGTTCGGGTCATCCGTAGTCCTTACGGATCGCTGGGTACCGACATAGAGCATAGGCTTTTTGCCCGGGCATACTGCTGGGGTGAACTACCCCTAAGTATCATTCATTTACAAAAAAAGCACTCCTAAATCATTCATTGTTGATCTGTACAACATAATATAAAAAGAACAGATTTATTGTGAAGATATTAAACACCGATGATAAAAGACTAGATCATGATGCTGCATCTATATTTTATACTAAAGGCCATTACGAGTCAATGGTACGATTAAAGAGAAATTGGTACGATTTAAGAAATTCTTTCAGTATTTGAAACGGAAATTATTCTAGAATCAATAATTTACATTTCAAACACTAAAATGTAAATACACAAAACTCAGAAAGTTCTAAACACCAGGGCGGACTATAGTAATACATACGAGGCTGCCTTCTTTGAAGCACTGCTCCAAGAACTCGTCCATATCTGCCTGCAGGGCCGGGTCCATCTCGTTTTCCTTATCCTCTTTTTCCTTATTGCTTGTACTGGGACTTTCATCTTGGTTTGCTTTCTGTCCTGTATTGGAACAAAAGAATGTGATATACAATTCATAATATTATATGATAACCATAAAAAATATAATAATAATGGACAGTTCGAGAAAATATCCTATATCCTATAAAGAGAAATCGAATGAAAATTTATATTAAAGATTTTTATTCTTAAAGATTATTTAAATTAAAGATTTTTTTCTATCTAAAATTGAGGAATCGAAATCGCGGCCATCGACTTTATAAACAGTCTACCTCTGGTACAAAATAAAAAACCTTTATTCAGTAGGATATCCTAAATTTTTAACAGATAACAATTCAAAATTTTGCTTACCTTCTAAATGGGCCCAATAGCTCTGTCCAGTCTTGAGTTTGGATCTGAGCTCCTTCTCTACTTGAATCATCTTCTTAGAGCGGTACTGCGTGAGCTTCAACACGTCCTCCAGGTAATATTTCTGCACATCGTGCAAACGGCCCGGTATTGTGAGTACTGGGCAGTTGTTGAAATACCTGTAGAGTATTAGTTTAATGTCTAGCAGCGTCACATAACAGTTGCCGATTACTACCAAGTGGTCCGTAAGCTTGTTGGACATTTCAATATTCCAATTAGATACGATAGTATTCTCAATGCATTTACGAAAATATCATGTAAGCCAGGAAAAATATAGACAGTTCGGCGGTCTAATCCATGAGTATGATTGTTTGTATCGGTCTGGGTGTTTTCTATGTATAATATGAATGTATTTACAAAAAAAAAATATCTATGTATATGTATCAGTTATCTAATAACACAAGAGCTTAACTTGGGTCTAGATGGCGCTGTGAGATTATTATAATTATTAAAAAAAAAGTTTCAAAAGAGTTAGCGATTACACTAATAAAAGATTACATAATAACAACAGACTTATTTAACCGAAATGCCGCTTAACTAAAGTTAGTAATTCGTTTTATGACGATTGGGTAAGGTTTTACAACAAATTACCAGGGTCTGTTCTAAATCTGCATGAAAAAAGATTCAAATGTCGTATAAAACACTTACTTTTTAAAAAAGATTATTATAAATTTGAAGAGTTTGTAAACGATAATAATGTTTTTGTAGACCAATCTTAAAATTCATAGCTCTGACAATATTATCTGATTGCACTGGGACGGAGTGCGTAACGGTTTTTATGTTGATTATCGTATACCTCTTACTTGTTATTAATACAAATAAAATTAACGTTCATTACACATCGCTGACCTGGAAAATATCTGTGTGTCCATGGTGGCTGACATGAGGATGAGCTTGAGGTCCTTGAAGCGCGGCAGGGCGTCTCGCAGCGCGATCAGCAGGAAGTCGCTGAACTTGTCACGCTCGTGCACCTCGTCCACGAACACGTGCGTCACGCCTGTACCCATCGTTTGACTGTACATAATCTACTCTTACCCCCTCCCCCCAATATTCTCAGAAGCTCCCAAAATTAATTACTTTTTCTATTTGTATATAATAAAAGAGAAATTTCATCCATCCGCGCAATTTTTGTAAAAAAGGGTCGTGTCCTATTTTTACCATCTATTACACTTTTCTTATACGTTAACGTGAACAGAGATTAAGTGCGTAGCGGTTTCTATGTTGATTGTCGCATGCCTAATCCTTGTTGTTAATTAAATATAAGTAAATCAATATTTATTTAAAAGAGCAACACACAAGTTTCTTAAATTAATTAACACAATATAATTAAGTTTTTGCTTATTCTTCTTGTGATGAATCTGCATTCCGAATAAGAGGTAGAATAAAAAAAACTTGACTATTCAAAAGTGCTTATATTAAGTTTATTTGAATAAAGATTATTTCTATTTATATTTCTGTTATAAACAGATGGCCTGTGATTTTTTTTTAGATCTACACGGACGTTCCTATATTCAATTACCCTCCCCTATACATTTCTTCTCTCCAATGTTGTCCTACCAAAATTTTGGGGAAACTAACTGCACATACAATTTTTTTTAATTCACGAATAAGGAAAACTGTACCCAGTTTCCAAGAAGAAACTAAACCTAACCTCTTTAAAGTCATAGTCAATATTACATTTCTGTTTCACCAAAATCATCCAATAATTTAAACTCATCCAATAATCACGAAACAAAATATTTATATTATTAACCAGGTCTTAACACGAACTAATTTTATGTCAAATAAAAGTATTTACCTCTTTCGACGTTTCGACTATGTTGCAGTAGCCGAGGTCACGAGCTGACTTGAGAGAGGTCCTTTATTTGCCATAAAATTAGTTTGTGTTAAGACCCGGATAATAATATAAATAATGTATAGTAAACATAAAAGTTTAAAAGTAACTATGAAAGAAATTAAATGGAAGAATAAACTAAAATGTATACTCACCACTGAGAGATGAGTCCCCAGCCATGAGTGTCCTCAGCAGCACTCCGTTGGTGCAGTACGTGAGTATCGTGCGAGGACTCACGCGAGACTCCAGCCTGATCTGGTAGCCCACGGTCTGTCCTATCTTCTCTTGGCGCTCTAACGCTACCTGAACGGGCATCAATGAATATTAGTAAACTGAGTACTACATATAACTAGTTGGATGTGTGCGCAGGTATAAGAGAGATATGAAATCAAATCAAATCAAAATCCATATATTCATGTAGGATTTTAACTTATAAACGATATTTTTTTTATTAATATTTTTCACTACCGTCTAGTTTAGTATACAGATTCAATTGAGAAGAACTGGCAAGAAACTCACAGAATTTCTTTTTTTAAGCTAGTTTATTTACTTGGTGTATAAACTGGCTTTAAATAGAATAAATAATAAGAATATGTCTACCTACTTATAAATTTAGATATATTCTTATTACTTATTCTAGTGTGTAAGTGTGTGTTGATTGGTGACTATAGGCATAGATGTTTGCCTGTATATGTTTTATACATGTGTGAGTATAATCACAGTTTAATTGTTTGTAATGTGTATTTTTTTCTATCTAGTTTAAAAGATGGTTTACCCTCTCTGCAACAGAGACAGCCGATATTCTCCTGGGCTGAGTACAGTATATCCTGGCAGGCTGCTTGTGTTCTTGGCAGTAATCCAACACCAGTTGCGGCAACTGAGTCGTCTTCCCACATCCTGTAGCACCAGCCACTATTACTACCTGATAACAAACAATTTTGATTACTTTTTAACAAATATGTTATCTATATTTCACTTTTTTATCTGAGTACATTTGTGATCAGTCCCAAGATAATGCTATCATGTAGTGTGGCTTCTCATTGGAAACTTCTACTCATCTGCATACTAGAGCTACTGTTGTGTATGGTACTAGGTCTAGCACACCACATTAGTTCAAATGGTTGGGGGTTTGATTACTCGCACAGTACAAGCATTTGTATTCATGTGTATGATTGTTTGTATGGATCGGGTGTTTTCTATGTATATTATATATGTATTTACATCAGTTATCAGGGACCCATAATACAAGCTCTGCTTACCTTGGGACTAGGTGACATTGTATGTATACAAGTTAATAATGTATATAAATTAATTATTTGTTAAATAATTAAACACATATATTATGGATCCTGTAGTCTAAAATAGATTTAAATGTGTTACCTGATTATGAGTAATGGCATTAATTAGATCCAGTCTTTGTTCATAAATAGGCAGCTTCTCTCTAAACTTTATCAGATCAGGATTATATGTTGTATTGGGGACCTGTAAATAAATACACAAGAAATATCATATAACAACATACATATTTTACCTAATCCAGTTACATAAAAATAAAACAAGTTATGATTTTTTTTGATAGATATATCCTTTATTTGTTTGTTACACACGTTTAATCACACACAACATGTTCATAAGAATAGACAATACATAATACAAGATAAGATTTATAAAATTATGTTATTATGTGTGATCTGTAGCAATACAAAAAGGTCGAAACTCAGCGTGGAACAATCATTACGTGAGATTGCAACCCCTAGCCAAGTTTTGAAGTCAAGTGTTATTTTATAATGACCCCAGATATAAAGTCTCAAAAAAGAATGTGTTAATAAAGTTGTAACAAGCCTGGTAACTTTATTAACACATTCTTTTTATTCTATTACAACAAAATGAGCAACAATATACTATGTCTATCTATAAAATATCTATTTTATTTTTATTTTATGGACATATAACAATTTCGACTATTATTAGGTACTATTCTAATTATATTTTTATTACACATAGTTATTTCCAGATCATCGGTCAACCTTGTCGGAGGCCTTCTTTTGGACCGACAATCTGGTCAAGATAGCTGGAAAGCATGGTTGCGAGAAGAGCAGAACCAATCTTTGTGGAGATATTTGGAGGAGGCCTTTGTTCAGCAGTGGATGTTTTCCAGGCTGAAATGATGATGATAGTTATTTATGTTTACACACCTGTGCAACCCCATTGTTCAGTTGTCCAAGACTTTTATGAGCCAACTGGGGGCTTCGCTCCTTCTCAGGACAACAGCTTAAGTCATCCTTCTCCTTACTGGTAAGTGGGAAGGCATTTGAGAGCTCAGCAATACTACATCTCATGTTGGAATCCAATATCAACTTGGCATCATTCTGAATGATTGTGGAACCAACCCTTTTATAAATTGTTATAAAACGATTCACACCTGGAAAATTAAAATAAAGTTTTATTACATGTTCAGTTTTCACCAGGGCGTTTTTTGAACTAATATTATAAAGGGGAAAGATTTAATTTGTGTTTGTAATAAATTCTATAATTTATTTTATTCATAAATTTATTTTAAATTAAAGAGTACACATAAATATTTAATTCATAGTTTAGATCATGCAACCTAACCCAAAGACCTTCTTTATTAATGCAGAACTAAACACAAATTGTTTTTTGTTATTGTATATACTCTATACAAAAATTGTTATCTGTGTATAATGTATAATTTATTTTATTCATAATATCTACACAAATATTTATAATTTGCATTCAACCTAACCCAAAGACCTACTTTATTAATGCAGAACTAAGCACAAATTCTTACACCTTATTATTTTCCATATTTTAAAACTAAACAGACAATTAAATTCCTGCATAGTATAATAATAAAAATATAACACAATAAAAATATTTTTTTAAAGAAGAAATATTCTCCTAAATAATTATATTGAATATTAGTGCAAAAATGATATTACTCAACTTATGAAATTGTGTAAATATTGTGAAAATACTTGAAGTAATAAATAAAATTGAAATGAATATATTTATATGACAAATTAATATTTATATATAAAATGTAACACACTACATTTATTTCTAAGATAGTTAATGTACCAATTAAAATAAGTTCATGTTGTATCTGTGTCATAAATAAAAAAAAAAAATAGTACTTATATATTAACTTAAGTAAGTCTTTTTGCCTTTCCCTATAATGGGGAGAAAGGAACCAAAAAAAATAAATTTAGGATCTTTGGCATTTTTCTACCTAATATGTAACATTAAAATAAGAACATTTACCTTTACCGCGGGATTTCGACTTCAAGCCCAATTTAGCAACAGTCTCATGGATAAAACCTCGCTCCTGTGCCGATAGGAATGTAGAGAACTTGAGCTCCGTTTCGTTTTCATCACTTAGAAACTTGTCCAGTTGGATTTTGAGAGCTATACTCACGGATTCCGCTATGGGAAAATGTTTGTTACCGAAATTTCGTTTACCTTTCTTAGAACTCATCTTTATTGCTAATTTATTGAATTTTTACAGAATCTTAACATATCAATATATGACACACTAACTACTTTACACAATGTTCCGGTATTATGCAATAATTAGTTAAATAAAACAGAAATAGGAGCAAAATAAAAATTATCCTTAAATAATATTAAACCAGATAATACAGAAACAGATGAGAAATATCACAGTACAACTATGTCTGTGATTTCTGGTAGTCATTGACATTGACATTATATTTCTGAAGTGTTTACTGATTATGATTGACTGAATGATCTTTCATCGTGTGCGACTTGATTCACATTTTGAGGATCTAATCTGTGCAAGTGGAAGTCTTTCTGATCTACCTGTAATTCATCTTCACGTGTTTGAGTATGAATTTATAAAAATAAATAAAAACTATAGTTATTTTACATAGTATATACAATAACAAATAACATGTCGAAGAAAATAAAACATTTAGTTGTGGACACAACGGCATTCATAAAAGCAGCTAACCTACAAGATTTAGCTGAGAATGTTTACACCTTACAAGAGGTAATTGATGAGGTAACCAGCGATAGGCAACGCAGGAAATTAGTTGTGCTTCCTTACGACCTGAAGATCAAAGATGTATTCACTGAGAACATCAAAATCATTACGGACTTTGCGAAGAAAACTGGAGACTATACGAGTTTATCAGCAACAGATATCAAGGTAATGGCACTGGCATACCAAATGGAAAAGGAAAACGTGGGCATAGAACACTTGGCAACTGAACCTAAAATGCAAAAAACTGTTAAGGTAACTGGAATTGAAGGGTTTAATCTACATCCTGAAAATAAAATTAATGAAAAAGAAACCAACACAGAACTTGAAAGTGATAACAACACACAAGAACCAGTAGAAGTATGTAAAAATACCAATATTACTGTAGAAAGAGATGATACTAAAAAAATACAGCTTGAAATAGAAAATGATTCTGATATATTGACTGAAGAAATAGAAAATTTAAAAAATATACATTTGGCTGATGAAGATGTGAATGAAATTATGGCAAAAGTTTCAGACAATGATGAAGAGGAAACAGAGAGTGATGATGAATCCTCCGATAGTGATGGAGGAGAATGGATAACACCAGGTAACTTAGCTGAGAAAAAAAGAGAGATGGATATGGGTGAATTCGATGATAAAACTGTTGAAGTGGCTTGTATAACTTCAGATTTTGCTATGCAAAATGTTCTTAAACAAATTGGCCTCAATGTTACTGCAATAGATGGGAGGGTCATCAGACAACTACGAACATTTATATTTCGCTGCACAACTTGCTTTAAAACTACTAGTGTGATGACAAAACTATTTTGCCCAAAGTGTGGCCACGCCACACTGAGGAAAGTTGGAGTTAGTATTGATGAGCATGGTAACCAACACATTCACATAAATGGAAGGAAACCATTGTCAGCTAGAGGTAAAAAGTTCAGTTTACCTACACCAAAGGGTGGCCAGCATTTCCAGTATCCAATATTGACTGAGGATCAACACATTCACAAGAGGTTTGCAACCAAAATGGCACGGAATAAAACAAATGCATTGGACCCTGACTACACAGCAGGTTTCTCACCATTCGTTATGAAAGATGTCAACTCCAAATCAGCAGTATTAGGAGTGAGAGCTAATAAACAGGATCTGAAATATTGGATGAAAAATTATTCAAAAGGAAAGAAATAAAAGCAGATATAAAAAGAGTTTCTATCTGCCTATACTATATAAGTGATAAATAAAAGTCTATTTAATAAAACAAATATATTTCATTAGTTTGTTTGATTTAATAAGGCATCATAACTAATGTGAGATATAGTCACTTGCTAAGTTTTTCTTCAAAGAACTTAAATACAGAGTCGATACATGCATAAGATGTCATTTCATGTTTTGGATGACCTGAAATAAACAATACAACAAAAATAATGGCACAGTTTAACAAAATATCTATGTGTATTATATATATATATAGTATAAATATACCTGCTGATACCCTGGCACAATCAAAATCTGGTGTATTCATTGGTGTATCTAGTACTGCAGCAGAAGATATCCAATTTCTTGAAATCTAAAGCAATAACATTATATTTGTAATAAATTTAATGTATATATTTAAAAAGGTCATGGTCTACTAGAATATACACAATGAATTTAATACTTTACCTCTTTAAAATGCTTTGACATTTTGATATTAGAAAATGCATGAACAGAGTCTGTAAATGCAATAGCCTTTACTTGATCATTGAATGCATCTTTCAATTGGTCTGCTAATGTGAGAGTCACAACTCCTCCGTAACTGTGGGCCACAATCACAATGGACGATGCTTTTGCTTTTTTCACATAAGTGTCCCATACGTAGTGAGCATGCTCCTCTGCTGTGCCACTGTGCTGAATCTTCTTCCCATTTGGCAAGTAGTTGTCATTTGTGTTTAAGATCAAAACACCATAACCTTTAGATATAGCTTTCCTAATATAAGGTATTTGTGTACCCATATCTAAACTTTCATTGATGATTAGTCTGAAAAAAATAATCAGATGAATAATATCTTCATTGTTGTTCTCAACAATATAAAAAAACATAACATTTTTTTATTTATTTTAATGACTTGTTACCCACTTATTGTTATATAAATTTAATAACAAAAACAAACTGCTTATTTTTGTTATTTAATTAAAAATTTAATAAATTTTTATGGTATCTATGTATGATAGGCTTTACTAATCATCTAATACTAAATAATGTGTTTATATTCTATAAGCTGTTGAATAATCAAATAAATTAAATTAAATTTGTGTTCATCATCAGAAAAAAAAAATTGTTATGGATTTTCTATTACATTCTATTCAGCCCACTGCTAGACATACACCTCTCCCAAGTCATGCCACTGGGCATGATCATTAGTCCTTCTCATCCAGTTATTGAATGTCAAGTCACTCATAGATTATAGATAACTTTCAATTACATCTAGCATCTAAGTAACAATACTTACGATCTAGCCCATTGTCCAGCTTTCACGACCCCTGACCCATTGATGAGAATCAATAAAGTATCTGTCTTGTCATAGTCTTTGGTAACAAATATAAATGTTCCATCAGTGGATCCTTCTGGTACAGGCAACCTGATTAAACTTTCCCGTGTTTCCAAGATATGGTACACATAGTCCGTTATTGCATCACCAAGCTTCTCATAATGCGCCTGACACTCCTGATGCTGATCACTGACATTGAATTGAAACGGTTCATCACCTGGCTGGCCATTATCATCCAATTTTCTAAGCTGGCCATCTGCATGGATATATTTTTTTAAACAAATAGATTATAAATAAATAAACCACACAAGTAGTACAATTTACACAACACCAAATAGTCCCACAGTGAGCAAAGCTCGTATTATGGGTACTAGACAACTGATATAAAGACTTAGACTTTTTTTTTGTAATTACGTACATAATATACATAGACCCAGACTAATACAAACAATCATACTCATGAATACAAATGCTTGTACCCTTCGAGGAATCGAACCGCTACCATCGGAAGAAAAGTCCTATGCCGCTACACCAAGGTAGTTACTACAAGAGATTACAAGTAATTTGTATAAAATAAAATAAATTTATTAGAAAAAGATTAGAAGTCAGTCAAGTAACAGTATTTTGTGAGAAAAATAAATAAATATTATTATTATTGATATAGGCATATGACTGATAATTACAATATACTAGAATTGGAAGGGCTTAGTGTAGGAAGATTATTAATAACTAGAAATGGTGACAAAGTACAAGGCGGGCTGCACAATATAAGAACTAATACAATTATGGACTTCCTGCATTATTACGATTTACAAATTATTATAATTGTACAAACCAACATTGAATCCGTATCCTAAATCTTTCATCGTTTTTATTGATTCCATCGCCTTGGTATATACAGAAAACGCCTTTGAAGTAGAATTAGCCGGTACTCGTTTAATCGGCGCCACCCAGTGCCTTATGAGACCGAGTTTATTTGTATATTTTAACGTCATCTACTTATAACTGGAAACGATCAAAGAACTCTACATACGGCTTAAATTCTCTTCGTTTTCCACCGAATAAGTTATATAAATAATTGAAAAGGTAAATTGTTGTGGCTATGAATAGATATTGTAAACAAATAACTTCAGTCAACTTGACTGAACTGATGTTGAACTTTGACGTTTTGACTGAAGTTAGAGTTCAGAAATTACACTTAGATAAGTACATAAATATACTAATAATTTAAATTATACATTATGATTAATATTCTAAATATAAGTCAGACATTTTTAAATATATTATTGACTGTGTAATTACAAGAGTGTTAAATTATAAACACCCTATTAATGATTAAAATTTTAGCTATATATTCAAGTTAGATGTTTCCTTTCTCGACTCATGGGTTTCTTTACGTTCTTATTTTAGTATTCGTAAGTTCAGGCATAGTATAAAAGAATAATAATAGAGTATTGAAAATTAATCAAATGATGTATGCTTAATGAATTGAAGTAAAACAGAAATTGGATTCGTTCAGAAATGGGCATCCGTAATAAAATACCTTCACGACTATCATTACTGATGGAGTAATCAGAAGCATTTAGACGTAGTGGTGCAGATTATGCATGCAAGACGCTTGACACAGTTTTCGATAGTTATATTTTAATTAGATTTTTGAGTTAAATGTGACAGTGGTGAATCTATCAGTTTCTTGGAATGATCTGGTTTATCGGCGTTTCGATCACCGGAAACTGACTGAAAAATGTAAATGTAGTTTTCTTGTGACGGCCAGATGAGCATTCAGGACGAACTTAAAGTCATTCAAACTTTAAAACATATTCTATCTAATTTATAGATATGATGAGTGGATGATAAGAGGTCCATAGTCTAGTGTCGCTAACTACCACAATTAAATACAAAGCCATTATTGTTAATAGATTTTCTACTCTTTGCGATGTACAAAGAGCTTAAAATTCAGTAACAATGATCTATGTTGATATTATAAAATTGTAGAGTGTGTATGGTTGAACAAGCTAATTTCAGACACTCCTTGTTGTATAGCCTGTAAATTAAGGAAGGCTATATAACATGACGCTACAATCAAGCAGATCATTAATGAATAATATTGTAGAAATAGGGTAGAATTATTCCTTGTAAGGCTTTACTCTATCTTAAGTGATATACTTGAAGTTGTCTGTCTATAAATAAAATACAGATATTATAATTTATTTATTTAATCATTATACCAATCCAAGAATAGTAGAGTAAATGACATAACTAGCAAAAAGAACAATATGTAGACTCTCAAACCGGCATTTCTCTGGATAGCCTGTTTGATTTGTTCATTTGCATCTTTTACATTCTCTGTAGCACCTACAACTGTTGTTGATATCCTGTCAATATCCTGCTCTTGTTGCAATACCTGTAAAATGATAATAGTATCTGTTATTTATCTATACTAAATACTAATATTATAAAAAGATATATGACTTTTTCTAGTTTGTAATCAATATACTCAAAATAACTAAGATAAAAAAAAGACTTGCAACACAAAAAAAACAATATTAAAGTATACTCATTTATATTGAAACTAAAAAATATCTTAAATGTGTAATTAACAGATTTATGTGCACAATAGAGCTACATTACTCTTATTATTTATTTCTATATACTGTGAAAATTGGTACACAGTAACTTCAGACAAGTAACTCAAAGGCAAAATGCTTTACTTTTATCTTTTGTACAATATTACTTCACATAAATCTAAATACATCTGATAACTGTTTAGAGATAGGGGAAAAAATATAAACTTTACTTTGATAAGAGGCTAACATGTTCTACATTTCTTTTTTTATTTTATTTGTTCCTTGTTCATCCGCAATCAGCAAGTATACTATAATTGGATGGTTGTTAAATGACAATGCAAGTCTGCAGTTCAGAGTGCACACCTTTTTATTTAAATAATGCCGCCAACATTATATTTTACATTTACATTATTTAACATGTCCTACATGAAGAAAAATTTTCAATATTAGCTGTGGGGACTAATATATATAACATACTGATTTTTAGACTCTAAGTATTTAAATAGGCAGTAATTAATGATTTACCTTTTCCGTAAATATCTCCTGCAACTCGGCTATGTGGAGTACTTTACTTTCAATCTGTTTAACTTCCTCTGTCATGCTGTTCAATTCATTTAGCAACTGAACATTTTCAGATTCAAACATCTGCAACTCTTCTGTACTCAACTCTTCCTCATCAGCAATTACAGCTGTTTCATTCTCGGACAAATTCAATTTCCTTTTCGCACTATCCGGTTCTTCCACTGTTTCTGCCTCTTTCTCTTGCCCTTTATTAATTGAAAAAGGATTTGGAATATTTGATTTAGTCTGTGGAAGCTCCAGACGGGACAACTTGCGAATATCAAGCGCACGTTTGACCCTCAGTGCTTTTAATTCACTGTGGATTTTACAAACAGCTTTTAAGTACATATCTATTAAATTAATAACTGCATCCATATGTTCCCTGGTCTGCTGCGAGACAGACAACTTGCGATTATCATTCCTAAATTCTTTCAACAAGTGTGAACAGGTGTTGATGATCCTCTGCGCTCCAGTATCAATTTGATCCCTATCGGCTTCGGACATTTCGTTCCCGTTAACATTGTTAAAAAAACTCAAATACCTTTCCCTGTGTTCTAGCAAAAAGTCGCGTAATCTAGTTATTTGGGACGTAATATCCTTAGCGGTAAGTGTAAAAACAGTCTTTGGCTTAATTCTGAATAGGCGCTGTTTATCTTCGTTTACAGGACTTTGAATACCAAATGCCTTGTTGCGTGTTTTGACTGTTTTTATGCAAGCTCTAAATAATGGTGTAATATCCATTATTACTAACTATAAGGCTGTAAATATAGTTAACACCAATTGTAATAATAGTAAAAAATAATTATAATTAATTATTAAAATATAAATAGGTAAATTCCAAGGAACATAATAGTCTAAATTACAGAATCGATCAATACAGCATGACAGTATTCAGTTGACGTTTACTTTTTTTAACTTTTCTTAAAGTTTGATAGCCCAACTGACGGTTAGAATACTCAGCAGAATTGTCAGTTAGTCAGACCTTCATCAGTTTGTCATTTTGACATTAATTTTGATTCTCATTCTTATTTATTATTATTTTAATTACAAATACATTATTATATTATAACAATATATTTGTAATTATTTAAATAATCTGTCTGTGTAAATAAGCATGGCATCTGCATCTGGGAATCGGTCAAGACATTCTATCCCTATAGACATATTGGACGATCTATGCAGGTAGGAAAAGTCACCTTTGTTTTGCTAACTAATAAGAATTTAATATTTGTTTTTAAATTCAACTCTCAGTGCTTCAACAATAACAACCAATTTACACATAAAATATAACATTTAACCACCATATTTTATATTTACAGTCGTTTCATAATAAATTTGCCACCGGAAGATCGTGGGAACTTGGTTAGAATATGCTTTCAAATTGAGCTGGCTCACTGGTTCTATTTGGATTATTATTGTACAGACGAATCAAATAGACTGAATCCATGTGGAATTAGAGAATTTGCAGCACATATATTTCAGGTATTATTGCTACTATTGTAAGAGTATAATTGAATTTTAAAATAAATGGTTATTTAGGTTCCAGAGAATCTTAACTGCTCCATCAGATATTATCTGATCAAAATGGGGCAGTTTATGATTTCAGTATCAAGCAAGCATTTTGCAAGTTACATGAATCTTTCATAGTTTTTATTGCTGATAATGGAATGGTGCACCTGCCTGCGCTTACAGTTTACGCTGGAGGGCAACAGTGGGTGATAAGATGAACATGAGGTCAGATCAATTAGCCCATCATGACAAATTCACCAGGAATTCATCATGATGGTTTCCAAGGGAAACTGTGTCGAAATCAACCTGCAATAAAGATTTGTTTAATCTGAAACTTTATTTTAACATATTACTTTTTAAGCTTTAAATGATGTTTCCACAGCATAATTTTAAAATTTGCATATGTATATTAGTGTTTCCATTATTGTCGTCGTCTACAGCATAAAAATAAATTTTTGTTGTTTCCATACAAATAGTAATTTTTACCGTATTAAACTACAAACCAAAATTTTTTTCTTTCAAAATTTCAAATAGGTGTTTGTTTTATGATATAGAAAACTATAAAAAGGTCATCTTTTTTATAAAAAGATTTAGTCAAGTCTTTATTTTAGTGATAAATAAAAAAAATATATTTGATACAAAAACCATATATTTATTAATACCTAAACTTTAATAACCTATAAAAATAGTAATTAAAATGGAAAAACTTATCAACATCGCAAATGTCAAATTTGTCTCTGGGATTAAAAAACAGACTAAAAAAACTAACAATAATAATAATAATCTCAGAACACACAGCGCCATCTAGACCCAAGTTAAGCTAGCTAAAGCTTGTATTATTGGTACTAGACAACTGATACAAATACATAGATATTTTTTTTCGTAAATACATACATATTACACATAGAAAATACCCAGACCAATACAAACAATCATACTCATGAATACAAATATTTGTGCCATGCGAGGAGTCGAACCCGCAACCATCGGACGTAAAGTGCTGTGCTAGACTGCCAGACCACCGAGGTCAGCAAATAATATAATTATAAATATTTTAATAATACATATTCTAGAAATACAATTGTTTTTGCAACTTTTAAAAGAATACATTTTAATATGCTTTGTAAGATAACTTAGGAGAGTAGTTATTCTACTGCTCCTAAGTTATTGTGATTAAATTCGATCGTCATTTTGGCCTGACAGTCAACATGTTAATGCATTTTTTTTTTGTTCAGCATGTTCCACAGTTGAGAGAGCATGTAAGTAGCTTGGATGCGGTGCTGGATAACTGGAGGGAGTACAAGCTAACTGTACCAACATATGGTGCCATACTATTGGACACTGACTTGACCCATGTCTTGTTAGTGCAGTCATATTGGACAAAGGCATCTTGGGGCTTTCCAAAGGGAAAGGTCAATGAGGATGAGGAGCCATGGAAATGTGCCGCTAGAGAAGTTAGTACTACTTTAATTTATTTGTCTTTACCTGTTCTCTTTTTTTTAAATAAAGGAGGTTCTAAATTTAACAGTTTTTTTTGTGTGTTTTTTTAGAACTTTTTTTTGGAGAATAATTTTTGATGATTTTTTTTTTCATTCTATGGCCAGTAATTTTTGAGTTATCATTAATAATGTGGAATTTTAGAGAATCCACTTTAGATGTTAATGATCGTTTTTTGTTTTGTTTAAAAGCAAACAGAGTGAAGAATAAATTTCGAGAATAACTAAAAAATATGTGTGTTAAATAAATTTTGTTATATTTAACATGTAGTACATTCTCCTTCCTTTAAGTATTGATAACTAGTTTCCACAAAACAAAGTATATATACGGTCAGTAATGATAAATTAAGACTAATTCTAAAGTATGGCAACACTTCTTACAGGTATTGGAAGAAACGGGCTTTGATATATCAAAGCTTATAAGCAAAAATGACTATGTAGAAGCCACTATCCATGATCAAATCGCTCGCTTATACATAATTCCTCACATATCACGGGACACGAAGTTCCAACCTCGTACCAGGAATGAAATAAAAGCGTGCGAGTGGTTCGCATTGGCTGATTTGCCGACTAACAAAAAAGATAATACACCCAAAGTGAAGATGGGCGTAAGCCCCAATGCATTCTTCATGGTGATACCGTTCATGAAACGAATAAGGCGATGGGTACATGAACGGACCACGAAAGTCTATAATAATAGCACTAAACGTACTAGACATAAGTCTATGGGTGATATAGAGGCTTCAACTAGCAAGCCGAAAACAAAATCTATCTCCCAAGGACTAGAGAATGAGATCAAGGAATATCAACAGAATACTGTTAACAATTTCAAGTACAATAATGGCCATAATAACAGCCACGGTAATGGTAATACTCATGGAAACGCTGTTCCCATGATTGGGATGACTCCCAATCATGGAAACGGAACAAAGAACAATAATGTATACGTAAATAGCAATAGGAAAGAACGTAAGATAACGAAGAGGCAACTCTTCACGCCACAGAATACTCATACAAATAACTTCTCGCCTGTCCAAAAAGACAGTAGTCCGAACGAGGTGCAGGAAGATCATTCGTTTTTCAATTTCGTTGCGCCGTCGTGGGCCAATTTCAAGTTCGACCGGCGCGCAATACTAGAATGCCTGACTTGAAAGCTGTGACCGATTAGAATTGGTCTCAGATGTGAAGCATTTCTTATTCTCTACTTGTCTTTGACAAAATTGGCTTTAATTACTGATACATGTAATTAAAAATTACAACAGACTCTTTTGTTTTTATATTCTTTAGGTGAATTGATCCAGCTGACCCGCGCCACATCCTCTGCGTCACATTTACTAGGCATTTATATTTCACCCAATTTACACATGTTTTAAATTACAGCCTATGTTTTATTCTGATGTATAAGCTATATTATTGTAAAATATAATCAAAATCCGTTTCAAAATCACTAGTTTTTGCAACAAACAGTAACAAACTTCCATCCATCCATACTAACAATTACTATGTAATAACTATTATGTAATTGGAATAACAGACAAGCTTATGTCTCGCCTTATTTTAAGTGGCGACCAGTCTTTTTTTTTTAATGTATCATAAAGGAATTGTGCACTCGTCTGTGCTAACGGTTTACGTAGGCGGGGCCTCAGTAGAGGATGATAGATGATTATGGTCAGGTCAGTTAACCTATTGAGACAAAATTCACAAGATCTTTATCACGGTAGTCTCCTGTGGGAACTGCTAAGAGGTCAACCTATGGTACATTGCTAGCAATGGAATCGTCATTCCACATTACTAATAACCTACAACAACCTAAATTACTGCCCTGACTTACGCCCAAAGACGACGTGTAATATTGCTCAGAGTAATCTCCATTATATAGAATTTAATCGACGTTGCAGAAAATCCGGCAGATGAAAGTTAATATTATATATTATTCTTTATTTATATTTTATAGGGTCACTACAGTGAGCTAAATACTGCAAATATAAAATATTTAAATACTTTATTGAGATGTTACACACAAACATATAATCAAATTAATATCACATTGAAAATACAAGTTAACAATTAATATTAAAACTATCCTTAGAAAAATATACAAATTTGTCTAAAAATCATAGTGGGTATAACAGCGCTGTACGAGTTAAAACGGCGATATCCGTCATGCAGGAGTTGGCCTTCAGCCGCTCCATAAGTCCTGTGGGTTTGGTGTGCCATCTGCACTCGTCCTCTAACGTTCGGCGAAACTGTAAAGGCCAGCAACGGCCAACAGCATTAGAAGAGTTAAAAAAAAGTTTTTTTTTATGTAACTGGAAGGGTAAACCACTAGATGGCAAGTGGTAACCGTCTCAAAACCGTTGGAACCGTTCTCAATCAAATGATTTAATTTTCATAATCGAATAAAAATGTTTGATAAAAATTTCAGATTTATAACAATCAACCTATTAGCTATTCCAGTCACATAAAAAAAAGAGATCAACCTTATAAAACTATTTAAATTTCATTGAATTACTTTATTACTATAAGGAAATAATAGGTACTTAGTATACTTTTAAACTTCCTCGTTTAGTACACATTATTAATACAGTTGAATAGGTTTTAAAACGAATAATTTTATGGTAAGTATTTATCTCTCTCGACGTTTCGACTAGGTTGTACAAGCCGTGGTCACGGGCTGACTCGAGTCAGAGCGACGTCTCTGACCGTGACCATGACGACGACGACCAGAGACGTTGAAATACCTTCATTTACATTAAAATAGTGTCAAAATCCGTTTAACCCTATTAATAATAGTACTTATTATATAAATTAATCAGCAGTATATTTATATACATATATATGTCACAGTATAGGAAATATTGATAATCTGGACTTATACAACATTCATACACGACAACAACAGTCAGTAATAAACAAGAAGGTCATCTACACAGTCTATTATTAGAGTAGTGAACCTATTAATTTAAGATTTTAAGTGATTGTCAAATCTTTCACCATTATAACTACAGAATGTATTTAGTTACAGAACTATTATTAGGCACGTATTTTGTTACATATAAGTTTTAATATAAAATGCATCTGCAGCGTCAAAAAAACATATACGTTTCGGGAGTTTTTTTTTTGTTTCTACAGATGCAGGGGGGTTATTATATTTTATATAATTTTTAATAATAAAAAAATTATGTACCAATTGTCTAAACATGTTTCTTACTTGATTACTCTAAAACGATTAAACGAATTTAAATTAATAATAAAATTACTAATGCAATTATAATATTAGGATAATAAAACCGAGCTCGTAAGCCTGACCACTGACTGCTAATATACAGTCAACCGTTTACCAATCGTTTCCCATTGGTTACTATCCGGCCACTAAGTGATTCCTTAATAAGAGTCCTTACTAACCTTACTAGCAATCGGGGAACATAATGACTAACCGAATGTATATCGGCGCCCTAATATAGTAAAGCCATTAGCGTAACACCTTGTTTTCTTGTTATATTCAATGTCGTCACTATTTACATATTATAACATTCAACATGATCTTAATATTCTTTATATCTTTATATTTTACAAACATTTTAGTACAATTTTCGTTATAATTCCAATACATTCACCTAATAATATACATACAAATAGATTTCTTAAAACTAAAACAGTAATTAGACACCTTTTTGAAATTTATTGGTTTCGTAAATGTGTATTACATATACAGGGTAACTCGGAAAGGGTACTAAACCGCTAGCATTATAACATATTATTAATAACTAATTAAACTTGCGTGATGTTACTTCTGAATTGGTTTTTTTTTTATTTCTGTTCTGTTAAAAAAATTAATATGTTTTATTTATTACAAAGGATCGGCAACTCTATTCTTCGGTATTCAGTCAAAAACAACCGACGTTCATGATTAGTGGATTGGGAAGTAGGGGGCGTAACCAAAATAAGGCACGCCTCCGATTTTCATTAAAAAAAATCAATGTCGATATCTATATGTTATGTATGATAAAAATATAAAAACTTTGATCCCAAAAAATATATGCATTCTTTCATATCCTTTCCGAATAATCCTGTATATTTACATATTCGTAAAACCAATGAAATTTTATTAAACATATAAATATAAAGACTTACAGCTTACAAAAACAGTCCAGCTCTTACTATTACTACACGAACATACAGAATAAAAACAAAGTCTAATATCAAGGGTGTATAAAAGAGGAATCATAAAAAGGTCACTGCAGCTGATGCTGGTATATTCATAGTATATTACTAGAAATTTTCAAGCAATAAAAGTCACAATATTAGAAACTGTTGTTAATATTTACCTTTTTGATATATAACCTATAAGTTTAATTATTGACTTATTGAACCTATATCTCTAGGCAACAAGTGGAAATAACACTACGCTTGTTTATATAATATCAAAGCATACAGTGACGGAAGCGGCAACATATATTTTTAAAGGCCAATTTATTAAACGGAATATTTGCTATTCGCATTTAATCATTTGTACTAGAAACCCTTTAGTGAGATATATTCGCAAGTCATAGGTTACATTAACTTAAACATTTCTATACAAGTCGCCAATAAATAAATAAAGAGAATTAATAATAAAATCTAATAATAATATCTCAGGACAAATCATTCAGCGCCATCTAGTCTCAAGCTAACCAGAACTTGTGTTATGGGTACTAGACAACTGATAGAAATGGTGAAATATATTTTTTGTAAATACACACATAATATACATAAAAACACCTACTATATACAAACAATCACTTATGACTACAAATGTTTGCATCGTGCGAGGAATTGAACCTGCGACCAACGGAAGTACAGCAGCGTGCTAAACTGCTATATCACCGAGATATTAGGGATACGAAATTCCATTATTATAGTAATATATATCTCTAATACTATGCCCCGTAGAAATGGATGCAGATAATTAGATATAGGATTCTATATATATACAGAACATCATACGTCAATCACATGTTTTAATTTATTTTTTTAACTTAAACGACATATGTGTATTGCAATAGTTGTTTATGAAAACGTGAAATGAAAATGAAACCCATACTTTCATTTAATGTGAGACATAAACACCTATATTAGCCTAAAATGTAAATATACTGACTTTAAAAAAAAGAAATTCAGTTGAGTTTCTTGCCAGTTCTTCTCAATCAAGAATAAATGATTTCAAAAACACATTCTTTCATGTGGGACATTATAGCCTCTTATGAACGCCAAGTTTTTTGTAATTCATATTTTTTTCCTACCGTCCAGTTACAGATTCAATTGAGAAGGACTGGCAAGGAACTCTACTGAATTTATTTTTTAAAAACCAATTTGAATTTTGAATTGAAATTAAATTAGAATATTTATTTACATAGGAGTTTCGGCCTCTTATGTATGTCATAAATTTTTACCATATTAAGTTACTTGAGTCCAGAAGAACTGGCAAGAGACTTATATGGTTATATTTTTTCATATTATTATTATGCTTTAATCAGATTAAATATTTAAAAAAATAACATAGAGTATCTGTAGTGTATATCTCTACCATATTATACAGTTCTAACCTATGTATTTGTATAGAAATAATTTTCACTTGATTTCATGATTTAATAAGAAAAATATAGAGCTCTAAATTTTATATGTATGTATTTTCTACAAAATTCTGTAAACCTATAGGAACTGTTTTTAAGCTATTTTACAAGGAAAATTAAATGTTGCGTAATTTATCCATAAAAAATCCGCATAAACCGCTCTGTCAAAAGCATATTTCAAGTATACATATAGAGTTAATATATAAGATATATATATATCTTATATATTAACTATATATAGTGATACTATGTAAGAAAATTAGTCAATATATCCCCATTTAGTCACAATATATAAATATACAATATAATGTTGCGAAAATAATAGAATTAAAATGGGGTAAATATCGCGCAGTAAAAAATCAACCGTATATGTACTGCTTAGCCAATTTACCACATGTGTATAAATATAATTATATACATAGATAATATATAACTGATAATGTCATAAAAATGGGAAAAAAGAGCGCGGTTAAAATTCATACTGCAAGAGTCTAGTCTGAGATGTTCAGCCATCACTTCTATATAAATATATATTATTAAATATAAAATGAAAATCTATACCTATATATTTTTTATATCATTTATATATAAACGAGCTTGCGGTAGACTTGATGGTAAGTGATTACCGGTACCCATGAGCACTCGCAACACCAGGGGAATTGCAAGTGCGTTGCCGGTTTTAAGAAGAAATAAGCTCTTTTCTTGAAGTTTTTATATCGTATCGGTTCGGAAATACCACTGCTGGAAGGTACTTAAAGTCCACTGTCAGAGAAAATGTCATATAAAAATACATTACTTATTTATTAGGATACATACATTACTCATACATTAGGATTTATATTATTTTGTTTAATTCCCCTACAATTAGCATATGTGTGATCACAAATATTCACTTGACTCACGGAAACTTGACTACTGTTACGAACTACTCTAATGGTGATCAAATTTCGACTGTTATTGAATCTACACCCATATTACGACACGTGTTCCGCCTCTGAACAAGGCATCATCAAGCATTGAATAGAACCAAGCTATACCCGAAATAGCTTGGAAGCCTAGTGTTGACGGTTCGGCGACCAAACAAAATAATATAAATCTATTAAGTAGTGAAATGGTCTTCTGCAAAATAACACCTAATTGCATTAAATTTATATATAAATATTAGTGTTGACGGTTCGGTACATACATGTTTATTATTCATTCTCCAACAGCGTGAACCTATACGCGAGTCATTCATCATCCAGGAACCTCGTGGGCGGGTTCCTCTGCTTGTACCTTCGGACGATCAGGTAGATGATGCCAGACATGGCCAGGAACACCGGTATCCCCAGTCCGATTGATATGATCATGATTACGAAGAACGAGAAACTCTCCTTTGGAGGCGACCCATATCCGACTGTGAAGGACCTGGAAAAAAGTTTCGAAGATTTTAGTTCACTAATCAGATGCCTGATGGTCTGCTCTGATGATTATGACTGATTTATTTTGATACGCAACTAACCACTTAGTCTAGGTAGCAAACTTTGTATACAGGTCGCAGTGTTACAGGTTACCATATGACAATAGCCCAACCCCCCCACCCTCTCCCCCCGCTCGCACGACACAAACATTTGTATTTGTGTGGGATGGTGGTAATTAAAGGCGCAATATGTAAAAGTAATAGTATATTATAAAAATATATGTCGTAATAAACTATATGAAAGTAAGAGCAATAGAAGGAATAACAAAACCATAGCAAACAATATAAAATATAAATATTTTAAAATAAGGAATAATTGTACCAGCTCGAATGTAAGGAGTCCTGTACAGTATTCATCAGTATGATTGTATGAGTCATAAATATTATACATAGAAAACACCCAGACTCATGAATACAAATGTTTGTGCCGTACGAGGAATCGAACCCGCAACCATCGGAAGTAAGACGGTGTGCTAAACCGCTAGACCACCGAGGCCGTATAAGAAAATAAAACTGTAAATATACTAACCATGACGTGTAATTATGTTGCTTGTAATATCCATCGGCTGCGTCTCCGAACGATACCACCATGTCTTGTATGAGTACGTCATCGCGGTCGAAACGTTGGTAAAACGTTTTCAACGTACTCTCGTAGGGAAGATCAGTTCTATAAATTATATTAACTTACTAGTTTGCAGGGAAACGTTGTTTTGTCATATCAATTAAAATCGCTTAAAAATAGTTGGTAGAACATAGAATTATCGAAGGGTGATTATATTACTATATAATACCGTATATTTTCATGCAACATTATAAAAATAAAAACATTTAAATAATGTTAGGGGTGGACAAAACTTATCACTTAGGGGTATGAAAAATAGATAGTAGCCGATTCTCACCTACTGACTATGCATATAAAATTTCACAAAAATTGGTCAAGCCGTCGGAGGAGTATGGTAATTAATATTGTGACACGAAATTTTATATATAAGATAATAACTGTTTCCCGCGATTTCTCGTGGAATTTCCCTCTTTTTCCTTAAAATAAATATAAATTCTAAAATAAAAGTAGCGTAAGTTACTCTTTACAACATCTGCGATTGAAAGTCGCGTCAAAATCGGTCCAACCGTTTCAGAGATTAGCAAGAACAAACAGACAGAAGATGTGTGTAATATGCATTTAGTGAGAAGCTGTTAATTTGAAATTAAAAACAGACCCTTCAATTTTATTTGCACACTTTACAAGCGAGTATGTTAATAAATATTTATATATAAATGTTCTTGTAAGTACCTGTTGAAGTTGGAGACATGTGCATTTGTGGAGACAGCGACGCCGCGCTGGGGCTCCGTGTAGGCGACCGGGCGAAACTGCAGGAACCCGCCGCCCTCACCGCGTCGCGATGCCGGAGTCACAATCTCCACTATCTGCACACGATACCAATAGAAAAAGTAGATATTAGTTCATATCAGTTATTCATAACCATTTGATTGGCGCATTTTTGAAGAGGGCGGGGCGTAGCAACTAATGCGTTAATTCTCTAAAAGACTCTTATCGGAAGTTTGAGTGTCCTAACGCTGCTTCGCTTTTCGAAGACAATTAATTCGAATCCATTGCCTTGAAAAGCAAAGTGCTCAACTAACGAAATACGATTACTTGTAGTTATTAGAAAGTCTTGAGAGCGTCATAGTTTAATAGTTTTCTGCCCCCATTTTGGACGAAGATCACGATCTTTTAGTTTGAAGCCGGTCAACAAAATATTTTTGCGTTAATTTATACTTTGGACTGGTTTCCAGGTGATACAAAGATGACTATTTTATTTTATATATACCTCAAAAACTCCAGGCGTGTGTTCGTCGTCCAAACTCTTCCTCATAGTATAATTCATCGTGTCATTTTTCTTGTCTGTGCTGACCAACAGGAAGTGAAGCGCGAACCGCGACGCTTCATAATCTTCAGAGCACGTCAAATTCACGAGATTGACGTCGATCAGCGTCGAGTTGGACGTATGGATCAAATGGGGAAGATCCACTGCATAATCTTGGAATGGGAGCAGATCCAACTGTGAACAGAAAAACAATATAGACTCAATTTGCATATAAGTTATAGTGTAGAGGTTTAAAATCGCAGGTTCTAAATCTAATTCTTCTTTTAAATTTAGAATTGGAAAAAAAATAAAATAAAAAAACAAATATAACTATCATATAAATAGACATTTATGTACAAAACTAATGCTCTTCAAATTTTGATTAATAGACCTTCTTGTCGCGTACAGTAAAGCAGCAACAAAACGCAACAAAAAGAAGCGTTCTGAAAATACATCTAGCTTCGAACTAAAGCTTCTACGCATAACGTTCAGACTTTCATAATGAAATCGATCGAGGCAACGTACCTTTGCTCACTCAACCAAATTTGTAATTTTATAATAGTACAATTTACCCAATAAAATCAAAATAGTAAGCGAAATATATCATTTCTACAACCCGTAATCTGCTGACGCCATCATCACCTACCATTTATACTGTTTTAAACATGACGCGGTCATTATTTATACGTATAATTAGTAAAAATCACGGGATCTTACCACGTTTTATATTTATTTGCTGAGTTCCCGATATAAATGATCACGGGTAAACATCATATCACAGTTTATGATTGATTTTTGATGTTTTTTACAATTACACCTACCATTTGTTCATTCGAGCCTCATCATCGCGTAAGTTAAAAACTTCAAGTGACCCTTTAAGGACTAGGTAATAAATAAGATTCAAGGTTAGATTCGGAGACACCCCACACGTCACTATTGGTTGAAATATTATAATATAGTTGCTGTTCCGGCCAATGTTGTTTAGCCATATAAATTTCAGTACTAATATTGTTATTAAAAAATAGAGGTTAGTGGTGGAAGGGTGAAAATTTACAGATGTATGTATTAATACCATATTATAAAAAAAATGTAGACAACATTATTACTTAGGGGTATGAAAAATAGATAGTAGCTGATTGTCGGTCCTACTAAATGTGAATATAAAATTTCTTAAAAATCGGTCAACCTTTTTATTCTTATACAATTACCAAGCGACAACCAAATTAAATTAAATACAATAACAACTAAATTAAATTAAATACGTCCTATAGTCACGATAGTATAACTCTATGAATTTTTACCTTTTAAATTTTTTATTTATTATTCACCTTAATCTCAATTGTGCCGTTATGGAAGTCATTCTTGTAGTATGTCTGCATCAGCAACTTCACCTCATTGTCAGATTGTACCAAGTCGCCACGTATCCAATGTAAGTCCTTCAGCGGGTACTGACGCCGGGGAAAGCGGTTCTCAAAGTGGCCGTTGTCATCTGTATCATTGTACTCGTATATCTGTGGTACAAAGAGGCAATAAATCAATATAAAATTATAATATAAATAAATAACCCTGGACAATTAACACAGCGCCATCTAGTCCCGCGGTAAGAGCTAAGAGTAAGCTTGTGTTATGGGTACTAAACAACTGTTATAAATACTTAATAATACATACAAAATATACATAGAATACAATCAAGACCAATACAAACAATTATACTCATGAATACAAATGTTTGCACCGCGTGAGAAATCGAACCCGCGACTATCGGAAGTAAAGCGGTGTGCTAAACCTCTAGACCACCGAGGCCATCAAGATGTTGAAAATATTGGCTGGAAAGATTTAGATTTTTTTATATATATATTTTGACATAAATTTAAAATATTGTAATATGTGCAGGGCCGTCTTAACCCGGAGGTTCAAGAGGTGGAGCCGCAACCGGGTGCGGGTTCAAGGCCTACCGAATACTAGAAATCAGGTGTTATTAACTTTTAAACCTAATTAATGTCACCGTAATTGCACCATTAAGTATAATTTATTATTAGTCCAGTAAAATTTTAAATTAAACCATCATGTGACCAGATTTGGCGCAATATATAAAAATAAGTACGCAAATACGTGACTCATAATTTTCGGGCAGAAATTTTGATTTATGTTGACCAGAAAAATATGAAAAAATTAAATAAAGGCCTGAAAAACGCTTTTTTTTCAAAATAACTTGATAACGGTAAGGAATATGAAAATTCGTTTTAAATAAAAGTTATATAGAATCTGCAAACACGTTTTTTCTTTATGTGCTGTTAGTCCAGAGTTTAGTATCAGGGTTCTGTTCATTGCTTACGATCTGCGCTATTCCATTGCCAAAAAATAAAAATTAGGTTTAAGATAATAAATATATTTCCTCCCCACAATGTTTCTTTAGATGACAAATTAATTGGTGTTTTGTTACATAGTTTACAAAACCATTACTCATTCAACATGCATTGTCAATTTCAATGAAATGAATTTGATCTCAGTATTGGAAACCAATTGTGATTCAATTAGGTCAGTATATAGCTATCAAAACATGCGTTTGAGTCATAGGTAAGTATCATAGTACATATGGACTATCATATTCATAATAGATTAAGCAGCTGTATTTCTAACCCGCATTGTACTTGGTAATGTATTACTCATAGTCACATATACAGATTATACTTAAAGAATACACAATACACAATTGTTGAGACAAATTGAATCTTAAATACACTATTAATAGGGAGTAGAACATCTCACAATCTATACATATAAATAAAATTGGAATGTCTGTTTGTAATATTGAAATAACCGTTATTTACTACATGCATATGAATATATATACACCAAAATATCATTTTTTACAATTTTTGTCTGTCTGTTTGTTCCGGCTAATCTCTGAATTGGCGAGACCAATTTTGACGGAACTTTTATTGGCTACCTGCCAATAAAAGTCCCGTCAAAATTGTCTGATGTAATAAGGAGTAACTTGGGCAACTTTTATTTTAAAAATTTAATAAAAAAATAAAATTCCTAGCAGACTTAGTAGCGAGTACAGCTAGTTTTTTTATTAAAATAGGTAATGCAAACAAGCTTGACTACATTGTAACTCAACAAATTCACACAACACCACCTAGACCCAAGTTAAGTAGCTAAACCTTGTGTTATGGGGACTAGATAACTGGTACAAATACATAGTTTTTTTTTCGTAAATATGTATACAATATACATAGAAAACACCCAGATTGTTACAAACAATCATACTCAGGAATACAAATGTTTGTATCGTGCAAGGAATATAACCTGCAACTTTCGGAAGTAAGGTGGTGTGCTAAAACTGTTAGACCACAGACATCAAAGTTAATAGATATTGCATCTACAACTGAGAACAGTATCGGGTGTCCCTTGGTACATCACCAACAATGAAATTCACAAGGAACTTGGCGTACTAACAGTAAAGGAGGAGATCCTTAATTGTAAAGTAAAATATAAAAAGCAACTATAACCACCCAAATCAACTGGCTGCTCAATTACTATAAATACTTTACCCCAAGCGACTAAAAAGAAGCGACATTGTGTAATATTTGCAGTATGCTTAAGGAGTAGATCCTCCCGCTGGACACTCCATTCTTAGATCCCACACCCAAAAAATCTGCTCATAGTTCTGGGACTGATTGCAGATAGGAAGAGAAAAAAAATATTCCATCTATGAAGATTTCATCATAGATATAGAAAAAACCACTGTAGTTAAGCTACTAACCTTGTCAATAGCGATTGCAAAACTGTACTTAGGTTCTTCAGATAACTTGAAGCTTGGTTTATTGTCATCCCATACTACATCCATAGTTAAATTAAGACTTGAGATTAAGAATAGTACTGTGGGTGTATGTCTTGTGAAGTCCCACACCTGGTGCACTGAGTCATGGCTGCCATCTGCTCTTATATATAGTAATGTGTCATATTCTGAACAATGTATGCAGCCAGGATTTAGTAGTGATGTTATCTGAAACGAAACATAGGTGATTAATTTGTCTTTAGTGGGAATAGAATAGAATAGAAATAATCTTTATTCAAATAAACTTAATATAAGCACTTTTGAATAGTCACATTTGAATAGACATAGTTGAATAGTTTTTTTATTCTACCACTCATTCGGAACGCAGACTCCTAACAAGAAGAATGTGCAAGAAACTTGTGTGTTGCTCTTTTAAGCATGATATATCAAAACCAATATTTTTTTGTAAATTGGATATCTGCAATTAGTATGGGTACTATAAGCAGCTGAGTTGTTGGTAGTTGATGTGGGAGAATCTCTATCCTTTGACAAAGTCCTCATATTTCAGCTAGCTTGAAACCTTTCATCCAGCTCCAGAATATTTGCTTTTTTTAGTCTCTTTGCTGGGTTATTGACTAGACCTCCTTTGTGATTATATTCTAGAAGTTAGCATCAGTAAGAAATAACTCCTGTAGTGATTATAGTTAACTTAGAAAATGGTCTATTTGAAATAACTGTAAGTAATTATATATTTCTAATACAAATCATTTTATTTTTGGTAAACAAATTCAGTTCTGCTAATTTATAATTACAGTTCATGTAATAAATATGTATACTAAATGTGTTCAAACATAGAACAAAGACAACAGCAAAATCCTAATTAAAAGTTATACTGATAAAAAATTACATTTATTTACAAAATGCAAACAAATCGATACCCAGATAATGCTAAATGTACAACATACTAATTTAACGATTGTTATGGCTCCAGGAGATAACAAATATACAAACAAACTAGCAATGTTGACAAAAATTATTCATACAGTACTAATTCATTGTAATTATTTAAGGTAACATTGTCGTATCAAAAAGGTTTTGCTAATGTGAAAACATCGCGCTACAAAAAGGGGTGGTTTAGACTACTGTAAAACAATAAAACCAATTCATTCTTACCTTTCTATTCTGGCTGTTTACCAAGGATATTGATAAAATAACTAACAAACTCCACAAATACATTTGTGTCGTCAAAGGAAACATTTTTGTCATAACTATTGGCAATATGTTTTTTATTATTGTTGCAGTCTGGTAAGCCTAGAGTTCACGTCATGAGCAGGCGACCATAACATCCGATGCACATAAATAATTGGATGAAAGGAACGCCTCGTTTAGATGAGGTTTTAGATATGAATGTGTACGACAATTAACTAATAATGATTAATTTATTATAGAATTAAAATATTTGGTCAGATAACCACACAGTACAATAACAAAGAATAGAGGCACAGACTAATATAAAATTATGTCGTGTAAGTCTTTCTGATCTGTGATTTCGTGTCAATCTGTGCTGTAGTCTGTCGAGATATTATAGTTTTTTTTGTTTCGGTTTTTCTACAGGCAAAAGGACTAAGCCTATACAGCCAGTAAATAGTAATTAAAGTAACACGTTTTGTAGGTCTCATTTAGATGTCCTATATATTTGTATATTTTATTCATAATAGTTCGATACTTATTGGAAGAGGATAGCATATTTTTTTTATTTAACAGGATTATATTATTTATCTACCTCGTAAAAAATGTAAACAAATAAATAAAAACTAAATCTTAATCTTTGTAATTTCCAATTAAAAGCTTCTCACATGTATAATGTACATACTTACACCAAAAAATATGTATATATTTTTCCTGTTTGTCCGTTTTTTATTGCAAATCTCTAAAACAGCTGAACTGATTTTGATAGGACTTTCACTCGTAGATAGCTAACGTTATGAGAAGTAACTTAGACTATTTGCGTTTTAGTAGTTTTATTTAATATAATAAAAAAGGAGTTAAATTCCACGCGGACGAAGTTGATGGCAAAAGCTAGTATACAATACAAATGAAAAATAAAAGACAAACAGTAAACTTATTGTATATTTACATTTCACAATACTGTCCTTAACATTGTTTCTTACATTGCTCTTCGTCAAGCTGAGGGGAGTGTTGTCGTTTCGCCTTTGACTTATTCGAATGCTTGTTTTGATTTCGTATCGCCTTCGACATTTTCTCTTCACCAATGCTGAAACAAAATGTTCGGTGTGTAGTGCGGTGGTTGGTGGTCGTCACCTCACCACGGTAGCGTTACCAGAAGCTTAGCGTGCCTTGGCGGGGCCCCGTATACGCCCCTGAACGTAACACATGATGTGATGACGTATTGCTATATAATATATTGCTACATAGTATACCAGTGAAACTGGTCAAGATCGCTGGAAGGCATTGGATGCGAGCAGCGCTGGACTGATCGTCGTGGAGATCTTTGGGGGAGGCCTATGTCCAGCAGTGGACGTCTTCCGGGCTGCGATGATGATGATGATGATACCAGTGAAATAATTGTAAGATTTATTATACATTACTAAGTTTATTTGGTACTGTGCTAAATGACTTATAAGTATATATATTGCGGTCCATAAGTGGTACAAAATTACTCACTTAACATTAGCCCTGGAGCCAGGGCCCCAATAAGGGGTAGGATTAAACTGGAATCGAAGTCGTCCATCGCGTCGGCTGATCGGGTTAGCATCCAGCCGCTCTGTGAGGTCCACCTCTGACTGTATGGGTTGGGACAGGATGAACTTGGCAACTGGATCTGCATCCAACCTGCAGTTCACAACTAGTAATTATTATTTATTTAACTTCAATGTACAAAAATAGTGTGTACATATGGCGGTCTTAACACCTTGCGGTGTTATCTACCAGGCAACCATAAGTGGCACAGAGAAAGATTTTTTAATTTCTACAAAAAAATATACATACATAAATATAAATATTATATGTAAATAAATACTTAATGATCTGATAATCTAATTATAATTACATGCTTATGTAAGTAAAAAAATGGAGAAACAAACAAAAATTATCAAGAGAGAATTGTAGGGAAATTACAAAAAAAAAATTAAAATAAGGAGAAGGACAGTGATAGAAGTTACAAATTTAAATAGTATTACCAAGATATGTCAGAGACAGGCGGAGAGGAGAGGATTGTTGGTACTAGGAATTAGTGACCCTATTGAGTTGGTGCTAGAATTGTATCATGCAAGTTTGACCCATATGTGGCCGCTCTGGAATACTTCATGTTTTATTCCTGATGAATTCACAGCGATGTGCAATAAATCTTACTTGACACTTATTCTCTCATCCTCTAATCCTCTTATGGGTGCTCCAGTGTATACAGTTACCACAGGTGGGTGCAGCATTCCATCATCACTTATTAAAAAACCAACCAGAGAAAACTTTGTACAAAATGTTACTCTGATTCATCAAGTGACGATTTTAGACTCACATCAACTTTAGCATTCTCTGCTGCAACAATTGTTTCATATATAAATGAAACTAGCTGTTCCCGTGACTTCGTCCATGTGGAATTTAACTTTATTTTTTAAAATATAAGTAGCCTAAGTTACTGATGTAATAAGGATTACATCAGCTACCTGCCAAAAATAGTCCCGTCAAATTCGCTCCCGGCATTTTAGAGATTAGCCGGAACAAACAGATAGACAGACAAAAATTTTTATTTTGGTGTATGTATGGTACATACACCAAAATAACATTTCAATATATTCATATGCATCTAGTAAAAAAGGGTTATTTTAATATTATAAACAGACACTCCAATTTTATTTATATGTATAGATATAAAAGAAATTATAATATGCCATATGCATTACCATTAAGAAGTATCAAGATATCATGTCTCCGCACCCAATATTTCTTTATATTAACACAATATTCTTACTTGGCCGGCTTAACTGGGTGCGTCTTCTCCCAAGTGCGTAGGATGTCCCACATGAGGTGCGCGGGCGCAGTTGTCTTTATCGACAACTTGGACGCATGTGAGTACGACACCTTATGTCCAGCGTTCATTATTGCTGACCTGTAAGACAAGTAAAGGCACTGAAATTTGTACTTTTTTTATGCAATTAGAAGTGGCAAATGGTATATAATAATAGTCCGGGACAAGTCTCACAGCGCCATGTAATCCTGTTTATGAACTAATGTGTAGGTAACACATGAAAAGTATCTATATAACTTGTATCACCCGGGTGAAAGCTTATTTTATTAGCATATTCGTATTAGCTTATATATTATTATGATGTATATGCTATATTACTGTAGTGTCATCTAAATACGTTCAATAGTTTTTGCGTGAAAGAGTAACAAACATCCATCCATAATCACAAACTTTCGCGTTTATAATATTAATAAGACTAGCTGACCCGCGCAAATTCGTCTGCCTCACACTTTATTGACATTTATCATTATATTTCACTCAATTTACATAATATCTTTTTAAATTATACCCTAATAGCTGTATCCGCGACTTCGTCCGCTTAAAATAGTGACCTTGACCAAATAATTAAAAAATAATTATTGACATGACCCAATAAAAGCCAAATAAAAAAGTATCATCGTTTTCATTAAGATGCATAAGCTAAGCTAAACTATAAAAGTGTCATCAAAGTCAGTTTAGTAGTTTTTGCGTGAAAGAGTAACAAACATCCATACTCACAAAGTTTTGCTTTTATAACATTAGTAAGAAAAAAAACCATCAATCGAAACGCAGCTTACTGCTTGGTTAGAGAAAGATATATGCTAATAATTTATAGCAAATCTTCTCGGATTAGTATAAAAAAAAATTAACGTATTACCACACCTCATTACCATCATAGGCATAGTCTCCAAGTGCACACGCCCGAACATCTTGTCCAGGGTGTAGTACAACGGTACGCTGTGGAGCTCCTCCCGAACCATAGACAAGACGCCTTCTATCCGCTTCGCTGTTCCGAACAGAGCCGGGTGCTCTTGTACGTGCATTAATACTCTGGATACAAAAGCTTCGTCGTGTATAGGCGCTGACCAGATAGGGCCACCAAGCTGTAAATTGCAGAATGGCTGTATTTCCTTTAGCTTACTTTATTAGGATAAATAAATATTTAAAAAACTGTGTACCTATATCGTAGTTCTACCTTTCAATAACAGTTTAGCACACCGCCTTAGTTCCGATGGTCTCGGATTCGATTCCTCGCATGGCACATTTGTATTCACGAGTATGACTGTTTGTATCAGTCTGGATGTTTTCTATGTATGATAAGTATGTATTTACGAAAAAAAAATGTAACTATGAATTTGTATCAGTTATCTAGTACCCATAATTAAGGCTGATGGAATAGTGTGACGTGGATGAGAATTAGCGTCGCTGGCCGGGCCGACGCTGTACTCCGCTCTGTCGCGACCCTACCTCCCGAGGTACTAGACCTGCCGCGGCAGGATTAAGGAATATAGTAAACTTACATGATGCCTTTGATTGCAGTGCACACAATGCTCTCCCACGACCGGCGCGGGAGGTAAGTACGACTTCATTTGTTCGGGGTTCTTCTCACTGGGGTTGGGTTTGAAACCACCCAGCGGCTGCAGGGTTATGTGGTCACATCCCACGCAGTGGTACACCATTGACAGTTTACTGTTAAATTAATTACCACAATTTTATTTTAGAAATATAAGTAATCTTTATTGAAATAAACTCAATATAAGCACTCTTGAATAGTCATATTTTTTATTCTACCACTCACTCGGAAGGCAGACTTATCACAAGAAACTTGTGTGTCGCTTAATTATATTGTGTTAATTAGTTTTGTCCAAAAAGAAAAAAAAGTTAGGGGTGTACAACCCTTATGCGTAGGAGTATGAAAAATAGATAAAAGCCAATTCTCAGACCTACTAAGCATACAAAATTTCATAAAAATCGGTCAAGCCGTTTCTGAGGATTATTGTAACTAACATTGTGACACAGGAATTTTATGTAAAATAATTGTATGTAAGATACCTAGTGGTCTTCTTGCAGTGTATCGCTCCTGAGTATACCTTTACAAACACACGGATGTAGAAATCTGCAGATATACTGAGCAGTGGCACTATGTAGCGGCTGTATCTATTTGCATGTTGCTCTATACATTGTAACAATATCCTTAATGCCTGGAAAGAAGAATGATAAAAATTTGTAAATATGAATGAATACAAATATTGAGGAATCGAATCCGCGACTATCGATAGTAAGGTGGTGTGTTATAAACCGCTAGACCACCGAGGTTGTCAGAATATGATATTTTGAATTTTTTAAACTCACCATTTCATGGCAGCATTTAGTTTTCAAACTAACAGCACCATATTTACAGTAACATGTTTCTGGTGAGTTACCAGCTAGTACCGCCATGTCTGTGGCGGTAACGAGTAGCAGGCCTCCTTCGCTGACACTCTGGATTGCAGAGTCGAGGAATATAGAGGGACAACCGTACGGGTCTAAATCGATAGCCGTAAACCGCTTTGCCGGTTGCTTGTGTTTGTACATCAGCATGCTGGAATAAAAAACAATATCAGCAATCAGCACATATGTATGTATTATAGTTTACTATGGGCATAAAATGGAGAATGTGCATAATTAGTTGACGACAGCCTCTGTGGTGTAGCAGTTTAAGACACAGATTTATTTCTGATTGTTTGAGTTCGATTCCTTGCATGGTATAAACATTTGTATTCATGGGTGTGAATGTTTGTATCAGTCTGGGTGTTTTATAAAGTAAGCATTTACCAAAAAAAATATTTATGTATTGACATCAGTTCTCTTGTACCCACAATATAAGCTCTGCTTAGCTTGGGACTAGATGGTGCTTGATGGTGCTGTGTGAATTGTCCTAAGATATAATTATTAATAATAGAAGCAATGGAAGTCAAACTCTGTGTTAAAGGACACTGAATATAGAGATAAATTGTAAAAAGATTTTAGTTAAAAAGGAATTCCACATATAATCAATTGATATTTAGGGATAAGTAGCATTAGTATTTTTAATTAGTGTGTCACCAAGAAATACTTTCCCAATGAGGTTTTGACAACTTTTTTTAACAAATGCAAAAAGACAATATGCTGGTGCAGATAGAGGTAAAAAAATCAAAAGTTTCCTCTTTATAATATTACAATAAGGTCAGTAAGTAAATAAACAAGACACAGTAATTTGTATTCAATATAAAAATATTCATACCAAGCATCATCATGGTTGGTTTCTATCAAATTCTCCACCTGATTGTGTATAACATTAGCCTTGATAGTTTCAACAGCCTGTATTGAAAAGTCATTGGCAACAATTTTCGTAACATTTGGCACTTCTTTAGCATAACGGATACTTCTTAGACCGGTTGCAGACAGAGCTTCTAAAATAGTTATATTGATCTGCAATAAAAATATAACAACAGAATTAAATAACATATTATATATTGCTACTAACTGACTTCACGCAACTTCCTTTGCATTATATGAGGACATAGAGAAGGAGTTACAAAGAATGAAAAAACATATCTTTGGAACAATTCAACTCAACGAAAGCTCTAAAAATAAAAAAATTCAGCATATTAGAAACATTTTTCATTAATTCTCTAATACAATCTTAGTGTGATGTTATATTTAATGACCTTAGTGCTTTAGATGGTATTTTCTATATATCTTAATATGTACTTACAAAAAAACATAAATATAAAGTAAATGCATTTTTATCAGTTGTCTACAACACAAGCTCTGCTTAGCTGGGAATAATTAACATAATTTTTAATCACATTTCATGCAGGCCACCAAGATGGCAAACATTGGCTATCTAACATTTAGAAGAGTTTAATTTAAACTGGTAACTTAAACCAGGGATATTTTGTTTTCATTAAAATTTTATATTTGCGATTTAAAAGTGGTTGGACTAATACTAGTACAATTTGCTCCTTTAATCAACACTAGTGAAGCATGTTGACAATATCTTAGCTTAAATCATGACATCCTGCATTATCAATGTTTAAAGCACAATTACAAGCAAATTATTAAATTAAATTAATTACATTACAGTACAATTAACATTTTTTTCTATCTCACATAAATTTATTTTGGGATTTGTGTATTCAATTATGTCAACCGTATATATCCAACTTAATTATAACAACCTTAAAAATAATAAACAAAAATGAAAGAATAACCAACTGAGAGGGATCTACAAAAACAACTTACTGCGTTACTCTCTGTATTACTGTTTTCTGACATTACATCCATCTGTCCATCTTTTTTAGTTTTCTTCTCTGCCTTAGCACGGTTCTCAGTCTTATAGTCATCAGTAAAGATACTCAGTACTGCAATACTTAAATCTCTATTAAATTCTTGCACAGGATTGTAGAATACTTTCTCAGTGGTCAGGCAGATTTCAGCTTGGCCTTCTTTTATAGTTTTGTTTGGGATAACATCTGTTGATGTTTCCATTCTCATTTTATGCTGCAAACACAGCCTATGTTAGGGCAAATTAACAAGAATAATAACAAATTTATGTCAATATTACCAATCTAAACGATACAAGCAGAGGCGAGAAGGCAAGTGTATATTTGCTAGTCAAAATGCAAATCACAGTCATACTTATATACAATTTTTTTAAATAACTCATTGATTATTCCGTGAGTTTCGGCTAGGAGGTGTAGGTAAAACAAAATATATTCTTGAAATGCCTTCATCCTAAAGAAAATTTTGGCTAAATTCATGTTTTTAAAACGGTAATAGCGCAGTTGCATTCTGAGATTGGTTATTTAATTTAATTATTATAAAACTAACTTGTAAGATAGGATTAAAAAGTTTCCAATATCTTCGAAAATACATAAAAGAACATTAAAAAATTCACATGAACAAAATGATTCAGTATTTTGATTTATTTTCAATTCTATTGAAAATTTAATTAGAATACAAAAACACGTTGCATTGTTTTGACAAGCAGTCACAGACAGCTGACAAGACTATATCAGGGCTCAACCTATGTCAACGTTGACAACAGAAAAAGATGCACAGAACTTGTATTAAATCTGTGCTGTCACTTTTGTTATAAATGTCATGTCATTTGAAATATCTGGAAAAATAACCTATTTATTTTAAAATAATAATTATTAAATGAAACAAGACCTAAAAACTCAATTATTTATAAAGTAAAATGCATACTGCCAGTCGTTTGGCTAGGAGCTCATTGTTTCAGAATGTTAAACTTAAAAATTTGTCTGTAAGGTTATCTCGCAATATTACGAAAGTTGCATCACATATTAAACCGGTGGAACTAGAAGAGAGGGTATTAAGGTCCGGTCATGGGCTTTACGGTGTACGATACAGCCGCAGCTGCTGCTATAACGATATTTATTCCCCTACATCGCGACAGGTAGCGAGTACGAGGTTTTACTCAACAGGGAATAAGAATGATCCCCCTGAGGGCGATCCAGAGTCCAAAGATGAGACGCCGCTGTTCTCAAGCCAGCTCCCGGCTACTGTCGCCGTGCCTGAAGTCTGGCCTCAAGTTCCTGTTATTGCAATCAACAGGAACCCAGTGTTTCCAAGATTTATCAAATTAATTGAGGTATATCATAGCTAGCTTTTATTATTTTCAATATACATTAATTGAAGTGAGTTAAAGTACCAATTGTAGTATTAATATAACATATAGTAATCTGTTTACTAACAAATAAACTGTAATTTCAAATATTGTAGTGATGTAGTGATTGACAAAATCTGGGATCTATATCCACTGCTGGGAATGCATTTCTCAGTAAGAATTATTAGTTTTAGTAACACTGTAATAGTTATATTACTATTAAAATTTAAATTTTATAAATAATTTAATTATTGTCACTATACTGTATTGTTGTTATGTTAATGAATGTTTACGCAAAAAAGAAAGTTTTATAAATATAATGTTTGTTCTTAGTACCCTCATTCTATACACCAGACTGTAATAAATAAATGTGCATTTTATATTTCATACATTATTTGGGGACTTCTTTGATGCAGCTGTTTAGCACAATATCTCATTTTCCAATAGCTTGGTTCAATTTCTTAATTTAAAAACACTACTTATTTCCAGATATCAAATCCAGCTCTAATTGACTTAATAAGACGTAAAGTGAAATTAAACCAACCATATGTTGGTATATTTTTACGTAAGAAAGAAGATGACAAGAATGATGTGGTGTCCAGTTTGGATGACCTGCATGATGTCGGTGTATTTGCACAAATACATGAGATGCAGGACATGGATTATAAGTTGAGGCTGGTCGTGATGGCCCACCGAAGGATCAAGATCACTGGGCAGTTTGTTGAGGAAGAGATAGACACTGGTCCAGCAGGTAATATAATGGTGCAACCAAATTATCTGCATTCCTTCCATGGGTTATAGTATTAGATGTACTGTATGCAAGGAATATTCATTCATTATTTTTAATTAATATGCATAAATGCCTATGTCCAGCAGTGGACGTCTTCCGGGCTGAGTTGATGATGATGATGATTTTTAATTAATTAAATGATTTTTAACAAAAATTTATCTGCATCAATAATTTTTATTATTGTCAATTTTGTTAAGTATCATTTATACAAATATTCATTTTGTGTAAAATAGACTGTTTTGGTTGCTAAGTCTTAAGTATTAATCTGAATATAGCCAGAAGGGCTGATAAAAAAAAGTCTTAAGTATACTCTTTAAGGTATAGGGGATCACTGAAAACTGCCTTGGTGACTAAATAAAGTCTTATTAACATGCTATTGAATGAATGTGTAAGTGAAGTAATTGTTTTATTAACTTGGAAATTAATTAATTTAAATGAGGTGATTCAAAGTTTAATTTTTTAATTAGTGCAGTATGTTAACCATTTCACTATCAAAGTTGTCTAACTGTTAATATATTCAATAAAAATATACTTTCTACTATTCTATTTTAGTAAAACTATAATTAGAATAGTATCTACAGTTACCATTATAACATTTTAAACAATAGGTCACCAATTTTATTAAAAAATTACATTATTTTCAAGTCTACTACTACTTCTAACATCTACACATAATATTTTATGATATATAAAAACAAACTGGCTTCATTTCTGAAATGTTTCCGCATTTCAGAAATGAAGCTGAAGTTTCCACTATTTAACGTGGAGTTTGACGTTACACGCGAAGAGACAGATGCTGAACGACGGCGGCGGAAGTACCGTAACTCGCGGAAGAAGCTGGAACCAGAGGCCGAAGGTACGAAGGAGGCGCCTAAGAAACCTCCCCCAGACCAGGTCATGATGGTGAAAGTGGAGAACTTGATGCACCAGAAATTCCAACAGACTGAAGAGGTGAAGGCGTTGACACAAGAAGTCATCAAGACCATTCGGGATATTATCAATTTGAATCCTTTATATAGGTATTATGTTATAATTTTTTATTTATATCAAGAAAAATCAAAATTATCATCATCATCACTTAACATCAGTCGAGATGAATGAGCGAATGCACTCAAATTTAGTAATAAAAAAAACTTAAATAAAATTCAAAATCATTGAATCATTTACATTTTATTCAATTAGGTTTTATTTTGACTCCCATTTTGTTTTGTGGCCCGGATAGGTCGGCCTGTTCATACAGTGGTGGCATTGTTTATAGTGATTGCCACAATTTATATTATTTTGTTTAATTCCTCTACTATTTTAATTATTAATTTCCGCTACTACTACATGTGAGACCACAGAGACCACAAATATTCAGTTTTGAAACCTGACCACCGCTACAGAAAGCGTTACGACTTTCTCTATTGGTGATCAAATTCCGACCATTACTGATTCTATATCCATATTGCGACACATATGTTGCTTCTGAACGAATCATGAACAGCCAATAGACTCTCTAGAGTTAGGATATTGGTTGGGAGCCTAGTGTAGACTGTTCGGCTACCAAACTGTGACTGAACTTCGAAAGTTCAGCTAACTTCTGTTGAGAACTGACAAGAAACTCAACTGGTACATTATTTATCTGCATAATAATGATTAACGGGTATAAAATGTAGTCTTTGCCCAATGGTATCTAGCTATATACATGCACACTGTTTGATGATTGGTTAAACGGTTAAATCAATGTTGTTAAGCACTACCATTTTGCGCCGCTGGCATAGAATAAAATAGATAAACTCTTTATTGAAACAAACTTAAACTTAAGCACTTTTACTAAGCACTACTTTTTAATACTCATACTTATTTTTTAATCTACCACTCATTCAAAAAGCTTATCACAAGAAGAACGAGAAGGAAACTTGGATGTTGGTTTTTTTTTGTTATGTTTTTACATTTTGATGAATACAAATTAGCAAATAGCACTAATTCATTAAAGTCAAAATATTAACAGCATAAATACTGCTAGAAAATGTGTTAATTTAGAAATCTAATTCAATATGTAATATTTCATCAGTAAAAACCGTTTTATTCAGCCATCTTAAGAATCTCTCATGTGCAATAGGTTTTAGTAGGGTTAGTTAAAAAATACATCCAAGTACATAAAATATATTGTAGAATAAATATGATAATAAAAACTGTATACACAGTTCAATTTTCAAATAAGATATTGCGTTATAGATTCCACTTCTTAAATACACATTCACTTGCAAGTGATGGTTGAATCAATTATTTTTGCATCTGCAGGGAGTCTCTTCATCATATGCTGGCTCAAGGGCAGCGTGTGGTCGACAACCCCGTTTATCTGAGTGACCTGGGAGCGGCACTTACTGGTGCCGATACTGCTGAACTTCAAGCCATACTTGAAGAAATGGATGTGAGTTGTTTTACAATACTAACTGACCCGCGCAACTTCGCCTGCATCACACTCGACATTTATCATTATATTTCGCCCAATATACACAATATCTTTTTAAATTATAGCCAAATATTATATATATTGTGATGTATAAGCTATGTTACAATAAAGTTTCATTAAAATCCGTTTGGTAGGTTTTGCATAAAAAAGTAACAAACATCTATCCATCCTTCCATCCGTCCACACTCCCAAACTTCTACGTTTATAAAATTAGTATGAAATATGTACCTTCATACTAATTTACATTGACCGTATATTCGTTACAGATACCCAAAAGACTGATGATGTCACTCTCTCTGCTAAAGAAAGAGTATGAACTGTCAAAGTTACAACAGAAGATTGGCAAGGAAGTGGAGGAGAAAGTGAAGCAGCAACATCGGAAATATATACTACATGAACAGCTCAAGGTATGTACTATAATGTAATATGAGGCTAAGTATGCCCACATATAAATTGTAATTAAGGAACGAAATTATAGATGAATTATAATGATGTTGTCATAAAGTAATTTTTGTCACCTTTGTTTGGTGTTTGGACAAATTGGTTTATTTATGCCAACTTTAGCAAAGTTTTGGCAGTTAATATTCACAGAAAATTCTTAAAAATGTTCTGAACAACATTTATTTAAAAGAGCAACACGCAAGTTTCTTGCTCATTCTTCTTATGATGAGTCTGTGTACCGGATGAGCGGTAGAGTAAAAAAAAATGACTATTCAAAAGTGCTTGTATTGAGTTTATTTGAATAAAAATTATTTCTATTTCTATTTCGACCTGAATATGTAATCTCAGTAGTGCAGAAAAGTCGTGGCTAAAGGGTTGTTAAGTCTTTCTTGTAATACAGTTTTAAAATTATGTCTAAGCAAAACACCTTTTACGGTGCTTTTGGGGTTTTAAATAATTAAACATGTTTTTAGCGTGTCACTCAGTCGGCCATTCATCTAAGACGAAATATGTGAAACCTGAACTGTACTTTATTTAAATTTTACCACAGATAATAATGTTACACAGATATATAATTCGGATACTTTTCACTATAACTCAACAATAGTCATCAATC